CGCTAGTCTCAGGGATGAGGAAAAAGGCGAAGAAGAATGCCAAAAATGACAGTGCAGCGAAGAAGAAGTACACGCCATAGTGCATCTTGTCGAACATTTGTTCAGTAAAACGCGAAACGAGGAAGTTAAACAGCCAGTTGCTCGCAGTTGTGGCGGCCTGAGCCAGGGAACGGAAATTGGGGTCGAAGAATTCCTGGTAGTTTGTCAGGAAAGGGTTGATTGTTGATGGGAATAAGCAATGACTTACGGAATTAATAACCCAGGGAGTACCATTCCAGGTAGGGGTGTAGACTGCAGTCCATAGGTAAAAGAAGAATATAGCCGCAATGCCTCCGCCATTCAGAGACGTGCTGGGGTTATCTTCGGGTTTGACAACACAGATATAGGCACCGATGACCCACATACAGATGGAGCCAGTCACAGCACCAACAAGGAGCAGATTGCGCCTTCCAAATTGATCGACCAGGAACAGGAGCCAGACGAAAGTCATAACGGCCTTAATGACACCGAAGATACCGGTCATCAGGTTGACGGTGTTGGGGTCGACACCAATCTAAGGCACACAAGTTAGTCTATTTAATTCATAATTCGAAATGCAAAGACGAAGCGCAATCATACTGATCTGAAGATGGTAGGCGAGTAATAGTTTATGGCATTGATACCGGAGCCATTTTGCCAGAAGAAGAGCATGCAGCCTAGCATCAGGCGGTACATAACGCTCTTGTTGGTGGCGAGAGCCTGGAATGGCTTCCAGAAACCAATCCCGATGGAAGTTCTCTGATGCTCAAGGGCCTGGTCGATAGCAGCCACCTCTTCGGTGATATACATGTCGTTAGCTTCCAATTGGCGAATCCAGCAAAGGTTTTCCATTGCTTCGCGGCGGCGGTTCTTAAGGAACAGCCAGCGTGGGGATTCCTTTATCCACAAGGCACCGATGAAAAGCAGACCAGACGGGATGAGCTGGATGGCGAATGGAATAATCCATTGCTCATGATTCTGGGGCATGTGTTGTTCAACACCATACTACCATAGCTAAGTTAGGTCTGAATGCAAGGCCAGCATAGGGTAAAACAAAGCCTGGGGAGAGGCAAGGAGACGCACATTAATCCAAAAACCTAACATTCCACCGATCTGCCAGCCAAGCTCATACAAACCGACGAGCCGTCCTCGGATGGCAGGTGGCGCTAGTTCGGAAAGATATATAGGAATGATATTCGAGGCTATACCAGTACCCAAACCGGACAGCACACGACCAGCATACAGAATGCCCAGCCCTCGGGCACTGTTAGCACCGAGTTGTAGCCCGGACCCGAGAAAGAACACAGTGGCGGCAACAGCCAAACTCCATTTGCGGCCAACGAAGTGACCGAGGGCGTATGTTCCGAGGGCGCCGAAAAAGGCACCGGCAATGAAAAGCGAGACGATATTCTCGCTGATTAGAGCTTTTTGTGGGGAAGACATCTCGTCGAGGCCGAACTCCTTCATGAAAGAAGCGAGTGTGATAGTTGTACCGATAAAGGCACTAGTATAACCGATCATATTTGAACCACATGATGCAATGCCGGCGAGTGCATATACACGCCAGTTGTAAACGGACTTTGGCGTTGGCCGGTCCTCGGCAAGTGTGAGAATACCCATGACCAAAAAGGTGACAAGCTCGAGCTGTGTCAGATAGAATGGAAGGTCAGGGTGAGAAGGCAAAAGTTTTTGCTCGAACGCGGATGGAGGAAAAGGAAAATCTCAGTAGGTGGTAGAACGGAACCCTAAGTAATACCTGCTGTCCTAATGGACTGTGGGTGTGGAAATTCCCCAACTGAGCTCCCCACAACACACATCACATAACCCCCATAGACCGGGGCAGTATAATATGGGGTTCAAACGCGAGGCTACAATACAGCGATGATACAGATGCAGATGCCCTGAGTGGGAACACTGCCCGGGGTAGCGTTTTCCCCGGAGGAAACGTTCAGCCGGTAAGTTAGTTTTAGAGTATCCATAACCCACATGTCAAACACGGGACCCTACTACTTCCTCGACAAAATCACCCAGGACGAACTATCCTATTGAAAAGGATATTTTGGGCACAGCAGGCTGTAGACAAGTTTGTGACATGCACTGCTTCCTAGAGACGGTTACGCGTTTAGCCGTTCGATCACGTATATTGGGAGAGACCTTAACCATATGTGGAGCCGGAATTTTGCCGAGCTCTCGGGAAGGCAAAATGTTTATATCCGAAAGAGACGGAGTAGCACATCGGCAAACGGAAGAAGGGCTAAAAGTCTATTTGATCCCGACTTCGGGATAACCGAAGTTATACACATATTTCAACTGTAGTGATACATACTGTGCTTGTATGAATTCTTCAAGTTGCATAATGACTTCTCCCTGGCTGCAGTCCCACACTCCACAGTATCTCCGTATCTCCCGAGAGTGGCTCCTACTAGCGGGGTAATCACTCACCATCATGCACGTCCACAAGGTTGCACTAAACGTAACTCCGGGTCTTATATGGTAGGGGCAATCGGGCGCGACTTACCAACAAATAGGGATATCCATCCTCATGGATAATAAAATGTACTGATCCGATAAGTTACATGGTTTCTACTTACATATTTAGTTATGATGTGTTGCCAGTGGTGTTTAAATGGCAAGAACTATACAAGCTCTTTTCGGCCCGGTTCCGGCTTGGAAGCATGCCGTGGCGTAGCCGTCCGGCCTTGGTACTCAGAGATCACCATTGATACCAACATTAAAATGGCAGCCTTTACCCATGGAGTTATACCAACTTTCAGAGTTAAGGACAAGTTGGCAATAGGCTCTCCCCAGCCATTAATGATATCCGGGGTACGTTCAAGAAATTTGTGATCCAGAATTCAATTGTTTTGTGAATATTATCCAGCTTCCGGTGATGGATCGTCGGATTTCAACATAGGAGCTCTAATGTGAATCTTGTGGCAGTAATTAAATTGGGTCAATGTTGATACAACGAGACGTCTCCGTGTGTCAGAGCTAGGTGAGAAATGTGGACAACACACCACGATAGTGTTTGCCGCAGCGTTATTTTGGGTTATTGATGCTTGGGCAGATTTTATATATGGTCTCGTGAATGAAGAGATTTAGACAAGTACTAGAGGGCCGTCTAACATGTGGTATTGGAAGAGAGTCTAGATTACTTTAATTTTCACAATAGGAAACCTGAGGCAACATTATTAAAAATTATTGTTCCTGAGGCAGAAACACGTGCCATCAACCTTGGGCGCTCCAAGTCACGATATGTCAACACAAACCGCATGTATCTTATTGGAACACAAACGCCCAACTGAAAATACTCAAAGGGTACCCCGCTGTCTCTGTGATTTTGTGGATACGCCGTTTCCCGGATCATGACCACGTCTAAAGCGGGGCATTTCCAAACTGTGAGTCTTATCAGTTAAAGACATGCGAATGTTAGCGCGTGTCTAGTAATTCAAATCACGGTGTGTGAAGATCAAATTTATTTATCTAGGTTCTAAATAGTTAATAAGCTAACCATATCATGAAAACCCAGCAGGAAAAAACAAGCTTTGGAAGAAAGGAACAAATCATCTCCCATCACGATGGAAAACCGAGTATCTCTCGGCTCTATCCAGAAAGCCGTCTGGGACGGTCGTTTGCCACTGGAGATTGTTTTAGCTTCATCCGAAAGCCGAACCTTTGATAAGACCGATCCATACCTTGTATGCCTGTTCTTCGCTTGATATCTACAAATGCTAATCTCAATTGCTAGATCTCATATCCACGCATCTCATATCTTCCCTCGTTGCTACCCAAGCTTCGAGCTTTCTTCTCAAGTTTCCTGATAGAGCCAAACTCACAGTCCCATGATGGCTGGTTCGAGTTTGAGGGTGTGCCCCTGAAGTGGCACTACCCAGTCGGGCTGTTATTTGATCTCTATGCAGGAGCAAACCCCGCCTCAAAGACCGCCAGAGATAGCGAGTCCCCTGATAATGGATCATCGCTGCCTTGGCGCCTCATAGTCCACTTCAGCGACTGGCCACATGATCTTGTTCGGCTTGATGCTGATGGAATGGTCATGAACGACGCCTTCATAAACAGTGTGAAGGAGGCGGATTTCCTACGAAACGGTACAGCCAAAGGCATCATGAGTCTCTCAAAGGAAGACTCATCAGGACTTTGGAACGCCGTTCAAGAGCGTGAGTTAAGCATTCTTTGTAGAAATGCTTCCACTGCATCAATGATGGAGACTATTCTAACCCGATGAAACACAGTCGATCTTCTTTCTTTTCAGCGCATATCAAATATCCTTATTCCTCAGCTATCACAACCTTTCCGCAACGTCCCAATCCGAATCTTCCTACCACTCCCGCTAGATGCTGAGTCTTCTTCCCTGAAAGTGGTACAATCGCCACTCCATCCCTCAATACCAGCCTCGAGTATGCAGTCAAGTCAAATTTTGAGCTCGCGGAGCGGTTCCACAACCCAACCTCAAACGATCGGGACTGTTTTACACACATTACTACCAAATCTATTTCCCAGTCGGAGAACCCCTGTCCTTGCAAAGCCCGTATTACACGGTGCTGTGATACCCATGTCTGCTCCCATCGAGGAGGTTGTGAGAAGCTCCGCTTATGGAGATGGATGGGCGTATCTAGTTGTTCGAATGATGGGTTGAATTCTGCCCGCAGATTAGTAGAGCGGCTCAAGTGTTATATAAAGCATACAGCTTGGTATGTCTGACGACATTGCTTCCCCTTGAATTCAATTTACATCAATATCCGTATATTACGCCTTCAATTATGATAGGGGGTATTATAGAACTGTATTGAATAGACAACAAACACCGAGCCCGTATAAACAAAAGAGCGTGGTATCACAATCGCTATATGCTAACACCGTACTCCAACTTTCAAAAGAAGTCTCTAACTCATGGGATGGGTATAGCAAGATAAGAGAGCATGAAAGATGAAAAGAAGAAAGGAACCAAACAAAAACCGTAAATCTCATGGAAATAAATAATTGTTCTCACTGCCCACCAAAGTTGCGGAATCACCTGTATCGGACCTAGCCCTTTCGAACCTAGTCATATCTGACTCGCAGACTTCAGACCCCATATCCTCAAACACCGTCGTTGCACTGTCTCTTCCACTTCTCTGTCGTCTTGGACGTAACTTTCCATCATCGTCAAACCACAAAGATCCGAATGGGTTTTTCTTCGCTATCTCGAAAGCCGTGATTGGAGTTTCTCTCGTTTCGCCGTTCATGAGACTAGTATTCTCGGTCGGGATTTTGACAGTCAAGTCCGCACCGGCATCAAGCAAAACCCGGAAAATTGGTTCCCGTCCTCGTTCTGCTGCGAGATGAAGTGCCGTCTTTCCTTCGTTGGTGGTAGCGTTTATGTCTGCTCCCAGTTGAAGCAATAATTCAATTAGAGATGGACGCGGAAGAGGTGCCATTGCTGCAAGATGGAGAGGAGTCTCAGCAAATTTGGAAGCCGTGCAGTCGTTCACTGAAGCACCATGGCTGATAAGAAGCTGGATATATTCAGCGGTTCTATCAGATGCAAGGTCGGGAGCTCCGGTTCCTGCATAAACAGTTTGATGAAGAGGCGTCCAGCCTTGGCTGGATGTTGCTGCCACATTTATTCCTTGGTCCAGTGCAGTCCTGAGCATATCTAGACAGTCTTGGTTAGCCGGAGGGGTGATGTGAAGAAGTGTCTCGCCCTTGGCAGTCTCGACATCGATCTTGGCATCCTTGTTAAGAAGAAAATCGAACATTGTCTTGTTTAACCCTACAGCAGCACACTGGAGAGGGGTGTAGCCCTGAGACGTCCGAGCCTCAATATTTGCACCTCCTTCTAACAGCTTGGAAGCGATTGAAACACTCTTGGAGTACCGAGCTTGTTCATGGAGTAACGTTTCCCCTTGTTTGTTCCAGACATTGATATCAGCTCCACCAATTATAAGTAGATCAAAGGCAGTCCAGTGTCCTTTCCAGGCTGCATATTGCAGGGCTGTGGGTCCAGCGAGGGAGCGGGCTTCAACATGAGCACAGCGTTGCAAAAGCAAAGAAATCGCTTCACAGTTATCGGTATTGGCAGCCAATTGAAGAGGGGTCAGTCCTGCGTTATTACCGATTTCAATGTTGGCCCCCTTTTCAAGCAGAAATAAAATAATACGTGGTCGCTTCCATTCAACAGCAAGGTGGAGCGCAGTGTTTCCGGTCAGGGTATTCTGGAAGTTCAGATCTGCCTTGTGTTTCACGAGCAAGGGAACCATGGACTCATCCATTGCTGTTCCTACGGCCACATGAAGACAAGTTGCACCGTTTCGATCAGCAATTCTTGAGTCGGCATGATGAGCGAATAATAGCTTTATGCACTTTCGATGGCCCCTTTCTGTCGCGAAGTGTAAAGCTGTCCTGCCATCGGCTGTGACTGCATTTTCTTTCGCGCCGTTGTCAAGCAAAAAAGCGATCATTTCATCGTTCCCTTGAATGGCAGCACAGTGTAGGGGACTCAGTCCTAATGAGTTGTCCTGTCCGTTGACATTCGCCCCTTGTTCAATGAGTCTTTGCGATTTCCCAGGGATGCCGAAGAAGGCAAGGATATGGAGTCCACTCCAGTCCGTAGGATATTTTCCTATTCCCATTTCCGAGGGTATTCCTTTAATCTTTTCTGCCGAATAGTTGAGGGGAGGTCTCCTCCAAAGGAGTTTATTGAGGAATGTTTTGATCATCACTTGAATTGTGGTCTCATCATCGTCGACTTGTCGTGAATGCTGTCCCCAATAGGTAGCGGCATAATCCAGAAACCCTTTCATCAGGGGGCGAGAAGGGCTATTGTTATTTCTGTAGCACTCATCAACCACGTCATCGTGGCTGAGAGCTGAGAGGCATATCTCCGCTATCTCTTTCTGGGCATTGGGCAAGAAAACTCTGGCAGCTGACCCGTCAAGGTACTCTTTCGCGGTCCTGTGGACAAAGCGTACTGTACCCGATGTAGCATCCACTGCTAAAAGCCCAGCAGTCTTTACCAGAAGAGAATGCTCAAAACTCATTGGTCGTGAAGCTTCCATGGCGTCATTTTCACCCACGGCACTTCGGAGCTCTGCAACGGTCAATGGCCGGAGTGCATAGAGAACCCAATAGATGTAGCGAGTCGCAGCCGGGTTGAGGCTCACGACCTGCTTCATTGCCTCTCCATAGGCCTCGCCTAAGTTCTCCGGTAGATAGTCCAGGGCTCTTACAAGAACAGCGCGGTCTTTGTATTGCGATAATAAGTCAAGGTGTAGCTTGGCAAGAAGGAACCTGAGTAGCAATGATTGTCAGTCTCTGAAAACCTGAGTATACACACTGGCGGTCAGTACTTACACTCCATGAGAGCTATCAACCACGGCATGTATAATCTCATCTTCTAGCTTCAGGTCTGGATGTTTCACTCCAATATGCTTTCTAAAGTTACTGTCACGTCGTGCGCGGGCCAAGGTGTAAAGTCCAATATCTTCAGGCGGGGCTAAAACACTCATATACCCAGGATTGTCCACGGGTTTGATACCGCTCATGTCCCGCAAGGTGACAAGAAGTTGAGCCTGTTGAGGTAGCTTTTGCAATCGACCCAAGATGCGCTCTTTGTCAGAGAACATGTCAAGTCCATCGATAACAAAGAGCACCTTTGAAAAACGATTCACCTCGGCACGGATCGCATTTTGATATGCCTTTGGGGATGAGCTTCCTTCTCTCAGAGACTCCGAGTAGTACAGTGAAGAAGCTGCGTAAGACAAACTGCGCTTGCGGTATACAAGCTGTGCGAGTATGCTCTTCAAAATCTCGATGGCTGTATGTTCTTTCCCAGAACCCTCCTGACAGAAGACGAAGACAGTAGCCACATCTGGGGAGGTGAACGTTCTCTGAAGATGGTCAATGATGGCCGATCTGCATAGAGTGTTAGTTTCAAGAGATTGTTGTGACATAATTTCCACTTACGATAGGTAAGTTTTGCCAGCACCAGCTAACGGCCATGGTCATGTTAGTACATAAAATAACAGGTTATGCAACCTTTCAGTCAATAACTTACGAGGCCCTATGCAATACAGTGTCCTGCAACCACCAAGCAGCCAGTGTTTGAAATGTTGGTTCTCAAAAACCCATAAGCAACTTCCTTGTTGTCGTTTGTTACATAGGTCTGCAAGTGTAATGAAGTGTTCCGAGGATAGTCGACTTGTTAATGATAGCGCGCGTTCCTCGAATTGTTTATCAATCTGGACATTAGCTGCAACGAAGAAATTGATTAGACCTAGAATTCCAACCTTAGGGTATAGACAATGCGACGTACCTGTTTCAACATCCCTGTGTTTTTTAAGATCCTTCCTTATCTCATTGTCTAATGATATTCGGTCTCTTTGGTGATAGGTCAGCAAATTAAACCAGGTGTCAATCGGATCCGGAAACATTACTCTGAATCTGGTTGCATCGACAAAAGGAACATAATCTTGTATTGTTCCAATCTTGGAATATATGTCTTCTCCAACAAGTGCTTCCTGAAGTAGAAAATGCTCACGCCCCCTGGTTGGAAATAGAGCTCAACAGACTTCATGGTCAACCCAAACCATCCGAGAAGCTCGGCCAGAGCCCTGAGGCGACCGACCGCAACAAACCCTTTTTCATCCGACCAACTTATTTCATCTTTGATACGATATAAAAGGTCGAGTATGTCTGTCAACAAAGACAAAGCCCTCAGTGAAGAGTCGTGTAGATCACGCCCGGTGTTCAGAAACCGCATGGCCACCCGCGTGGATTGGGCGACCTGAGTGAGGATTTCGCGAACCGCCGATACATTATTCGCCATTATGCGGGGTTCACTAGAGGCATGGAGGCGATGGTCGACGGAGGTCACGATGTTGGTCACACAAGGTTGTAAGGGGGGGCGATACAACGGCGACAATAGAAGAGAAAACGGGATGGGAGGATAATGATTAACATTAGACCGAAAGTTATCAGTCACACGAGACTAATAGGCTGATCCGAGCCCCTGTTCATCCTTGACAGGGGCGGTTTTTCGTAGAATTGCTGGTCTACCCCTCCCAACCGGGCTTACACGGGCGGCTACGAAAGTATCATCCTATTACCATTTTTGGTGTACGCAATAATACCTAGGTACCCTGGTCTCTATGCAATATTATTTGACAGCCAATGAGAATTATTGTCTCATTACTAGTGAAGCAAGTTGAGATAACCAACCTACTCGCATGCAATGGACATTAATATATGTGGCGCTAATAGTAAAGGGTACGTGTGCAAATACATCGAGGTACATGGAGGCCAACCCAACGGGAGCTCAGAACGACCTCGGGAGTTTAATTATCTTCCAAATTAGGCCAACAAAAGTGGACTCATGCAGTGTGATAACAACTTGCAGTAAGGCGACAAGCATGAGCCTATACCTCCACCACTCCTCGCAAGTGTGTAAGCGCCTTCGGTTGAATGGTGGATTCGGAGGCAGCCAATCATATCCTTTATCACTCGGAGTTCCCAAAAAATATGGGGTCTTGATGTGCGTGACAGAAGTTGAAACATAAGCCGAAGTTGCGGTCACCCACATCTAGTATGCGGAGTACGGAGTACTTACTGTTGTATTATTGTACTTGCCCTCAGAATGTGGCGCCAGATCCCAAAGTCCAAACCTGAGTTGGAGGGAAACGAGATATCACATTTGTGCTAACATGCCAATTTCCCTGCCTCATGTGATTACACCTAGGTGTGAGACTTACCCCGTGCAGAGTCCAACTACAAAGTACACTGTATCTACGAGCTATTCCTATTTGGGAAGTAATACCTTCATTGACTGCTGGTGTGAAGTAGTAATAATAAACATTTTGATAAATATGTACAAAGAATGCAATTCATAGGAGCCAGCTCCAGGTGTATTTTTTTTTTTTCCTTTTTTCTCTCTTCTTCGGCTGGAAATAGCCTGGTAAATGTCACCCCGTACATACAGAGTCAATGTAACATTCACGCCAATCTATGTGTGGCAAAGAACAGGACATGATAAAAAATTCAAAAGCCTAAAATGAAACGCCAACCAACCATGCTTCTTCAATCGTTAAAAGAAATTCGTAAAACCGTGGCTTGTGTGACCATAAATCAGTCGACTGCAAAGGGTATAAAACAAACATAATAAGGAAATATGCAAAGAGTGTCAAAATATCAGGCTCCTAGAAGGGGGCACCGTTCAAATCGAGAGCAGCACCACCTTCGGTACCCCTTCGGAGGGCCTTTGCCAGCATCAGCTCGCGCATCCAGTCAATTCGCTCATCGCGAGTTTTGACGGCAAAATGATGGGCCTTGCTGCCATTGTTGAACATTGTTTTACGTTCAAAGTTGGCGCTGCTAGGCGATGGGATCAACGAGAAGGCAAAGGCAGTGTCTCCGCGAGTGTCGTCTGTGCGCTTTAGAACAGTCTTTTTGAATGCGGCTGTCAACTTTGAGCTGGAAGCAAGGGAAGAGCAGGCCACGGCATAATCGTCAACGTCGATGTACTCGAGGGCCTTGGCAACCTGCTGCGAGTCATCCTCGTTCGTATACATGGCGAGTTGGGTGCCCCGGAGGGCAAATAGGTGGTCTTGCCACTCATGGCGCAGGAAGCGGGCGTTCTTCCGCTTCTTCATCCAGCCAGCGTGGATTATCTCGGTACTGGGCTCGCCGGTAGGGCTGAAAGGATTGGGGCGGCAATGACCAGCACGAGGAGTGCGATCCAGATCTTCGATGGTGTCAATGGGTCGTAGCATCTGGGCTTCACTCAGAGGCTTCTTCCTGTGATTGTCAAGCTTGGTGGATCTTGTACGGTAGACTGGATCGGGGGTTGGGCAGTGATAGTGACCAAATCGCATATCAGGTGGGACTGATTGCGAGATGTTTCTCTCAATTGGACCAAGTTGAATAGCCGTCAAAGGGACATCCATCTCGGAAACCGGTTTGGACTGCTCATAGTGGGGGTCATGGCGATAGTAGTCGGATGGAGAGAAGAATGAGTCTTGCGACGTAACAGACTCTTCTGGGGAGTAGTCTTGGAATGGCTGCTCCCTGTAGACAACTGAAGGAGTGATGGTTCGTTGTCCGGAAAGGGTGGGTGGGGAAATAGCAGAGTCTTCTGATGTGTCATAGCTGCTTGGAATTTGAAGCCTAGGAAGGCTTCGGAGATTCTCAGCCAGGGTTCCAGGAGAGTGAGATTCAGGGGAAGGGAATGTATCCCTCGGGGGTGTTGAAGGGTCGTTTACTGGCCCCAGTCGGCTCAGACGCTGGAAATTCAAGAAGTTTCGGACATTCTCCTGGGCATCTCTAGGTTGAACATCATAAAGCTTATCCTGGGAAAGTGGGAGATTGCTAGGTTGGGCAGGGCCAAAAGCATCAGAAGAGGCAACAATCGATGGGGTTACATCTGTGGAAGGCTTTGCGAGGTTGCGTGCAGTAGCAGGATTTCCTGGGTCGCCTGTAATAACCATTGAACTCCCCAACGATTCAACTGGGAGGTCCCTGACCATGCGAGATAATTTCGCGTGCTGTTTTAGCCATTTGCGGCAATCCTCTCCCTTAGAACATCTGTGAAGTCTGGGCAAGACCTGCTCGATGCCGACGATCGAAACGTAGTCTTGGGGTCCAACAGCCCGTGGTCCGCGGCGGCGGCGGTGCTGCTGCTGCTGCTGAAACAAGTACTCTCTATCCTTGCGCGCAGATTCTTCATCATATGCCACTGGAGTGGAAGTGCAAGTGATACCGCCATCAGCCATTGCCGACTGTGGGGTTGCCTCCCTTGAAATATGCTCCAGTGGTGGAACAGGCGGGAGCTCTTTGCATGAGATAGAAAATCTCTCGCGTAGCTCGCGGATCGAGCTCATTAATGTATGTCGCTTCCCAAAAGATGAGATGTCGAGTTCTTTCAAATCTTCTGGCTGCAGTTCCAGGAGAATGGATCCCGAGATATCATTGATGAAAAATTTCTCCACAACATCTTCAGCCACATTTCGCTTTTGCATCCACTCGACAACATCTTGTGGGGTCCAGCTCGAGACATTACCCTCGTCGGGTTGTGTTGAGGCATTTTGGTGTATCACATCTGGAGTGTAGCTCTGAGGCTTAATGTTTTCAAATCGAGAAGGGACAGGAGTATCTCTCCTGTATGGGCCAAGCTTAGATGCAGAAGAATACAAAGTTGTGGTAGCACTAGTAGGTATGTCCTCATAAATCAAATCAACCTCAACGGTTGACTTGATTTCTGTACCATCTGAGAGGCTGAACAGGTGTGGCCCTGTTGGGCCAGCAACAGGATGTTCGTCGATATGGAAGTGAAAGGCAGTTAGGCCAGTGGAGCACGGAGTCTTTATGTCGTCTGGCGTCGAAGCGGTGGTAACACTTGAACTTCCGAACTTCAATTTTTAGTTAGCTCGTGGTCTCATAAAGCAACTCAACCCGCAGAAAGACATACCGAACGAACACTTCTGTGTGATGAATCCCCACCGGATTCTGATTGCGAATCTGAATCAAAATCTGTGTCTACAATATCGGCATACTCCGAGTATCCATACTCTTTTCCTCCGGGATACTCGAGTGTAGGAAGATATTGAACTTGGGAAGTCTAATGAATGACTTAGTATACAAGTTAAAGTTAAAGGAGAAAATAACAAACCATTTTAAAGGGTGGTATAAAGTCCAACTGAAAGTCAGAGAGCCCCTGTTTGAGAGGGAGTTTGGGAGGCGTATCAAAGGATTTGTAACGTATGGTTATGAAGGGTAAAATAGTATGTGCCAGGGGAGGATGGTAAAGCCAAGGCAACGAAAGTATCAGGCAAGAGTTAATATTATTATCGTCGCTCAGCGATGATTGGAAATATAATGTTCATTAATGTGGATTTTGGAGATGTGTTGGGAAGCCGGGTGGTTGGAGGTTATATGTACATGGTTATAGCCGCCATGACAGTTCAGAAGGAACAGAGTTGCCAAAAAAAGCCCACAGTCAAAAATAGCTTCAGAAAAAAATTTTCAACCAGTCAAAAGGATGTGATGGTTGGGTACGCAGTTGCATGAGGCGAGACTAGCAACCGGAGAGGCCAGGGAGCACAGGACCCTGGGTAGCTTCCCCAGTCGATTTGACTGCCAATGATTGGCTAGTCACTGCCGTTCTCTCACCTTGGCGCTTTTACCATTTATGAGGTACTGTGATTGGATGAAATTGCAAACTTATTGCACAATGCCAAAATTAACTTGAGGGGTAAGCATCCAAGAGATCCAAGAGGGGGGTTGGAAAAACCAGCGAGAGGCTAGAAAGAACGACGCTACTGCAGTGATGACCGCTCAGCACCCATTCGACTGGTCCTAAAAGCATGTTCCCATGTCTGGGGTGGATATTTGAAATAAATCGTGGCCAATGGTTTCCAATTGCTTATCACATTAGCGCTAAGGTAGCCATCCGATGGTTTGATCACACACGGGAAATGTGCCCATAATCTTTCTCATACAGGACATTTAAGGTCGATAATTATAGCAGCAAATGAGGATTGTCAGTTAACTCAACTTGATATTTTATTAATATACTATCCAAAATAAGAAAGTTCAATGTCAATCGGTTAATAGATTGTGTCCCGATGTCATACGTTCCTCGAATTAGATGTATAATAACCCAATGTGGAAAGAATTATTGTAAAGGATTTTTTAGAATCGAGCACGAGGTCATTCCTGGTTAGTTCAAACCTCATCTATGTTGGTCTTACTCCGTACACCGTTCGTTGAAATAACGCCTCCTATGGACCCCACAGGGAATGATCACTGACTCGAGCATGTTTGCAAGGTGACTGATCACCACATATGCAGTCTACGAGATCTTTCACATTGTCCATGCGACACTCCCAATGGACCTTTTCTCCCCATTGGTTCTCAAATTAGAGAGAGAAAAAAAATGAAAAGAAAAAAAAGAAAACATACATAAAAACACGTGCTGCTTTTTAGATGATGCGCCTAGGCTTTCTTTTCTTATGTTCCCTTGATTTTGGGAGAATGCTTTTGCCTTTCTAAAGGAGGAGGTTACATCCAGAGCATTTGTATGACAAAGTCCAGATTGTTATCAAGGGCGGCACGACATGATTCGGGATTTTCATCTTATATCTAGAGTCTTAATTCAAGTTCAATCCCCCATTCCAAGTCGGATGCAACGTATTGATCTAGCACAGGTAAATACTACGGAGTAATGCAGCGCATATACCAAAAGTTAGGCCAACAGTATGCTTCTCTACACCCCTAATTCGAGTAGTCTTATGTGATAGAACAATTTCTACTCGCACATTCTAGATACACTTATATTTTTACAGTCAATATGACGTCGCCCATCTCATTCGAGTCTCGTTCCTGAATGGTTCAAGGCACGGGGGTCCAAGCAATCGGGCTAGCTCGGTACCTGGCATATTGACGTTTGAGCCAGCCGAGAACCATTTCAAAGTAAGTGTAACTACTGACCCCCAACCAACAAGAATGAACCTCCCGTGTCCTATTCGCTGGTAGATTAATTTGATGAAAAGCGCTAAATGATTCGTTATCCGACTCCAAAATAAGGAGAAAGGAACAAAATCCTTGTAGGCTGCTGAATGCCATGTGTGTTGCTCTCGGGTTGACGGGTAACAAACAATAACCTCCAACTGTACTAGAATTAACCAAGGTCCCCAAAATATGCAGGTGCCTTTGTTCCGAATGAGGCGCTTAATGCCAATAAGATATCTGAAAATAGAAAGATTTAGTATTCCTTTAGATCCGAATGAGAGATATTTGTTGCAAATCTATTATTAGCAAGCACCCTAGAAAGATTAAATTATTCAAATTAATGATTATTAGCACCTGCATATGTAACTAGTCTGTTGGATTGGCGGTTAATTGTTGCTAATTAAGGGATATACTATCTATCATGGTTTCCCCGCCTTTGCACGGACGGGGGACGATTGGCTGTGGATTCTCCATTCTCTGCAAAGGATGAGCTTGGTCCACCGCCCGAAACGCTAAGGCCCTGAGGACCATGAGCCAATCATAATGAAATTTTGGAAGCTTGGCATGCACCAGCTGCCGCCGAGTCACCCTTGAACTCCACTTTCATGCACTTGCCATCACCAAATTGTGACCAACTAACTCGTCCGAAACCAAAGCTCCCGCAGCCAGGGAAGAAGCGGTCTATGGCTGTAAATTTCAATATTGCGACTCATACGACAAGAGAGTGAAGGAACTTGAATCTAAAAGATTATTAGTATGTGTTGAAAAGGACAGTGACTGCCGTTCCACATATTGCGGGAAAGAGTAGCACGAGCCAAAATGAAAAGACGTTATCATACGCACGGACGATGTGATTGAAAATGAATTAACCTATCAGCACCTGAGACGCACCATCTTGCTCGAGATATCACACACCTGGAGCCGATCAATGCACATGCATATTCTGACCAACAACTAACTTATCCCTGCAAAAAATGTACCCAAATTTAGGCCAGCTTTGGTGCCATTTGTTCCAGCCGCAAATTCCAACCCGATGTTCGCATAATCTCCCGGGGTGGATCATCCAATGGCCACTGACCAGGTCAAAAAATAGAAGCATCTAAAGCTGCAGGTCAGATCGAAAATTGTCTTTAAAGTCGTCCTCCTCCAGAGCTTTTGGGATAACTTCTGTCTCAGACCATTCTATCAACATCATCCTCATTACATTGTGGATTCTCTTTTGGTTTTGAATATTCTTTCTCTTCCTTTTGATTTGCCCTTTAGTTACTCGAAGACAACTAGCTTCGCTGGTGGCCCTACGACATTGTCCTTACGATTCAGCCTCTGTTCAACATATCGATTACTCGCCCAGCCCCGCACTTTGACACACGAGAATCAAAACCCACCATGGCGAACCCAATGACAACTGCAACGCCGGCTGCCATGGCGAATGAAGCACCTATGCCCCCAGCCGCAGCGCATAGTGACTCTGGAAGACTACACAAGCGTTCGCGCTCTGGTCAGTTATCATCTCACTATAATCAATTGAGAATTTATGATATTTTCAAATGTTGTCACGGTTTTCTTATCGCTGTTGCTAATACTATCTGGTTCTATAGGTTGTTTCACGTGCCGCCTGCGACGAAAGAAATGCGACGAAGGCCATCCATCTTGCTCAGCATGCACCAATCTATGCCTAAAATGCGAGTACAAGCGGCCCGTATGGTGGACAAGCACAGAGCAACGGAAGGCCCAAAAGGAAAGAATCAAGATAAGGATCAAGCACACAAAAATGATGGAAAGACGTGGATCGCTTCAAGGTATGCAAAGAGACTGGAGAAAGTCTGATGATCTTCTAAAGTTTTATGCTACTAGGTTATATGGACCGAATTCGCGCCGGGCTTATCAATCCAGATTCCCCCCTCATTGAAGGATATGATTTCAACCGCCCAAATAATGAGCCAGGAGGATCATTTACACCCCTTATACACACGCCAGCCTTTCCTCCGGGCGCTTGCCCGCCACAATATGCTCCGTATGAAGTTGATGTCAGAACTGAGCGACAGACCTTTGTCAATGATGTCCCATTACGACATGACTCGTCTGTGTCGACATTCAGTGCAATGGGACCGCCCCAACTCCACAACACCCTTCCTACTTTCCATGGAGACGATTGGCTGCAGGAAGACTGCTTCAGGCAAAAAGAGCCTAACTCTCTCAATTCAACAATATTTCCACAAGGCTACGGGTCTTCTCTGCCATACTTCCAGACAACAACAATCCCCGTGGATGATCAGGACCGCCCACTACTGGAACACTTTGTTGAACACGTTTTGCGCATGATCTTCCCTATACTTGAAGCACATCAACAAAGTGCCGCACGAACAAGGGTTATTTTGAGTGCGCTTGAGACGAACAAGTCGTACTTGCACTGCTGTCTTAGCGTATCTGCTATTCATCTCAAGACTACTATTGGGCTCGAGGGCGAACAGATCGACCATGATATTATGAGACATCGTTACGAAGCAATTTCACAATTATGTCAGTCGCTCAATCGCGATACCGATCATGAGAAAATCCTTGATGCGACCTTGGCAATGATCTTCTTTCAATCCTCCGTTGGTGCACCGGATGACTGCCTTCCAGATATTCCTTGGTGCGATCATTTCCAAGCCGTCTCGAGTCTAGTGAATAAGCTTGAGCTATCAACAGCGACAGTACCACAGCCAAGACCTCATGCAGTTTCGCCATTTAGCATGTCTCTTACATCCTGGATAGATATATTGGGAGCAACGATGCTGGGCAAGTCCCCTCAGTTTGCCCACACATATCGCTCTAAGCACCTGAGTGGAACATCATCTGGACTATGCGAGCTAATGGGATGTGATGATCGCGTCATGTATCTCATCTCAGAGATTGCTTGCTTAGATTCCCTGCAGTCCGAAGGTCGGATCGACGAACTCACCGTCTGTCACCATGTTTCTGCTCTCGGCACACAGCTTGAACACACAAAGTATCCCCGAGCCGTGCTCGCACAGCCTTACTCTGTTACGGGTACTATTCAATCTGAGCAGCTCACTACGAACATAAGCATAATCTTCCGCCTCGCGGCTCGCATCTATCTATGCAGCCTTGTTCCGGGCTTCGATCGGAACGAACAAAACACTGTTAATCTTGTATCTGAGATTACGAACGCTCTCCAATTCATTCCCGCAGGACCCTTTGGTTTTGATCGATCTCTGGTGTGGCCACTTCTTATGGCCGCTTCCTTCTCAACGCCAGTGAGCACATTCCGCCACGTTCTAGCCGAGCGAGCTGCTGCCCTCGGCGAGATCGGTGATTTTGGTGCATTTGGTCGTATGTATCGACTTGTTCGGGAGGTCTGGAGACTCTCCGACGACCCAGAGCCCACATTAGATGACCTCGATCAGTATGAATCTCAGTACTCTGTTCCGAAAGAGGGGTTACTACCATCGCCTGGAATCGGCCCTTCTAGTGCGCCTGCTCCCGCCCCCCGCATGAAACACATCAAAAGGCAAAGTGTGCACTGGCGAGATATTATGAACCGCAATGGCTGGCAATATTTGTTAATCTGATCTGGCTTGATATTTCCTTTTTTTTAAGGCTTTCGCCTAGGCTTTGGGGCTTTTGTTGTTATTTTTGATCGATATTTTTCATTCATTATTTATCTGGGTGCATGCTTGAAGGATGCTTGAAGGTTGCTTGAGGGAATTTGATTTCAAATGTTTGAAGCTTTCGAAGATGGGAGAAGAGACAATTCTCTTCTGAGCATAAAGCTCCTGGTCCCCGTATTATACCACTGTCGTTTTCTCTGTCAATGCCAATGGTTTTTCTGTTCTTTCACTTTCGTACGAAACTATGTTTGTTCCTCCGAGATCCTTTTGCGCTTGATATATAAATTTAACCCAAGCCATCTAGAACCTAGCTGTGGAGCTAACTAAATACCTACCATTCCCTGGTGGACTAGTTTATGTATGTAACTATATCTGATGCACTCAAGCAAATTGGGGGTCCTGCCTAGATTAATCAGTCCTTTAAGTTGTCCCAATAGAGCAAGCAAGGGGCTTCATGGCAGTACCTAAGTAGATTTATCATCTTCTCCATCTTGTAAATTGATTTTCTTCCGTAATCGTAGACACACCTAGGTAGAGTACATATCTACTAAGATCAATGGCAGTAGGTACATAGGCATCAATAGATCCACAACTGTTTCATGTAGCTTGCTTCGTCTTGGATCAAGTGCCTATGTCAGTCTATATATATTCTTTATTTCCTCGAGCCAGGCATTTGGAAACGTAGATCTAGAATAAATACCACCTAAAGAGCCATCTGCCTTAATATCAAGCTACATGCAGTTCTATATCAAAAGTGGGCTATCTTGATAGAACTTCTATGGTAGTGCTTCAAAGTTGATTATATATATTTTCGTCAGTCTATCAAAGGAGTAATCTTGGAAGCATACATAAATTATACCAGCTATCAGAAGTTGGCCCAAATGTTGTTGAACTCGTTCTTCCCTCCGCTTCTATCTCAATAAAAATTACTTTGAATAGAACACATACATAACGCTCCATTATCCCTATATGCTTCTCTTTTCTTCCCGGGGTCCCTCTCAGCTGTTTACTCAGATATAGTAAATCTGAAATAATTGTTGTGATATCATCCCTGCCATTTGTTAGGCTATTTGCCAGTTTATTTGCTGTTTTACATGGGTATAAATATCCAGTTTCTCCATAGATTTAATACAGCATCTTCTTCCTCATTCATCTCTCTCACCCCCATGGCATGCTCAATAGTAATTACATTGAACCTTTGTTTAAAACGAGGTACTGTGGCCACAGGTGGACAGTCGGGCTATATTGCCACATCCTGTATGAATCCTCCTTTTCCTCTGGAAGAGCAAGAAAAGATTAAGCTTTCGGATACGCAGCGGTGCGCGAGGCAAAAGTAGTTGAATCAACGAGACCCACCCTTGTCCGAGACCTTGCGAAAACAAAAACAGCTCACTCTACCTGGACCACGGGGACAGTCTGTAGATCAACATTCGGGGGATAGCCAGGTTCACAGGCTACCATAGCCCAGGACTCTACGTAGACGGTCAATGTACTAGACGCGTATAACGATCGACTGTCCAACTACGAGGGACAAAATCTGATGTACAAGGTCCAGAGCCAGGACTAGTACACCAACATAGTTAACCTTCCGGTAGGAATAAACTTAATTTACCTAGCTAATATCACTCGCCCTATAGCGGAGACATTACAACTAGTGTATACCATAAATAGGGGCAAGCGGCCCAGAGAGAATGACAGCTAGGCCGACGGATCTCAGGTTAGACCGTCGATATCTAAACCTAAGTTAAGTTAAATGCCCAGCGACAGCTACCTTAGGCCTTAATCGGGCCTTCTATACTAGTTAAGGAACTTTAAACTCACTAGGCGGAGAAATATCTCTACCCCAGTTGATCGATATATCTCCTAAGGCATGAACTGAGATTGCATCTCTGTTAAAACTGATCCCGGTGGAGAAAGGACCCAAAGCCGCCAAGAGGCCCAAGGCTAACATGGCCCAGTCTACCATCTCCTCTAATCTAGCTAAGCTTGTGTAGATCATTCGCATAAGGCTAACCCGGATTATTGAGGTCTCCACGATGACATGATATGCCCCCAGGACGGAAGCACTATCCTATTTTTTACTGAGGCTAATGTATTTGCGATGTCCAAAGATAATGTTACCACTCAGAGCAAAATATCCTGGGTTCTTATTTATGGTGGCTCGACCAGCAACATGATCCCAAGGGGAGTCGTGTCGAAGCTCAATTGTCGAACCGTCTCTCTATACAACGTTCTATATTTTGCAATATCGAAGGCACATGGTGAGTTGTTATTGTCTATTTAAGCTACACACGGAATATCAGTCATATTACTACCCACTGATGATATCGTGTGTGTTCGGAATGTGGATATGCTCACATTATATATTCAGCCCTCTACTTCTAGCCTTTTGCAGTATACTGTTCGTTCTTCTCAGCAACCTGTCACGTTACCTTATTATTAGATCTTTTTGTCCTGTATCTTAGTGCTTCTAGCTTCTCCTCAGACACACATTTTATGTATTATGGGTTGCGCTATCTCTTTCGCAGGTATCTGACACAATGTTTATATCTCAATCTATTGCTTAAGCTTGTAACGTCCAAGCAAAATTGATATCCTAAGTAGACTATACTACCACAGGTAAAGCAAGTGAAAGGACCTTCGGCATGAGCAGCCCCCTTGGAAGTACTTAAGACTACACATGCTCATTGCTAGGAAATGGTATGTATGAGTCCTGGTTGTTTGAACTCCACAAACAGCCAGATTAAACGTGACTTCCATCCAGAGGCCTTGTACACACATTCCACGGTCAATGAACTTAGTCGATTAGACGGCATATTCAAATCCAAGAATGTCTCGCCGTCAACCCCAAGATATACGCAATTGGCATGTCCATGACTACATATATTCTTCCATATGAGAGCCATAATCGAATATAGCGATAGAAGTATCCCAATATCCGTTTGTCATGGTGCCGCAGGTATTAACCAGCCAAGTACACGCAAATAAGGAAAGCCCGGGGAATGTGAAAACCATCCGCAAAGTATCTAGGCTGAACTATGGAAACTTGGTAGAGCACCCAACACCTTCCAGTTAGTTGTCAAAAAAAAGTATTGCTCATCAGAAGGTTACGGTTGCACAGCGAAGTTTGATTCCTAGAGCGATACGCCTTGGAGGATGCAAGCATATCCAAATATGCTTGTTCATCGCCAGATGGGACCTGATGGCTCAATTTGACGGAATGCAGAAGACATCGGCGCCTTTACTACGAAGTATACTGACAGTATTTAGCGCTTGCCGTCCTTTTGTGGAACAAAAGCGTCAACTTTGAAAGATTTTTTCACTAAGCTCGCTCAAACTTAGATTACGTATACTAGTAGCCTATAGACAAAGCTTGGAGTTGCTTGTCTGAGGTGGAGGAGTGAGCAATGTGACATAGCCAAGGTAATCCAATTCTCGAAATAGAAATGGGTCCTAACAGGCAGAACAATCAGGGCAAAGCGCCTGAAGAAACAACCCTGCAGAGGAGACCCTGACTGCCGCCAGGTGGGTTTAAAAAACAGCTAAAGCGGGTGCACTAAGATTCGGTATCTCTTTTGCCGGGTCTAAAACTGTTGTCGAAAGCCAAAGCATTGGGCCCCATGCCTTGTCGCCTCGATTCTCCATGGTTACGGCAAAATGCAGGCACTATTTCGAGCCAAGCTTATGCAGGGGCTGCAGTGCGTTTCCTCAGAAACAATGGCATTCATCCGCTTAATGTTATCCCAAATTAGCATCAAACTTACTGTCAATGTATTGTAGTGTTATTCAAGAGGCTAGCAGCGTGGAGTTGATTTTTACCACATCCATGAAATTAAGAACCCGTAGGTCATGAGCCATAGTATGTGTTGAAATCCCCTTTGCTCTAGGACTCAAGCACCGAGCCTCCACGTTGCGGGTTATTTTGAGTCAGTTATATTGTAGTAACCGTAAGTAGTTTCACAATAGCAAGAGTTTGAATAGGACAATATTTATTCAAATGATGCGTGACAGCCAATTGTTTCACGAACTTCGAATGGACCGTGGCGTATATCCAGGCGCCGGTCTCTTACCTGAGGAACCGCGCGCTTTAATCATACCTCGGGAGCGAACCACAGTGGTCGAGTAAGCCGCGCTGGCTTCGACGGGGTGTAAAGATGAAACATTCAAGAGGGTGGCTGCTGTTTCAGGCTCTCTGTGGGAAATAGGACAACAAGATTTGCTTTAGATGGCGCCCTTGCAATATCGTTTAATCGCCGATCGACCCCTGGCTGTAGCCACGCGGTTATGGAGGGGTGTGGTGAAGGATTTATAGAACATCGAAATCCCACCTGTTGCGTTGATATCTTATATTTCTATCATACAACGCTTTCAATTATCAGCTGGTCTGATTCTATATCTCTTGCTTTCTGTGCACTATTACTTTTCTGGAAGAAACAACTCCAAGACAGGCAAGACGTTCATTGTCCAACCCCGAGAAAGAAAACCCCACACGACACAAAAACAAGGTGCCCACCTGATTTACCATCAAGTGTCGATCAAACCTCCCTTTTTATTATTTTCAGACCAAATTACGGTGAGCAACTTCAAAGGAGGGGGATAAAGCGGGAACTAACCATCTACAGAATAGTGCAGTGCAGTCATCGAAAATACGGCTGAACATACAAACAAAAAACTTGTTCGGTATCATTACCGTCTTGTCTGTTCTATACTGTAATTTACCGTTGTTCCATACGTTACTGAGCCTTTGTGTTGCCTTGCTCCGCCATCATACATCTTGGGGTCCAAGTTGCGATTTCTCTCCTTATCCACAAGACTGTTCCCTTTTCGTGTGGCCAGTCTGAACCTTACCTTGCTGGTTCCTCAAACTTTTTATAGTCTCGCCCCGCCCTTCAAAAACAATTCTTGCGCTTTCCACTCTGCCCTCGACACTGCCTCACTGCCTGCGCATTGACTTGCATTTCTTTTTTTACATCTTACCTTGCCGGTTGATCATCCCCTTTACCTTCTTTGAAGGTTTCTATTATCAATTACGCTTGCATTATATCTTTGTTATATCTGCAGCTGGTTCCATTCCCTGCGACTCGACATCATGCCAGCTAAGCCTGTCTTGCCTCCTCTCAAGACACCCAAAACAATGACATTCCCGTCTGAGCTTCATGAGAGCCCTCTTACTGCTGGGTCTGATTATATCAAGCGTGAAGAGGGTAGCTCGACGCCAATCACTCCACCTCAGGCTTATACCGAGTTTCTCAAAGCTCTCACCCCGGTCTTTACTAGTCCTGTGAGCGCCGGTGTTGAGTTTCCCAAATTCAAATTTGAGAAGCGACGCCCTTCCCCGATATCTGTACCATCAAGTGCAACAAGTACAGTTTTCTCTTCCCACGAGAGTCTCTCCGCCCGCGACAGCCCCAGAATTGCCAGTCTCACCCTCCCCCCACCCTCCCCCGCGCCGAGCCCACGATCCGCCAGGCTCCCCACAACTCTACGACGTTTACGAATTCCACACTCATGCATGTATTCACCGGTGACGGAATCACCGGGAAGCGCACGAACAATTCGGTCTCCGTTTTCCCCCTCCGATTGGAAGATTCGGTACATCGAGACACCAGAGAGCGCGGGCGGGAAATCTGTTAGCGTGCGACAAGTTGTGACTAGGACTGTTACATATAAGCGGACACATTTGGATCCTCCCCCAAGAGGAAAGCGCCGCAAGACAAGTGAAAGCCAAGATGATTGATACTCGGGCCTTTTGCCGAAGGAACACATGACCATATGTACCCGAGAAGAATTTTGGTCTAGGCCAAGTACTGGGCCAGTTTTGCTTTTATTTTGTTTGTCATGCGTTCAGCCATTCGGTTCAGTTCAGCTTTGTTTTGTTTTTATTATTTTTATTATTTGCTTCTGCTCAATTGTCGCGAGTTGCATCCTGTTTCATTGTTATGCGATCCGGTTTGATCTTGGAGTTCACAGGTATTGTCTTATTGTGTTTCCCACTTAACAGGGGTGTCCTGCATGGCGAAGAGGCTTGGGTGGAATGAGAACGGAGTTTCTGACGTGGGTTTTCCATACCCAGTGCTTATTATTGAATACGTTAGTGGCGGAGAAAAGGGATACCTACGTGGCTGGCTCCCAATATCTTTGGTGGGGGCTGCATTTACTCGCTTTGTTTCCAGAGCTCTAGCCTACTCACATAAAATCACTATTTAACTTCTGAATCTTGATTTCTAAATATACCAATGAATCCCTTACATTTTTCATTTGTTTTCCTTTTCACGAGCTACACGCGACTCAAATCTCATGCCTATGAGCTAAGGCGCCATGACCACAAGAAGTGGACCCCAATGGTAGACAGCAGCATCTAAATGACAGTATAGAAAATCGAGAGCCAATTGGCTCTTTGACAGAGTCGTATTACTTGAATCCTTTGAAGCTATGTCTTGGCATCTGGGGCCGAATATAGTATTTTTGTCTCTTTACGACATGTCGAATGTTATGGGCCTAGCCCCGACCGGGGACTAGCTACTTCCACGTGTCAGCCGCATTCGATGGTGTTGGAAACGCCCCCATAAAGCACCGAAAACCAACAGTAAGATCCAAACTAATGCACATGCAATGATGGCTTCCGAGAGGCTGAAAACAGGGGTCGGACTATACATCTAAAAGCCCCTCAGCATCGCAAACTTATCAAAACAAGATTTAAAAGGCATCTACGGATCAATTTTTGGGGGTATCTACGCGCCAGAATCGGAGATCCGGGAAACCTACGGAGTAGTCCTGAGTCCTTCGTGGCTACAGTCTAGGTAAACTATCAATGGCATCCGAACCAGAAAATGAGATGCTGTATCCATATAGTCTTGTCCTATCAGCTTCCAAGAGTCCGTGCTCTAGTATCGTAGGATTTTATGGGTACCAGATGAGCGGTAGAGATGCCCAATCCAAACATAGTCGCATAGAATGCGTAGAAGGCTGAGTCAATGCGCGCGAGGCTCTTTGATCTTTTACTATGAAGCGAAGCTAGTGGTACGGAACAGCTAATTGTGGCGACGAATCCTAGCTTTTCTAAAATACGCCACAGCTTTCTGATCCCTGCTTCAAGACACAGCCCCCATGTTGAGCCGCTTGTTGCGCTTTAGGGGCCATGTGTACGTCTATACGCAGTACGGAATACTTACTCGAAGGATTTGGTCGAAGCCGTGGCACCAGGGAGATCCTTGGAATCTTCGAATTAAGGATATCTCAATTGGCCTTATTGGTCCTAGCCACCGCACCTTCTTACGTATCGCATCTTAATTTTACGAGTGGGTAGTATGAGGCCGGCTACTTTCGGTGTGTTTTCATGATGTATTTGAATACAGGGGTGGTACTAGTATTACGCGGTATCCAGATCTTGATAAAAAGAAATATCGGAGAATGCAACAGGCATGAGACTGAATTATGTGTATTATTCGGAATTGAGAATATTTATCAAATCAAGCCAATGGAAGCCATTCATTTCTTGTTTTTTTCATGGAGGGAAAAGCCTACGGAGTAGATTTCCTCGAAATACAGAAGAGATGGTTGGGAAGTCAAATGTACAGTAGCGTAATTATAATTTCCAGTAAACCATTTTAGCTTTTTTTTGTGATTACATGCTGAAACTTGGATCAATGAGGAGTGAGTATGGGATCTTCATGTAAGCCTAGCTTTGATCACCTCGGTACTCCGTATGTTGTACCTTGTCATCTTGGGTACAATACCTTAAAGGGGTCGGGTTGCCGAGATTCAGGGCTGGATACGGAGTACTCCGTAGAAGAAGCACGTCTGTCATGTGCTAGTTGTCAAGATTCACAAGGCTAGTTGTCTATGTAGTTAGGTGTGTTATATTTCACAGCATCTCTCATAGTACAGTCCTCGAGCATGCTTGTATTACTAGTCATTCAATATATTAGTTCCAGGCATCACAATTTAGAGGTACTGAGGTGGGCCTTCTGAATATCAGGCAATTATTTCGTTATTATCACATTGTGAATGTGAAGTTTAAACAGGTCATTCTGGAAAGGAGGCCTAAAACAATATTAGACCCACCGTTAAAAGTATGGCCAATCATCATGAAGAGGCCCCGGGAGTCATGGGGGTCTGTCCACGGGCCGCTCTTTTAAGCGCCGGCACTATCCCAAAATTGATTAGCGTGTGCCGAAGCTGAGAATTTGTGTTCTGATTGGATGACTTCTGTGGGCTCATCACGCGGGGAAAGTTTGTCAGGGCACTTGTTGGGACACAGAGGACAGTTTTTGACCACTCAGAGCAGCCATTGATATCTCCTCCGTACATTTCCACATTTCCACCATCCTTCATCTCCCGGGGGCTGCATGCTATTTTTACACTTGAAACGTTTCCACCCAATTACTGTCGAATACTCATGATCGCTGAATCACCTCGCATTACTCTGCAGGATCTTTTACATTAGCATTCGGCGAATCCGGATCCTATCACTGTGACGTCTTAATTGTCCAGCTCAAATGGAAATTTCTAACCCTACAGCCGTTGGTCCGCAATGTGAGAATGGACCGTGATACTACTTGATTCTTAGTATGCAATTCGAGCACAAAAAAGGGCCCGAGTCACGATCACTATCAGTGCTAGGTCTTACAGGGTTGCAGCTAGAATCAGCTTCCCCATCGTGAAGAATCCAAATTTAGTAGCACTGGCACAGTCTGCATGCAAGGAACCCACATTGTCACTCTTGTTTAGTTTTGATGGAGTCAATACTGCCGTGGGCCATTCATTCTTGGTCTCACTTACTCCGTACAGAGGTTGACCATGGGCCACTTTCATATTCTAAGCGCTGATCAAGTCCTATCACTTTGCATACTTCTTAGGGAATAATGGCTGGTATGATCTTCAATGGGATGCAAAGAGTTTCGTCATTGAAGTGGATTCACATGCACCATCCAGGATCTTTCTGCAGCAAACCCCGGTGGAGGTGAATGTTATTTTTGGAATCTACTCAGTCTCAACCTCATCTGTCTAAGGAATAAGTCGAGAAGCCTCTATCTTTGATCACTATGTCACAGTGATAGTTGAATAATAACCTTAATAGCTCCAGCCATCCAAAGTGTTCATCTTCAAAAACCAAATCTTCTAGTAGATAGCCCAAAACGACTATAGGCACTCAAAGGGTTCATGCGATCTATGCCAGAGGACACACTCGTAGGGCTGGGCAAAGCAACAAGATCATGTCATGGCACTGTTCACTGAACCAACCTTGGAATAAAAATAGAAATCAGAAACAAAAAGAAGGAAAAAGCACCCATGCGATCGGCGGCAATAATCATATGAATAGCACAGACTAAAAGAAGTGAACTGATTCGTCAGTCTAGAAATAGTATACAGATTAAAATCTATCAATAGATTATAAAAACAGAAGCGAAGGTGATACCTTCTCTATTTATGGATTCCTGTGTTTAATTGGATGGACGTTCATCTCAGGCCCCGTGGCGCACAGAAGGAAAAGAGGAGGTTCCTATATTTAACAATTAATGCATGTGCAAAACCACTACGAGTCAGCCTACACACAACCGTAGTGGATCCAATAAAGTAAGTAAGACTTCGTATTCCGTAGCTCTGCATATGCATTTACTAAATATCAAATTGATTGGTTCAGATCTGTCGCTTTTTTTGGATACAACAAGACCAGCAACCACTCAACAATACCCCCTCCCACTTATCACACGTTTGTCGCATCTTAATCACGCTCATCTCCTTCTAATCTCTAATATCTCTATTCTTAGAATAACTTCTCGTTAATTTTAGATCATAGATCGTCGTGTCCTGCAAGGGCAGCCCGTCCCGTGTTGATCCTACGCTACAATTCCCGTTGCGCTCACAAACCCCGCTGCACCAACGGTCCTAGAACACACACTTTGACGCATCTCACTGGCGCCCAATCTATTCCAACCATTGATACTATGATTAGCAACAAATATGATTCATATCTGATATGTTTTTGGTTTGAAATCCCTATTGTTTTTCAAAACAGCATCTTCAGTATCGTACAGTATCATACAAGTCCATCATTTACTTCATTCTTCACTTCATTTCATGAAGCCAAGATATCTAATACCTCGATTAATTCTAAATTAAGACACACCATCTGTGCGCAAGGCTTGCTTCGACCCACCTCTGTACGCCTGTTCGGACATCACTCTTTCACCGGTTATAGATCATTGCCATTCGAGGCACGCTGCTGTCCAAAGCCCAGTGACTCTACCGCTCTCGACCTTTAATGGGAACTATTCTTGCTGTGATGGTTCTCGCTTTTCTTTCAACAATCTGTGACTATTCTTGGACATGCTTTAGTCGCGAAGCATGTGTCCCCCCCCCTCTTCTCAAGAAGGACGATTCATGTTGAAGGCTAGCCTTCATATAGTCCTTGTCTAGGTTTTGAAACTTTGCTATCATGATCTACAAGCAATGTATGTCTTCATGAAATGTTGGCATACTTTGTATCTCATCGAACCATTTCAACCGTGGTCATCAATGATGACAGCAGAGGCATGTTACAAGGGAAGAGTATAGAATGAATGTGGATGGTGGTCTACCCACTGCCTCAGAGCTATCTATATCCCTGGAGATAAAGAAAGAGGTTTGACTAATCTATACTCAGCCAACTTTGGAAGCATCCATGCAAGGCCTCACTGTGCTTTGATGTCTGCATTAATTAATCCTAGGTTGAACCCTGCTGTTGCCTAACACCGAGCACGAGCAGATTGAAATTTCCGATATATTTCAGAGAGGCAATCCTTTACTAATCACACTCATAACACCAACTGCTGTTCACACTACTTCGGACCATCCCGCCCGTTCATGTTACTCGACCTCTAGCTCTCCAATTCTATATCTGAGCTCATCGTTTGGTTGCTCCATGATGCAATTAACGTATCGGAGTCCAGAACAGCAAGTGACATTTACTTATGCACGATATCACACCTTGTCACACTGCATCGTCCAAAAATAGATTTGAGAACAAGCCTCTACTGGGTCTCCAAATCCCCCCAACAAAGCAATTTCCTAGAAATCCGAACCCCGGATGTTTCATGAACATCATAAACTTCAAAGAGAATAAAGAGCCAGCGGTCAATCAGAATTGGGTTATTCATTAGGGAAGAGAAAGAATCACATAAACGATTCTATATTTAGAGGCGGGGCAGTCCAGGATGCACGTTGTTGGTGTGATGGATCGGCCTCCCCCTGCGCATGTCGACGAGTAATAATGAAGAACTGATAATAGTTCGACCAGAAGTAGCTAGAGTGGCGCTTTTGTGGTCAAAAATACCCCATCAGGGCGGGAAAAAGTGTATCACCATGAAGCCAGAGAGAGGGCAACTCTGGGAATCCCGTGATCGACCCGCCTCCCCTCCCCTCCATCAGTGCAGCTTTACTCCCATTTCACTTAGCAATCAGCCCCATACACACTGCTTTTCTTAATCTGTTGAGCGGCATACCTAAGCACAACCCAATTATCCCGTGTCACTCCTAGACCGAGTAGCATATTTGTCTTCGGCCTGACTGCACAGCTATGGCTCAAGCACCGCCCGCCTTTACACCAGACAGCGAATTCGCTGAGCTTGAGACGCCACACGGCACCAGCAATGGGAGCCTATCGATAACTGCACTGGCCCGATTTGAGTTTGAGGCCGGTAAGGCGAACGATGGCACTAAAATCCTGATGATCGAGTGGGAGGACGACGATCTTACCCGATCCTCATCTGAGGGTTTCTGGAATGTCTCGTGGGCTGGTAAGACTACCGTTTTACCCGCCGACGAACGGCCGTCTGATAGCCTGCATCGCTTCTATCTCTTATTGCCGCCTCATGTCACCATCCCACCTGTTGTGACACTATCATACGAACTCCAGGGCACCCCGGACGAAATAGCTGCTCTCCGCGAGAAGAGGCCCCCGCAAAGTCGTGATAGCTTCCAACTGAACCCTCTTCCTGCAATATTTCCCCCTGAGCTCGGTGCTACCGGCCGGGCGGCCGGCAAGAAGGGTGTGTTGCATACTATCTGGGCAAAGAAACGACTTCGTGTTCTCGAACAGGAGATTACCGCTGAATCCCGAAACAACATTGAAGGTATCGCAGTTCACATGGCTATCCAAGAAAAGGAGTGGATTGAGGAAAACTTTGGAGTCGGCACAGGCGCTGTCGACTCGGTTGCTAGCAGTCATGACTCCGCGAACTCATCCTCCTTGTATCCGGTCACACCGGTGTCCCCTGTCAACAGTAGGAAACTGGGTGACAAGCTCAAAGGACTTAAGCTACAGACAAGCGAGAAGGACCTGGCTATGAATAATGGTATACATCCTTGGTTCCAAGCGTTACTTTTTTTTTCTTGTTATCAGCCTAGCTAACCAAAATCAGACTCGGCTCCCAATACCGCGCATCTTCTTTCACCTCAATCTCCTGATGTCGCCGTGTCTTCGTTCAACTCATTCCGTAATGTTGCCCATAGGAACGTCCACTCCATGCCGACACCAGATACCAATTCAACCCCAACCCCTAACTCTCACACCAACGGCTCCGTTCTGGAAACCCTGAAGCCGGTTGCATTCTTCCCACCCTCGGCTGTGCAGGAAGCGCAACAGAGTTGTGGCCCCACCGGATTCGCAGCCATGGGCACCGTCTTGCGCACTCAAAGCAACGATTCCGGCGAGGAATTGTTTGCCAAGGCACTGAGCCCGCGCTCGCCCGATCTCCCTCGCAGCCCATTCTCATTCCGTTGAATTTGAATTTCTCACGCATGATATGATACCATACCATCTTTCACGACTTGCGCAATGATTCCCCTTCTGCGGTGCCATACCATATGTCCACATTCCATGCATCTATGATCATTTATCTATCTTTCCCGTTCTGTCCATACTCGTATCATGTCATATTGCATTTTCATCTCTTACATTGTTGCTGTATGGACGCGCCATACCATATCTATGGATCATATATGTACATAGACCAGAGTCGAATTCTATCAACCCCTCGGCGATTAAGAAAAAAAAGGCGTCTTCAATGATTTTCTTTGCGACAGCAAAACCCCGTCTGCCTAGGCGACTAGAAAGAATATAATAGCTACCAAGCAAAACAAGTAATTAGGCATACCACCCCACCACCAAATATCCACATCCCTAAGACAAACACGCAAGAGAAACAATCAACTAGATTCAATTGCTCTTCTTCCGCTGGCTTCCCTGCCGACCAGACTTACTAGCAGTCGCAGTCGACGAACCGGAAGTAGCGGCATTAGCGTCGCCAGCCTCCTTCTCATTCTTCTTGCTAGCAGCAATCGATTCATCTTCCTGAATATCCTTGCTCTCCGCATACCACTGACCAGCCTGCAGAACCAGGATTCCAACGAGGACAAGCGCGAGAATAGTATTGCTAGCGGAAAGAACCTTGAGCGAGTCCTCGCGACCAAGAATCTGCTCATACTCGTCTTCGGTGGGACCCAGGTCAGCGCCATACTGGCCGGCAGAGGCGAGACGCAGACCCTTGACGATGTTGGCGATGTAGACTGTCACTCCACACATGTAGAGGACCAGCGATGCGCCGTCGAAGAGCATGTTTGATTCGGAGGGTTTGTAGAGCTTGGTGAGGAGACCGGCTAGACCGAGGAAGATTACGATGTGCAGGATGCGTGGGATGAGCGGGGGCGAGGCGTGCAGGAAGCGGAGATGCGCCTCGAGATAGTCATAATGCGAGGAGGGGGTCAACACTGTGGACCACAGGATGGGGTAATCGTAAGGGAAAAGGGAGAAGATAATGCCCAGGAAGAAACAGGTTGCTGTGAGATTGAGTTAGTTACAGTCTGGCCTCTTTGGCGTTGGGGTCCGGGGAAAGGTTCGCGATGGCAACTTACGGCAGACAATGAGGAAGGTCGCGAACGACCCGCTTTTGAAGGCCATTGTGAAAATTGGAAAAAGCAGATGAGATTATTTTGAAAGAGAAAGGAGATGACCAGGGGCGAGGCTGAATTCCCCCCAGGTATCGCTAAGCGGGTGCCAAGCCCTCCGGGGCCGGGAGATAAGGATGTTTTTTTACAAATCTCACTTTGACCTCGGGAGATTCATTTGATCGCATTAGAGAATTGGGACATATGTGTACGAGACTCGATTTGATAAATAAGTGTATGATACAAGATTTCAACGCCTTTAGCGCCTTTTCATTAATGCGAATAGTGGTATCTTCCAGAACATCCCGTAAATGCAAATGTACATAACATCATCGCTGGTATCGAGGCAACGACTCGTCTGCATGCGCCGTCCCACCGACCAGTTGGTCATCCTCATCAAAGACCGGCGCACTGGGCCCGTCACTGGGTTCCTGGATGTTGGGCTCGTCTTGGGGTGCACTCGCCTGCTCCTGGAGCCGGTGACGCTCAAGCTCTTGTTTATCGTCCCCTGATACTCGTGGCTCACTGGGCCCAGCGCCGTTCACGACGACGGTCTGCAGGGATTCCGCAGAGCGAACAGCATGCGGCGCTCCGTTTATATCTGGTGAATGCACATGCTCGTAGTCTTGAAGATGATGATCATCTGGCAAAACCGGCGCGGTCGGGACCTCCATTGGTACGGTAGATGGCCCTGCCTCATCTTCATCGGGCGGTTGACTAGGTAAGAGGGCTTCCTCGTGGCGTCGCACCCGTGTTTTCTCGTCAACGGGCTCCTCGACTTCTGGAGGCGCAACCATAGAGTCTTGTTGGAAATGTTCGGGGTATTCTTCAGGGTACTCAGTCCAATCAGTCTCCTCAGGCAAATATCCCTCCTGTGACTCATGTTCACCATGAGAATTAGGCATTGGGCTCGCCTCTGGCCACTCCTCCCCATCAACAGGGTTAAGTAGAATTGCAGATTCAGGAGGCGCCGTTTGTGATGTAGTCGATTCGCCAGCTATAGATGATGTACGTCTCATCGATTTTCTTCGTTGTGAATCACGCGTTCCAACCACTACTTCAAACGCCACTGAGATCACACCTTTTTCTCGACGGATTGCGTCCGTGTCCAATATGTTGCCGGCCCAGTTGGCAGTAACGCCACTCGAATCGGCTGGATTGAGGACCTGCCCGCTAGGCGAAAATGTAGTGCCACCGGAGACCATGTTAAAACGTGGAATGAAGCGATCTGGCGAAGTGATTTTGCCTCGTAGGTCCGTTACAACCTCCACATAGTACCGAAAATTGATCATGGCTCCCGGCACTCGTGTGATGGTTGGAAATGCGTCTTCGGGTATTCGGATGGAAGTCTTTACAATTGCAGTCATGGTACTTGGATCAATTATCAGTGGGGCAAATGTCTGCGACAGATCTTTGCGAAAAGTGCTGCTTGTCCGACTTGTTCCCAAGGTAAGTCCTCCAAGACCCGTCCTTGATCGCGGATAGCAGTCTTCATATACCGGCTTTTTCCCGGCCGCGGTAGTGCCGATGGGAATTGCAGGATGAAGGTCAATGCGACCTTGACGGTATAATGTAACCATAATTCCATGCGCACTGCGCACTTGTTTACTATGGTTGATCGTGACTGTGATAGGTAGGGTATCACCGGGGAGGACGCCGGCGCGCAGAAGCTCTGCCTTTGCGGTGATTGTTTTATCTGAGATAGACGGAGTCGCACTGCGACTCTCGCTGTTTTGTCCACCCGTGCTTGCGGATGAACCGGGATCGCTGGAGATTCGAAAGCTTTGGCTGCTTTCGCTAGGCCGGCTGCATGAGCTGACATTGCTCGGCGAGGGGCTCAGAGGTGGTCTGGTATCTATGGAGGGTGTCGCACCACTAATAGGGGTATCGACCGAGGATGTATCTGGTCCTGCGGTTGCATCGGAATTTGTCGACTTGGCTTTCCCCCTCGATTTTGAGCGCTTCGAGATAGGCTCCAATGTAACTATCCGAGCCCTGGGCGCAGGGAAGGGTGCGATGTCGATGTTTTCAAGAATATTGACCCGTCTTCGGCATGTAAGTGTAGGGTTTATGGTGGTCGGTCGGGTGAGGGTAGAGGTAAGTGAGTAGCCGATGATTCCGCGTTCAAACTGCAGTTGTCCGTTTGGTTAGCGTATTTAAATAAAAGAGGTCGCATCAGAAAACGCACATTTATACTGCTAGGAAGCGCATAGGGAGGAAGCCCCATCTCAAAGCGAAATTTGTAGATGCCCTCCTTTAAGCGTCCGTCGCCACAGAGAACAACCTCATCCTCAAACAATGTTGCTAGCCCATTGCCCAAGTATTCTGCACCTCGTCTACCCCGCCCTGGTCCTAAAAATCCCAAGTCGGGGGTTGCTTCTCCTGCCGGGATCGCGTTTTTGAACACCTTGACATAGCCGTGAAGACAAATGACTATATGCGTGATGCGAACGGGTCGTACAACAGTCACAACAACGGTACCTTTTATAACGTCACCGGGGAAGTAGGAGCGCCATGGGTCGTCCGGATCGATATAGAAGTCGCTGATGGCTCGATTTCGTTGACCGAGTGGGGAGCGAAACTTGGACAGGAGAGAGTTGCGATTCCGACTGGCCGGCAACGTAGGTTGGGAGGGATGGTTGGCGGACATGACACACAGCCGCTGTTTACTGCATCTATACAAGACAACGTGGCAGGGGTGAGAGGGATGGGAATGATAGACTGCAACCACTTTTGACACCGATCGGACAGACAGGCCGGTATTCTGGGCAGCACGGAATGGCGGGGGATGGTCGGACAGACCAGTAGGCAGTCAGCCTACGTCAAGGAATCCAATCAAGCGACACAATAAGTAGATCAATCGTCTTGTCGAAGAGTCTGGCGTCCAGGACCAATGCACTGAACACGGTCTGATTCCAAACGTCCACGGAATTGTATCCTGATCCACGCCGCAAGAGATTCCCCTGGTCCAAAGAAAGGAATGCGGATTATGATCGATGGCCACTGCACCGCATTGTTTCATGTGACATCGAAGCGCGAGGCAGGATTTCGACGGTACCCCCGCCAGGAACTCGAAGGATATCGGGACGCAAGGTCAGGTCGCAAGATAAGGGAGTGGATATTGTTGGGAAGAATGATGGGCTCGAAATGGACCAATGGGTCAATACTGCTAGAATATTATGCTGTAGGCGAGGAGTCTAGAACGGGGTCGGGGGGATCGGGGGAATCGGGGGTGAGAGGATGAGAGGCGCAACTGGCGATGGCGCGAGACCCGGAGGAATGTGGGACTTAAGAATGCACGAGCCAACAAGTAGAAGGCTTGAGGTCAAAGAGAGGGGGGGAGAAGAGAGTAGAAGAGGGGAACACTAAGAGAGAAGGAGAGTCGCGAGTTCGCGATAAGCCTCCGAGAGGCGGAGAACAAGCCAGGGCCTATTCGCGTGTTGCACGGTCAAGCTTCTCTTGGTATTCAGGTGGCTCAGCTAGTTTTCCCATTTTTCTGGGCAATGATTATCATTTTAAAAAATGTTTCATGTTTCACATCATTTCCCCAAGGTTGCCATGTGCTAAGCAATCCTAAGCTTTTTTCCCTCAAATCTCTATCCTATCCCAGTTCACAGAGACCCTCTCCGTCCACGTACTCGTCTCCATAACATTCACGTAAGACGCCATCAATGATTTGTCGGTCTCCACCAGCTAATTTGCGCAAATATTCCTCTAAAATGTAAATATTATCTGTCCACTGTAATGCCTGCCGTTGGAACCCCGCTAACTCCTCTCGGACCTGCTTCACACCCTTGTTGGCAAGTGAATTGAGGGGTCCGGAGAGTTGGGCCTCTGTAGTCCGTACCCGATCGACTGCCACTTGGAGCTCGGTCTTTTTAGTCATGAGGGATTCCCTTTCATGCTCGTCGGTCTCCTCCTCTCGGAAAGTGGTCTCAGCGGCCAATGCCGCTTCTGCATCAGCACAGGGCTTCCGGACTTTCTCCACTTCCATAGTCACTCGGGCCAGCTGACGCTCTCGCTCGTGCGTTTCATCACTGTTGAAACTCCAGTACCAGTTCCCACTGCCGATCTTTTCGACTCGTAGTTGACCCTCATCGGTCAAAGCTTGGATGTATTCCTTGACCTGGATGCCATTGATAGATGCAACTGAGGGTAGCGTCTTCTCTAGATCCTTGAGCGTGTGACACGTTCCAGTGGAGCGGAGATGAGTCAAAATCAAATCTTGTTTAGCGCCTTTGGTTAATTTGGGCTAGTGATGCGTCAGTCTCTCATCTAGATCCTAAACCCCGGAATATGCCAAAGCCACGTACCATCTTGCACGGTCAAATACCCTAGGTAACTTGAAAAAAAAAAAAAGCTTAACAATCCAGTCGTCCAGTCATGGGGCAGGTGTGAAATTGCTAAGCATTTGTGGAGGCGCAGTGCTGGAGGTTGTTCAGAAAGAGAAGATTACCTGTCACGCGTTGGAAACCCATGCCCCAGATAATATAAGCTCCTCCTTTGATACTTACCTTTCCTTGCCTCTCTATTCCAACATTTGAAGGCTTTCTCTGTAGAACTATTTTGCTTTTGAACACATTATAAATTATGATTATAGAAACTACTAACGCTCCTCGTAGCCTTGGGAGTGAGCATGAGATTAAATGAAATCGACCTATTCTTTTGGGGTCCAATCGAGCTCCTGGGAGGCCCTACTTGGGTTAGACTTGTTGAGTGAGACAAGGTTCTGCTACATCAGAACGAGGTATCGCAACAAGATGTCGCCTCGAGGCCAGCCATGATGAACCGAACTTGCTGGAGGATGCACAACATGTCCGAGATTGAACTTTTATTCGGTGTGAGAGCGCGCTCTCTACAGTCCTACCAGCCGGCTAGATATCGGGCGGTTTAATCACCGAGGGTTCTCTCCCTGGTAGTACTCTGCGTATAGCTTCATTGAAGACCGTCGGTGTACCGGAGGTGCAGAAGAAGGCGCAGCAAACTATTGTCTTACAGATTAAAGTATGACTGTTGCTTCTCTGGATGCCATATAGTGGTTGGCAGGGACTGGGATATGCACCGATACCATGTGCAGATACAGGTGCAGCGTGGCTGTGTACTGCAGTACATGGGGTGACCCGATTCGGTTTCGAGGGGTTTGACTGAAGCTTTGCAAGATATTGCATAGCTTGATACAGCTGCATCAAAAGTCTCCGGGAATATCCGGCTGCGGAGAAATGGATGCAACCTGACAGGGAATTTCTGACGCCATCTCATCCAGTCATCGCCTTTCGTCAACCTCGGTATCGAAATCTGTTGTAACAGAAACAGAACGTGACAATTTGCGCCGTTTTGAGCTCTGCTGGACAATGCTGTTTGTTCGTTTCCTTCGTGCTGCTCGTACTGCTGACTTAGTTGTCGTGTCACTCTCGAGGCCTGTCTTATCATCCTCTTCCTCCGGCAGCTCTTGTCCTTCAGTCAGGGCCAGATCCCCGGTTTCACCCAGTTCCTCCTTGACCATCTCTTCGATCAAAATTCCCATTGCAAGAAGTGCTGTCTCGTCCATGGTCTGGAGGTCATCTTTGCCGTTGTCCGCTGTGGCATATTCGTAGTAGTCGGCCGCATAGGCATGTAGCGTCTCAAGAAGGTCGGAATGCGGGAGAGCTTGGCCAGAAGGAAGATGCTCATGAGCGAAGTAGGTTCTCTCGTCGATTGATTCCGCCGGAATGTTCTGCCTGCGATATAGAAGCTCCTCTGGACGCAAACTTCGAGCTCCTGCCGAGTTTGTGTCGCGGTATTGAGAAGCAAGTTGACGGGGTGCGTTGAGACCGCGCGCATTGACGCGACCTAGTTGCAGTTAGATTTAGTTTTGCTTTATAACAAGATAGGCAACCCTACCAGCTACCGCATCATAGACATTGGCACGGCGTTTTGTGTGCCTCGAAGGCTTATCGTCTAGTAATTCTTGTCTATCTTCCACTGACTCGGCAAAACTGTGTTCGTCCGAGTCTAACCTGGTATCAGACATACTTAGGTTTGCCAGGAAGACCAATCAAGGTTTGGCAAATCGAACTGGGATGTGCAGCGGATAGTAAGTCAAGATCAAGGCCCCCAGATCTCCAGCTCCTAAATTCGATAATGCGCCGGCACAACTTTAATCCGGTAGAGCATAGCATCATCGAGCGCTCTCGACTTCTCTATGCAAAGGCACCAGCGCTGATGAATGAATGAATTCCTATCTTCTCAACAGAGCCCTTGGGTCTGTAAATCCAAATGAATTTCATGTTGCTCAAACAACCCGGCTAGTTCACAACCTTGAGCCTGCTCCGGGTATACGCTTCTCCAGCCGCAGAGCAGCTACAGCAACGGACCGGTCCGAAGACGATGTGGCACCTTTAGAGCAGGAGTTAGATGTTACGGCGGAGGTGTTTGCTCACAAGTCCGGCGTGAATTGTCTGGCTGTCGATCAGTTTGAGGGCCGATAGTGCGTCTGCAACCACTTAGCATCCGACTGTTGTCAATCTAACATGAGTAGTATGATATCAGGAGGTGCCGATCCATCGATTCATCTCTGGGACCTTGAATCAAGAGGCTCGGAACTCGAGCATGTCCATCAATCCTGCGCGTCCGTCAGCAAATCCTCTCACGCCGATGCGCATACACATGCGATTACCTCCCTCTCGATCTACCCGTTCGATCCCGTCCCATCAACGATCTTCTCGACAGCACACGATGGTACATTAAAACTGTCAGCGCTACAGTCGCCATCTATCACCCCTATACATACATTCAACTTGGACTGTACACCATATTCACACTCGTTCTCCTCCCAACCTGGGTCAACACTGCTCGTCGCAGTAGGCACATCTGAACGATCGGTCCGACTAGTAGATCTACGATCTGGACTATCGACACAAGGTCTACCAGGACACAATGGTGCTGTCTTATCGGTAGCATGGGCACCTCACCGGCCGCATCTCCTAGCCTCCGCATCGGTTGACAACCGAGTCATCATATTCGACGTGCGTCGCGGAGGTCACAACTCTGCCATCGCTACCCTGGATATGGATGATCCAGTAGGACTGGTGGCCCCAGGAACCGGATCTGTGCCGGCCTCATACGAGAGTCGTCCAGCCTTCTCCCGGCATGCCCGTGCCCACAATGGGCCTGTGACTGGAGTACGGTGGACGTCTAATGGCAGTCATATCGTGACGACGGGACAGGATTCCCGAATTCGAGTCTGGGACTCCGCAACAGGCGCTAATACACTTGTTCATTTCGGCCCTCGGGTCCGTAATAGCTCTTCCTCGCACCTAGCTGAACGGGCACCGTTAATCGTGCCGAAAGGTTCCATGAATCCAGGGCACGAAACACTACTCTGGCCAAATTTCAATGAACAGGATGATCGTGGTGAGATTTTCATGTTCGAGGTCCGCGAGGGGACGTTGGTTAAGCGTCTCCGCGTCCCAGGTCTCGCGGCTGGGTCGCAGAATGTCCGTGGTCGGTCGAGTGCCTTGAGCGCCGGGCGTATCAATGACGTTGTCTGGCGAGGGAACGGTGCCTCAGGAGAGGGGATAGAGCTGTTCTCTGCTCATGGCGATGGAACAATCCGGACATGGGTATCTCACGAACCGGACGGCGAACCTTCTGAAGCAGAGCAAGCAGCTCAAGCCGATCGCAAGAGGAAGCGAGATGTTCTTGATGAGATCTATCGAGGATTTATCGGGCCTGACCAGCCCAGGCTACGAACCTGAAACGATTGAATAGCCATACTCTACACAGACAATCTAAACAATTTTTTGTGGATAGTATAGAATTGTTTTATATGTGACAAACGCCATTCATAACATCATGCACCAGATAGCGTGAGCTAAAGGGAAAGCAGCCATCATTCATTATGAAAAGCTGAAAGGCCACACCAATGGCTGGGGAGACTCCCTAATCCCCCTGATAGCGCTCATACTCACTGCGCTCATACTTGGCCTGCTTGAGACCACGAGTATCGCCATGGTCGGCGTGGTGATTAGCCCCCATGTAGGCATGCTTGGCCTCGATTCCGGCTGGCATGGAGCTGCCAATGCCGGTGATGACCTCGCCGCTCTCACCTATATCCCGGGTCGAGCGTGGCAAGTCGGTAGTGTTGTCGGCGGCCGTCGCGATTGAGGGCTTGGCGATACCTTGGTCGTCGAAGCCGAAGTTTTCGGCACGCTGGTCTGGACGTGGCACCGAGGGGATGGTATTCATCCGGTCGGCATCATTGGGCATGGATGTGCCTCCTTGGGCGGACATTTCGGAGAGAGTTCCGCCTTGGTGAGGGTCTTTCCGAACCATTTTGGAGGGGTTGAAGTGGTCTGATATACAGTGAAACTTGAGGTACTAGGGATGATGAAGGATTGGGGTTGGAAAGCGTTGGTTGATCCAACAAGATGAGACTACAGTCTTCTCTCTTATATTTCGCCCTAGAGTCCAAGCCCTGTACTACTGGCACTGATGTCACAGCCTTAGACGTTGACTAGGGATGATGGGCAATGAGATCACACGGTGAAAATTGGTTGCTCATGTTAACTGGCATAAAGCACATATGACAACGAAGAAGATGCCATTGACTAATAGTTATGCCAGCCATACTAGAAATTATTGGAAGTTGGTTGTCGATATCCTGGCATTCAAGCGGCTCTTGCTGTCATTGAGCTTGAGGATTCGCAGTGGCGAAATCAAACGCCCACTTGTAAAGGCAAACTGGCCCATTCCACCGGAGTCTATATGGTCGGGGTCAGGAACCACAAATAAGATCTCTGTTGAGATGAAGTGTTGCACTTATGTACGAAACAGTAAGGCAATATGCGTTGAGTGGATTGGCAACCAGCGATAGTATTAAGCTGGTCTTTGGTGAATTGTTACATCTTAGCTGAGTTACTGGGAGAAGAAAATCAGGTAATTAGAGTTGTGAGTGTATAATAACATCGTTAAAGGAACACTGTTCATTAAAGATGGGTCAAATTGGTAAGGTACACGAACGTTGTACGGAAAAGAACGGATGTAAAGAAAACAAAAGGCAGAGGCCATAACGAGTGACAAGAAAGTACTGATACACCAAAAACAAAGATGTGATGGCCGAGCGCCTAGAGGATGAATGCAAGAACACCCACGACAGCGGCGGCGGCGGAGACAATGCCCCCAGAGAGGCGAGCGGCGCCACCCTGGAACATAATTCCATGCGAGGCAGAAGCCGAAGCGGACGAGGAAGGGTAAGCCTTGTGCTCGCCGGAGACACCACTGGGCACCATCTTGCCCATGCTGCTGGATGGGGTAGCCGTGGCGAAAGCGCCATGTGAGGCAGGGGTGGCCATGGGCACATGCACGGGGATCATAGAGTATGCAGCAGCTTTGCTCATAGGACGGTGGGAAGCATGGCTGTAGGGGGCGGGGGCTGAAGAGCCGTAGGTCTTCGCCATGGGGTCAGCTCCGGCGGCGTTCTGGGGAGAGTGAGAAGGCGAGTTGTCGTAGGCGTTCACCATAGGGTCAGCTCCAGCGGAGTTCTGAGGGGAGTGGGAGGGCGAATCGTCGTAATCGCTCACCATAGGGTCAGTTCCAGCGTAGTCCTGGGGAGAGTGAGAGGGCGAGTCTTCGTAGTCGCTGACCATAGGATCAGCCCCAGCAGACTGCTGGGGGGTATGGACAGGGATGTCATTGGACTCCATGACGGCAGGCTGGTAGGCCATCTGTGTCGCTTCGGCAGTCTTGTACTGGGTCTTTGTCACTGTGTGGACAACCTCGTGCGCCGGGGCAGCGCACTGGGCCTCAACGCGGTCCTCGTAGTCACCATCGTCGTAGTCGGCGGAAGCAGGAGGGTGGACATGGGTGAACTCGCCCTCAATGGAGTGGTTGTCCTCGTTGTGCTCGCCAATGCCGGTGTCAACACCGATATTGGTGGGGAGAGAGAAGCCAGTGCTGGCGTCATCCCCAGAGGGACCACCAATGGCAGTACCACCGGGGGGCCCGGTAGGAGCGAACGCACGTTTACCAAAGGAGATGCTCCCGGCGGCAGGGCCATTGTTGTTGTGCTCCAGGGCTGTGAGCTCATAATCAAATGTGGTGTGGGGCTCGTAGTGAGGCTCATAGTAAGGGTTGTAGTGAGGCTCGTAGTGGGGCTCAGGGTGGTGCTCAAAGTGAGGCTCGGGGTGGTTCACATAGTGAGGCTCAGGGTGAGGCTCGAAGTGAGACTCGGTGTGAGGAGCGTAGTGAGGCTCTGGGTGGGGCTCAAAGTGACCGCCGTGCGGAGGGCCACCGGGACCACCAGGGAAGCCACCGGGGAAGCCACGCTTTCCAAACTTGATGCTACCAGCGGCAGGACCATTGTTGTTGTTCCTCACCGAAGTGAGGTCGTAATCAAATGTGGTGTGGGGCTCGTAATGAGGCTCATAGCTGGGGCTATAGTGAGGCTCATAGTGAGGCTCCGGGTGGTTCACGAAGTGAGGCTCTGGGTGGTTGACATAGTGAGGCTCGGGGTGAGGCGCGAAGTGAGACTCAGTGTGAGGCTCATAATGAGGCTCTGGGTGGGGCTCAAAGTGACCGCCGTGCGGAGGGCCACCGGGACCACCAGGGAAGCCACCGGGGAAGCCACGCTTTCCAAACTTGATACTCCCAGCAGAAGGACCGTTATTGTTGTGCTTCAATGAAGTAATCTCCTGCTCCAGTGTGGTGTGAGGCTCGTAGTGAGGCTCATAGCTAGGGCTATAGTGAGGCGCATAGTGAGGTTCAGGGTGGTTCACGAAGTGGGGCTCGGGGTGGTTCACATAGTGAGGCTCAGGGTGAGGCGCGAAGTGTGTCTCGGTGTGAGGCGCGTAATGAGGCTCGGAGTGAGGCTCAAAGTGACCACCGTGTGGAGGGCCGCCATGACCAGGTGGGCCAAAGTTCTCGGAGCGGCGATGGAAGGGATTAAAGAGAGGAACGTCAGGGAAGATTTCCTCTCTCTCTAGCTCAATGGAGTGGTCATCCTCATTGTGCTCATGGGTACCGGTGTTAATGCCAACGTTAGTAGGAGCGCTGAAGCTCTGGCCACCATCGTTGCCGGAGGGACCACCGATAGCCGTGCCTCCAGGGGGAACGAAGCGCTTCGCAAATCCATCAGGAGGCGCTTCGAAGAAACCGGTTGGTCGGTGAGGACCATAGGCGGCGCCATGCGGGGGTCCGTGGGGGTGAGGAGGAGGATGCACAACAGCAACAGGGTGAATGTGCTTGTTCTTGATGTCCATGGAGTGATCATCCTTATTGAACTCGTTGGTCTGTGTGTTGAAGATACCAGTCACAGACATATCGAAGCTTTGGCCCTCATCATTGCCAGAGGGCCCACCAATAGCAGTCCCACCTGGGAAAGAGTGGCCACCTGGGAAACCACGCTTTCCAAAAGGTCCCATTCCAGGGACCTGAGGGCCGCCAACAGCCCCTGGGTGGCCAAATGGCACAGGAACCACATGAGGGCGAGGGTACACATCAGTGTGCTTCAGCTTGATGGAGTGGTCATCCTTGTTCCACTCATTGACCTGGGTGTTGGTCTTGATAGTAGCGGAGTAGGGGCTGATGAAGCCACCATCATTATCATTGCCTGAAGGCCCACCGATGGCGGTACCACCATGATGTCCTACATGGCCAACATGGCCAACATTGCCAGCATTGCCAACATTGCCAGAAGGCCCACCGATTGCGGTGCCGCCATTTTGCTGTTCAATGGGTTAGCTAAAGCATCTCTATACATAGAGAAGGATGACAAACTTGTTCAAACTGAGCCTGGGCAGCAACTGCCAGCAGTGCCACAGGGATTCCGCCGACGAAGCCCTTCATGACTGCGGTTCTGGGGAAATATTGCTGTAAAAGGAAGTATGTTCTTGTCCGTAGGAGTTAAAAGAGTGACTGGAAGCAAATGCTACGGGAGCGGGATAAAAGAAAGGCCTCAATTGATAGAATATTCTCCTTTAGACACAGTCCATAGAAAAGAGGAGATGTCCAGACCTTTAGTACTTTCTTCCGTTGATGATCACCAGCTCAGCACGCAGGCGGGAATGCCATCGCATCAACAGGGACTGCACCTTGACACGAGGCCAAGCCATCGGCAATACTATTAGAATGCCGCTGGGAATGAAAAACAACACTAATAGGTGAGTAAATCCCCGTCGATCATGGTCAAATCGTAAACAGATCCCATGTAATCCCTAGAAAGGTGGTGCTACCGCATTCCGCGAGTTGAGAGGGATAGCTCCACCTGAACAGGAGCGGCATTCAGATCTCAAGCAAGCCCCTTGTCTGAGCAGGGTGGGATATTTTGGTCAATTTTACACGAGTCGTTCGAGGGCCACAGGTCATGTTCAACTCCTCCAAACAGACTGAGGTATGGACGATCTTGGCACATCCCGTCCTTCACTTTTCACTTGGGTTGATCTCTGAGGCTAACCTTGAAAAATCACCGTGCGAGCAGACAACACGGGATTCACCTGGAATGATGCCAATGACTAACATCCCATCGGCCCTTATGCGCACAAGCCTAACAGAATCATCCCACAATAGAATGAAAATAGTGTAGTGACTCTTGGGCATCGGAGTTTTGCAGTGTTACGCTGAATCTGTTCAGTCATTTCTATTTTACCCAATTTACGAAAGACCCTCACATGCATCAATGCGTTGGTCGCTACTCACACTTCAACTACTAAAATAAGAGTTGAGTTGAAGGAATGTGTCCCGTCTTCGACATCCGAATCCCACCGCCCTCACTTAAGAGGACACAGGAAACGAACTTCCTATCGAGGACAATCTATCTCCTGAGCCGATCAGTCCCGTAAGACCGAAGGCAACACATCGCCGTGGAATTTGTCATTAAGACAGAACGATGGTCGTGGCAGGCTCAGTTGCTTTTTTTCGATAGAGAAGAAAAGAAAAAGAGAAGGGGCGAAAAAGTTTGCGGTGTTTTATAGCGCTAGTGGGGTCCCGGACCGGATTTACATTTTTCATCTCGGCACTGATGTCGGTCCGATCCGATTTACCTTATGGCCTAAATTGTAAGGCTACAAATCACACCTCATCCACAGCTTTGGAGAGAAAAAGAAAAATAACTTAGGATATGATACAGCGGTTCAAGCCAATTCCATGACACATCCAATTCAATGCCTGCGGGATCCTGATTGCGCCGGAATGTGACATGTCATTTGTGTCGGCAAGTGGAATAATCTCCAATCAAGAATAATAGAAACTTCACCCCCAAGCCATAGCTCTCCACAGCATCTGAAAGAGAGAAAGAAGAAACAAAAGAAAGGCCTAGCTTAGGTCGGAGAAGTCGATGGTGTGAATCATAATGAATAGTAATCGAGTTGCTCATCTTCTCGAATCAAAGGTGGTAAAAATGCTAACCGGAACCTTGCCTATCCTGTCAGCGACGAATCTAAGCCAGTGGGTGAAAAGGACTCGAATAACTAACTCACTTATACCCCAGTTGCCGCTTTTTCGGTACTGGCTCTCCAACCTGCTCCTCCTACCGCCGCAGTGATGCCCAATGCGATCGCAATCATAGTCCCCACTGTCACCACTGCCACAACTGCCTTCAGTGCCATCCGTTGTTTGTTACTCAAAGTCTGCAGCCATGTCAATGGTTTGTTCTCTTCCTCCCACAACTTCGATCGTCGGGGACTATCGGTTCGGCAGCTTGCATATGGGCCCATGCTTTCCAGGTCTCTCAAATGACTTCTCCGATTGGCGTTCTTTGTTTCGAAGGTGAGTTGTTCGTGCGAGATGGTTGGACTTGAATGAGGATAGAAAGGCGAGCATGGCTTTGCACCGATCGATGGGTCAAACTCCTGGCTGTGAGCCCCAGGCGAAGATGTAATGGAACATCGTGGAGGTGCGATATTAGGCGTTGTTGGGACTTTCTCGTCGGTTTTGATCGATGCGGCTACCTGAGCCCCAATGACCCCAAGTCCGTGCAAACTCATAGCGATGTGCCAATGTGGAAGGGAGGAGTGCGGATTCCCAGATCAAAAGATCTTGCTGAGTGAGGTCTTCAGGCTTTTTCGCTTGGACTTGGATCTCTTTACAGGTCGTTGTTCCTTGACCTTGGGTGCTGGTGTTATGATTGCCTCAACGGGAATGGCGACAGTCGGGACACCGCCGTACATAAACAATGCCGTATCAACCTGGAATGCGCTCCAAGTCCAAGCGGACCGCGGCAGTTTCATCACTCGAACTGATCACAATAATAAATATAATTATTGAAAATAGTGGAGGGGCGGATGGGTGCCCGTCGAAATGCTAGTTTGATATAAAATGGAATGAGTGGTTGTTTCCTCCTGAAGCGTACCTGGATGGTTTTGGGGCAACTTCAGGGCAACAACAATCTAAATTTTTTTACAAGGGTCCTAGGTACATTCGGGAACACCCTGTAGTGAAATGAGATACTTTTCCAGGGATGCAAGGCCCTTATTGGTTTGGAGGCAGTTTTGCACCCCTAGATCGGCATCTCGTGCGCCTCAAAGCATTCCTACTCCCTTTATAGTGGAGATTATCTTCTCCTGCAGCAAAAGCAATCTTACTATTGGTAGATCATTGCTTAGATGGCATTCTTATCGGTAGATCATACAAGCCCCTGTTCCAAACCTTCTCTCCATAGGCTCTGTTTTGTAACCCTGTTCGCCACTTCAGTATGTGGATTTCACCCTAGCATATGTTGCCAACTTAGTGTGTGGCATCTCTTGGCGAGACAGCCAATAGGCGGCAGGGACATATTTGAAATTGGGATGTCTCGATCATTCTCAACATCATTCACAGATCATAGGTCATATGTAGGTCACCTTGAATATGCCTGCAAAAACTGCACGACATTGTACAATTCGCGCCGGCAAAGCTTTCCCCAGTACGAGTAGAATTAAAAAATTAACAATTGCATAGGCGTCCTTGATCTAGGTTCAAAAATCCTGGGCAAAACTTAGTGTTGTGAGTTGCCGTATTGATGTCTATCCGCAAGCTAGAAATCTCCCATATACGGCTACAACTAATTATCCTACGAAGTAGGCATTTGTCCGATATAATATACAAGTACATGATACTAACAGCATCTATACGCTTTTAATGATAAACATGTCGAGTTGTAGCAGAAATATCAAATATCTACTCCAGACTCCGTGAACAAAAATGGCTTGCTCAACCTGCATATATATATATATCTCTCTCTCTCTCTCTCTCTCTCTCGTTGACAAGGTTTGCATGACAAATGTTCGACAAAATCCAAAGGAAAAGCACATGTAAATGCAGTTCGAATGCGTCTTAAGGTTATACGAGATTTAAAAGAGATATTTATCACGACACATATCTAATTATCGGTTCACTCGCAGCGCTGATCTACTTGTCAAAATTTGAAGTGTTTCTAACCGAATATATGCATTAGCAGACCTTCACGTTAACAAATAACAGAAAGCTAGCTAGATAGTGAACTTTTCTACTCCCTACTTGAGCCAGTTAAGCTTTTCATGGGCCTATACGTTGTACTTTTGCTATGGTATTCAGCTACTGTTTCAATAATCAGGTAAGGAAAAATAGCCAAAGCATACCTCATGATCGGCTGAGCCCAACTAGGACATATAACAGCCACGGGATGCAAACTAGGCTTTGCTATTCAACCACTAAGCCGGTGCTACATACTCATGAGAAATGGACTACATTATTCATGTTTAGTGTAACAAGTCGCCAGAACTAGGTCCTCCCGCATTGCAACACAATGAATCAACTGTTGTGATTTTCTAAATCGACTTAAGGAATGTAGATTTTGGATCCACACTACCAATTATCCCTGGGGTATACATCAATAGTAACAAACCTTATTTCTAACCACGAGATGCGGTCCTCCAGGGACAACGCAATATAGGATGAATATTACGGAGCATATGCAAAATATAAGCTATGTAGTAATAGCAAAAGGGGCTATATTGAAGTTTACTACGGAGTACGAAGTACACGATAACTCACCGTAAAAGGCCTTACCCCTGGATTCATGCCATTCTCTACTCTGTGACTCTGGGGAATAAACAAATGGAGAAATAGAGTCATCATCTCCATGACCCCTGGTCTTGATATCTTTGTTATCTGGAGTCGACAAAAAGCATGGTCATTCAACAGTCTCGGGTCCATATACTTATTGTACAACAATGCCCGGCTCTTGGCCCTATGTCCCTGTATGTCTCTAGATCCATTCAAGTGTCTAGGGGAGATGGGGAAGTACTAAGAAGTTGACGAGTTATTGACCTCTAAAAAGTATTCACCGGTTGATGGACTTGCAGCTGGAGCTGTAATTAGACTTCCGGGAGCCCACAAAGTCCAACCCCCAACCCGCAAATGGGCTTTGGGCCCGGTCCTTAGGCCCACCGGTGGGCTATGGGCACTGTGGGTTGATGACGGCCCAAATGGGCCCTAAACCAACTTGAAGTGCCAAGTAAAGTTGAACCTCCTTTTTGTGTTTTTTTATTACGCTTCCTTTACCCCCCGTTTCTAACCATTATCCCTAAGGTAATATTCTATTTGTTTCGGTAATTTAGTGTTAACTATAAGTTAGTTCTCGATATCGCGTTTAAAAACGCGAAAAAACGCGTTTGTTCAAATTTCATAGCTTCTTTAGTAGAAAATAGTAGTACTCCCGTGTAAATCCCATAAATATATATATATCTAATATTTCAACATTAATATCAGTACTTTCCGCGACATCTCGACCTCTACTAGTCGGATCTTATTTAAAATTGAAGTATATACTAGTATAGCTACTGTAAATCTAGATTTGAAATTTGAGCTTTATACGACCTATAGAAGGTTGTAATACAGCAATTACAGAGCCCAATTTATCAGCGGCCAGATGGGCTTTAATGAGGGCCACATGGGCCCCCACTAATGGGCTGTGGGTAGAGCGGAAGCTTGGAAAGTAACGAAAAGAGTTTACCCACACTTTAGATGTTCGATGTCTTTCATCGTCATTCGTAAAACTACCAAGAGCGATCGGAAGACTATGAACAGCGTGTAAAATGGCGGTTGGTTTGCTAGGGGGGAAGTCATGATCAGAGCTCCAGAACTTCGTAATAGTACACCGATATCAATCTCGTCTAAGACAGTCTGTGATATTAAGGAAGTCGAGATTTTCAACCGAATTGTTAAAGCTGACATGGGGGGATGGAGTGATGATTCGCTCCCAAGGATAATATGGCGTCGGCAAAAGTAGAGCAGACGAGACTGCAGGGCTAAGACTCTCTTCCGACTGCGATATTGTGGGTAACAGATGGCTAAAGACCCTATGATGCCACAGCCATCTGAGATCCATGGCTGAAGATGTAGACAACATTAGCTGTAGATCTGAACAAGACCAGTGATGAAGAGAAGGATAGAAGACAAGAGTCAAGGCAGAGTGATGGAGAGGACTATTTTGGAGATTGACATGTCCGATGCCCAAGAAGGGAGTGGCAGGTCCAGATGCATCTAGGTTGTTTCTTCCAAAGTTGGTAACTTATGTAGGTAGTAGTACCTTGATGAGATCATAATTCTAGTTGACCTGGGGCTTCACGGCAGTTAATGATTTGGATTGTCTTTTTGGATTGTCTTTTTGGATTGTCTTTTTGGATTGTCTTCTGGATTGTCTTTGGGGATGTCTTCTTGGGTGTTTTTTTTTAGATGAGAGTAAAGAATAAGAATACCAGGAACTTGCACTCATCGTCAAGCCCTCCAGACAATGTCCATAATATGTCCTACGTATAGTTATGGGTGGAGAGGTAGCCGTTTTTGGCCTCAAAAGCGGCCATTTTCGGCGTCAATTCCATAGGTCCTCATATACTACTAAAATTTGAACGCCCTTTACAGGTTACAGCAAAAAGGTACAGAAATAATATAGATAAAATTAGTTATGTTGCTCCATACAATCTCTAAATATGGGCTTGTGCCTTGGCCAATAGTATCTTCTCTCTCATTCTCTCCTGCAATTACCCATCAATTCCCTTCACGTCAAGGCTATCATCTCGTCAACATTTTATTCGTGTCTCGATCTTCTAGTCATTGGATTCGCCGTTCTGGTAGATAAAACTTCAAGTGCAGTGGAGCTCGCCTCCGTCGTGAGTATGGCAGTTCTATTAAAATCAGTTTCGAATCATCACAAAGCAATATAGAAAGCGACTTACCGCAGGTACTTCAGCAGTTGTGGAGGGAGCCTCAGCTTTCGTTGTAGTAGGAGTTGGTTGGCTAGTCGCAGCTTCGGATGTTGTTTCCTCAGCGTGGGACTCCTCATGCTTGTGTTGAACACCTGGGCAACCAATACCCGGCACAGCAATGTCGTGAGCATATACCTCCAGTGCAAAGTACTGAAGGGTCTCTGAGTCATGAGTTGACAGAGTCGCATTTTTCTTCGCCAGGTCCATGACCTCTTCATATCCGTCTGCGAAATGGTCGATCCAGTTCTGTCCGAAGGCAGGGATATGGTATAGGCGGTGCAGTAGATCAGCGGCCCAGAAGGTGTTGGTCTCAGACTTCGAGACTGTATATCCAAGACCGCACATGGTTGAGAGGGAGCGACGAGTCTGGTAGCTCAGGTCGCAGATGACTGTCTCATCTGTGCCATTTACGCCTCGCCAGTGACCGGCATAAGCTATTTGGTTGAGATGTTAGTATATAATCCCTCATACAGAGCAAGGTACCTTACTTTTAATGTTGCAATTTCCATCTGGGTTATCACATCGGAACAAAACATTCTTCTTGTCGCCGTTGACCACGACGTCAAATGCACCGATGGCTTCCATGGATGGGCGGTCACCGAAATATTTCCTGTAGATCTCGCTCTCATTTCTCCATCTCAAGATATGGTTTTTGGCATGCTCAGCAAGAGTAATAGTCTCATTAAGACCTAGCTCAATTTGGCGACGCTGGGTGGCATTGCAGCTCGAGTGGATGGGAAATTGATTGACAGCGCCGGCATTCCAAGGTGCAAGCTCAATCTCAGAGAAGGGCTGGGATTTATTGCCTTCGGAGCTTTCGCGGGTGGGGAGAGCAGCAGCAATTGCTGCAGAGGAGAGGATGAGCTTGAACAAAAGCATTTTGTATGATCGAGGTAAATTACTTGAGAACTATGGAAGCGATTTCTGAACAAGGTAGAGGCAGCTTTTATATCACTTTTTTTCACAAAGTTTTCCACGCTTCCACATACGATGACTTTAGTTTTTCTTAACTGTTTGCCAAGTGTGGCTTTTGCTCTCACTTTCACTGTGTCAGTAATCCACGCAATGCCTAGTATAGAATAGAGAGGCGGGATGTTTTCTCCATCTTTCTCGTTTCCATGGATGGTGCCATCTGCCAAGAGGGGACCTTGAGAGCTTCTTTGCTTTTCTCGCTAAAAAGTCTTTTCTTCTCCAGCAATCAGAACAGAAAATTACAGATTGATGCCAAGAGAAAGGCTCGGCGGAGGGTCCGCCAAGACGCCTGGGCGGGAGTACCTTGAGAGAAGATGAACCAAGTGGGCGATATTCTCCGGAGGAAGCCCGGATTCGAGGTTTAGTCCTGTTCTCGGCGAAAATATGGAGAGATATTTTGCTTGGCATTGAGAACCTTGGGGGTGAGACACTAATGATGAGGCCCTAATGTACGGCTCTTTCGTAATACATCAGGCCTTTTAGAAAGGATTGTGCCCAGTAACTATTTGATTGAAAAATCCTCACTTGTGGCATATATATTGCATCAATCTCAATCCCATCATTTACGAGAGGTTAGAGTAACAGGCTCATCATGTTCATTTCCAGACCTTTCCTTATATCACTCGGCATTGCCGGGGTATATGCAGCCACACCAACAACATCAGCACAAACATCATCTGTAACTGGTTGTCATAGCCATGGCTCAAGCATTCACTGCATTAATGGAGATGGCCATGAAGTTTTAGTTTCGGCCACATCTACCCCGACAACTGGAATACCAGCACAATATACTGGGTGTCACTCCCACGGAAGCGAGTCGTAAGTATACACTTGTGCATTTTTATGACAAGATACTAACATATAAAATGCGAAGATATTGCATGGATGCAGATGGAAATGATGTCCTGATTCAAGCAGAGGGGTCTGAAGACAGTCACAGTGAAGAAGATACCCACGAGCACGAGGAATCATCAAGCGAAGGCAAACAAAATTGTCACTTCCATGCTGGCGTGGAGTAAGGCTATAATCCTTTTTCCAAATATGCACGTTATTAACTTTGGGAATTGCAGACACTGTGTCAATGAAGGCGAAAGCGAATCAGGGGCACAGAGTGCTCCAAAGTGCGGTACCCAAACAAGAGACTACGACATGCCTCTAAGAATTGGCACACTGTTCGTTGTCCTTGTCACCAGTTCAATTGGTGTCTTTGCCCCTATTCTCCTGATGAAACTTCCATTTGCCTCTATCAATGGGGTGGTCTCGACCGTCATCAAACAATTCGGAACTGGCATCATCCTCGCCACAGCTTTCATCCATGTAAGTAAGCTCGGCCTTGACAAGCGTACTATTTGTTGACTCCTTTTCTTAGCTATACACACATGCAAACCTCATGTTTACCAACGAGTGTTTGGGAGCACTCGAGTACGAAGCGACTACCTCCGCCGTAGTCATGGCGGGTATGTTCCTTGCTTTCCTATTGGAATACATTGGCCACAGAATCATTGTTGCTCGTATGAGCAAGAGGAACTCTGCAGAGACTACGCCTTCCGAGTCTCCGCAAATAGAGCAGAAAGGAGAGCATGGCCACTCTCAAGACCAACAACAGCCCACGTTGGCTTGTCTTGGGCACAGTCACGGATCATACGATCTGACTGGACCCGACAGCAAGTTCTCGGTCATTGTGATGGAATCAGGTATTCTCTTCCACAGTATCTTGATTGGTCTCACCCTCGTCGTTGCTGGGGACTCATTTTACAAGACCCTTCTGGTCGTAATTGTGTTCCATCAATTCTTTGAAGGGTTGGCACTCGGTGCCCGTATCGCAATCCTCAAGGGACCTATATTTCCCTCCAAGGCAGGCATGGCGATCGCATTTGCCTTGATCACTCCTATTGGCATGGCTATTGGCCTGGGTGTTATTCACAGTTGGAATGGTAATTCGAGGGGCACTCTGATTGCACTGGGAACATTGGACGCGCTGTCTGCTGGTATTCTGGTGTGGGTTGGTATCGTTGATATGTGGGCGCGTGACTGGGTTATTGAGGGAGGTGAAATGTTGAATGCGAAGTTAGGAAAAGTTTTGACTGGTGGTATTTCTCTGGTCAGTGGAATAGTGTTGATGGGACTGCTAGGAAAATGGGCTTGATTACAGGGGTGACATGCCTGAGGCGTGCCTTCCAATGTTGTCTTCCATAGTACATAGTTAGGCTGCTCCTGAAAATAGATGCCTAGATAATATAACCGGCTCACTTGGGCCAAATTTTACGTCAGTACTCTGGATTAGATCCGAATTCCAGTGTCCATAAGATGACGCCCTCGGCAGGCGTTTGTAGACAGGCCCTTTCAGCAGAGACATACGGGCGGAGGCAGCACCCTAGTTCACGTTGTATATATTCCGAATAGTCAAACTTATGGAAATAATGAGCATATAGCGGGCGAGTTGAATTGCACTAAAATCAAAAAAGGATGAGGTCGGAAGAGGCAGAAAACACAATAGCACCTTTCAAAACAAAGACTTGTAGGAGCAATGGCTTCATAACATTCATGTTGTGACATTCTGACATTCTCTGGCCAAATATCAAAAAAAAGAGAGAGAGAGAGATGCATCGGAAAAGAAAAGCAAATCTGAAAAAGCTAAGCTTACTTGCTGAAGACTTGTAGAAAACCTCCATCATTTCCCTCTCGCGAACGCTGTTAAAGCAATAAAATGACAGCTACCAAAACGCTTGAATTCAAATGCTGCTAATTAGTCAGGGTGTGTCATTCTTTGAATTTCCCCCTGCGTATCTGTGTTAATGAAAGGTAACCTCTGTTGCAAGTTGAGCCTTATTCTTTGGACTTGGGGCTGCGAATCATGCAATATAACTAGGATGGCGCGTGTCAGTCATTTCACAATATTTCCAGCCAAGAGAACATACCTTGCAAACATCTCCTCCGTCCACGCACTCGATTTCCTTGACCAATTCAAAGCCCATTTTCTCATAAATACCCACATTCGGATACCCCTTGGAGCTCTCAAGGTAGCACGGCATATTCTCCCGATCAGCTTTCTCCATGACATTCTCCATGAGCTTCTTGCCCACTCCCATACCACGAGCCTCTGAATCAACGCAAACAACATTGCAAAAATAGTACCCGCGGGGGTCCTGCCAGATAATGTCATGAGCAGATTGCTGCACTTGTTTCCAAATCCAATACCGGCGCACATTCAGGCCACCACGACCAAGGAAGCGGATATTGTTCATGAGCTGGCGGAAGGAAAGAAGCCAGTCTTGTGCCCAAACGGACCAGGTTTGTGTCGTGGAAGGCCCTTGTGGGGAGTACCACCAGGCAACGCCGACCACAGTACCAGGTGGTAGACGAATTTCGCCATCGTTCTTGGTTTCGTTTGCAGCGCGAGTTACCTTAGCGACAGAGATTGGGCAGCCGCAGTTGATACCATATTGGAAATGGGCAGCGAGGGAAGCTGCATTTCGTTGGATGTTAAACTGTTAGATTCCGTTATTACTTGATTCGATATCCACTTGGGTTGTGTTTCACTCTTTTGTGGGTCTTTCTCAGAGCCTCGATGAAATCATCGGAGTCATGGCTTGAGGAAGTATATTTCATACCTTTGATGGATCATCAAACGCCCAGCGAAAATATGGATCGTCGGCAAATGCTTTCTGCACACAGTCTACGGCCCCGGGTATGTCGGTCTGACCCAGCGGGACGATTTCGATTGACATTGTTCGTTCTTGGCTTGTCACTACGTTTCTTGGACAGCGACAATTGTCTTAATGGACTGGTTTAGATGTCCGGGTACTTTTTCTACTAGCTCTGCGAATAGCTTGACACAGAGATATAGTATAAGAATGCCAATGAAGCCGTTGGGGACAGTGTGAGACAAAGACAACCGCCATCTAAGTAGAGTTGAAGTGGTGATGGTCCACAAGTTGATGGAGGAGAAGGCGAGGGAAGTGAGGTCTTGGTTTATTGTAGGGGTGTCAGCAATCGAGAGAATAATGAGTTGGAAGTCACTTGCCCTGAGGAACGGGGCTCATATAGCTGAGCTCGGTGATGATCCTCGGGGCCACACTTGATTGTCACGCTTGTCTTATCCGGCCGGTATTCCAAGGTTGCATGTCGCTAGCCTTTCTAGGCAGCTGTAACCGGAGCAAGTACATATGCGCTATAGGGGTGTCACAGTGTCCCTTCACTGAGACCATCGCTACGTCGTGTTCCCGACAGTAACCGCGGTCAGACGGGTCTAACACAGACCGACTATCTACGTGATTTGAGAATGTACATACTGCATGGTAGATATGCTCGAATAACTCGAATCATTTCGAAAGATTGTCGATCTCTTTACCTAAACGCGGGGGACGGCTACCGGACGGTCGTACTGGATCATGTGGAGAAGCCAATCTAAAATCTAATCCCAATTAGGCAGGTTGTTGCGTCATTGGTTCAATGTGCTTGTGGGGCGTTCCACCTGTCTTGGAAGGTTATCAGGTTTATCAGTAGAAATGATAAGAGATAGTCGTAATTAGAGTAATTATAGTCGATTATACAAGTAGTTAATCTGTTCAAAATCTGATAGGGTGTAATTTGTCTGATTACTCGCTTATAGTTCAGGGATCTCTCGGCAAGTGCATGTAAGCGACGGGAAATTAATCCGGCCGAACCTTAGAAATCATGAACCCGGTGAGTAAAACCATGGAAAATCAGTGCGAATGTGCTTCTATCAGACGAGAATACATGTCGAAAATTGTGATGCATATGTACTCGGATTATGCATCTTGTCTACTCAGGAAAAGAATTAGGATACCGAGGGAGTCGGGACACAAGTCCAAACCATGGTCAAAATTCCTATCGACTTACCGGACAACACGTATTCGGTAAGATACAATAAAAAGCACCTAGAAAAACATTCATACGCATGTGTATTTTGCCACCTGTAACCGTTGTTTCTTTGTTTGGAGACATGTGGTCACCTGCCACCTGCCACCTTTCTTATCTGGTTCTACCCACATGCTCTGCCCTTTGTGTATTAGTCTCTTTGTTCATCGAGTCCATCCATTTGATAGACAAATATAAACTTGATGAAATTGCTAAACCCCAGTCTTTTCTTGAACTTCAAGATGTCCACATAGAGGTTATGGCATTATTACAAAGTGAGCTGTGCCCAGTCTTTCGTAGTTTGACTACTTTGCAAGAGAAATCCTATCGGGCTCTTTTCTAAGTCAAAATCCCAAGGTTATGAGCCCCTGTTACAGACATTACTCTTTCCTTTTGGTTGGGTATAAATGGTGTCTTTGTAAATATGGCCAAGGCATAGACTTTCTTTCTTGTAAAAATAACCACGAGCCTTCCTAGTTATAGTGCAATACTCCATTTCTTCTTGGGAGGATAAGAATAAAATCTTTGTTTTAATAGCTGTCTTTGTCAAATACATCCATCCAGCAGGGAATTGAATCAGTGACAACTGTACTCTGTACAAATGCATAAATAACCCTGGCTCCCACTACCTCATCAAATTCCCATACAGACGAGAACGTCGTGTACTACATCGCCGACAATCCGGTTATTTGCCTCACCTTGCTTGTCTAGCAATCATCAATAAATTCCACTTCAATCACTTAGCCAGTGAGTCTTACAGTCTTTGGAGGCTTTCTATCACTAGTCTGATATCCGCCTACGATGCCTCGTCATAATCTTGAGCGTGTACTAGTCGACCACCCCTACAATGACCGTCGCATTTTCGTTTTATCAGCTGTGCACGACGCAATCTACTATCTTCGCCACGAACCACATCTTCGTGACGATGTCATTGACACGCTAGAGGAAATTGCCCACGAAATGGGCGTCAGTATTTCAAGTGCGGTTGTGGAGCATGATCCTCAGTTTGAGCGATTGTGTCGTAACCTTGAGCTTATGCTTCCTGTCTTGATCAGGATTCTTAGCAAGCACAACGACGAGGAGACAGACAGAGACGTTGCTGATGATCTCATCAGCTGCATCCCTAGTGTTTTGCAACAGCCTAAAAAGTGGAACCCAGATGTCGAAGAGATTTCTGACGAGGAGGCATTTGAGGAGCAGCAGCGGAATAGATGTCCTCTCCATCACAGATAGGTTTGGATCTCTATTGTGACAGCGGTCTAGGGGAATTTTTGGTTTAGTACGTATTTTTGCTGCTTGTTCTATGTTCCAACTTGTGTGTTTGTTCTTGTGGCGATAGATCAATGGTAGAATTATTCTTGCTGTTCACATATCCAGAAAGTTTCTTTTTTCTATAGATGGATCATTCAACACACAGGCACTGCATCACATGTACTTATATTGATAGATCCGAGGAGGTAATCTTGAGTTGTAATATTGAAGTGTCTTAAAAGTTTCAATACTCATTTTTAGTAGAGGTTCTAGAGGCTAAAGCTTGCTTGGATTTGCGTAAATGGTAAAGGAAAAAAATCCCAATGCCATGCGCACAAGCTAATCAATTCGATAACCATCGACAACATCATATTACCACCAAATACATTAAACTCCTCTCAACATCAGAAAACTATCAAGAACTGGCAATAACCAAGCTGATCTCCATCTATCAAGAAACAATGAACCAATATCTTTTTTTTTAAGTCTACTCCTCCCCAATCCAGCCAAACAATCTAACCCCGATTGCGTCCACGATGAAATCGAGGCAGGAAAGCAGACGCAGGCGCAGGCTCGGTGGCAGTTTCAGTCACAACACGCGTGAGATTCACTGCACTGGTCGTGACATTCGAGATAACAGTCGAGTTAGTGAATAGGGCTGTTGCTGACGTGTTGGTAAACATCTGTCGGCGAACCACATCGGGGTTGATAATTGCTCGTGGAGTGACCCGCATGCCCGGCGTCGAGGGGGATACATGCGCAGGTGATGTTGTAGGCAAAGTCACGAGGGTAGCTGGTGTGGTGGGCGAGCCTGTGAGTGTACGCGTCCTAGGGCTGCTTGGTATGAGGGGCGTGGATGTTCGGGTCTGGGTCAGAGTTTGTGTTGAGGTGTGAGTTTGGGTTCTGGTAGATGAGGCTGTCACGCTACTACCACTTGGGTGGACTACGCTAGAGGTTCCCCCTGGAGCTGTCGCGGTGACACTTGGGGGCACTCCAACAGAGCTGCTCGCTGAGGCTGTCGCGGTGCCACTTGGGTGGACTCCGGTGCCCTCTGAGGCTGTCGCACTACCACTTGGGACGACTCCGCCAGGCGTGCTCTCCGAGGCTGTTGCACTACCACCTGGGACTACTCCGCCAGGTGTAGTTCCTGGGGCTGTCGCACTGCCACTTGGGGAGACTCCGCCACCTCCAGTTGGGCAAGGACAGCACTCTGTTGCCGGGCCTAAGCCCCCACCAGATGTGACAGTGACGGTGGCAGTGCTCACTACAACGGCAGGGCACGTTACCGTCACCGGGACGACAGTGGTCTCCTTAGATGTGGAAGGAGGAGGACAAACCGATGTGACAGGGGGAGGACAAGCCGATGTAGCAGGGAGAGGACAAACCGGTGGTCCGGTGGGAGACGGGGAAGGAGATACACCAGGGCCAGTGGGAGATGTGTGGCTGGTACTTGGTTGCTCACTAGTTGAGGGGGGAGGCTGAGCAGTGTTAGTAGTTGTAGTAACTACTTCAGGGGGGGATGTCTGGGGGGTGCCACTAGGAGATGGCTGAGTGGTTTCGCTTGGGGAGGAAGCGGGACCGCTGGGCGATGGCCCGACGCTCTCGCTTGGGGAAGGACTAACATGGGTGCCAGTTGGGGGAGCAGGTTCGGTTGTCGAGCTAACACTGCCACCACCAGTTGGAGGAACAACGCTCGTCGAAGGGACACCACCTGTCGTAGGAACGCCGCCAGTTGGGGTACCAGTCGTACCTAAGCCGCCAGTGGGTGAAGTGCCGCCTTGAGTACCAGGGAGAGTAAGAAGATTGCTTTCAGAAAGTAAGGTAGTAGTTTGCTCACCTCCACCGCCAGGGACTGTGGTACCACCGCCGGGAACCGTTTCACCACCGCCAGGGACTGTTCCACCTCCTCCACCGGGGACTGTAGTACCACCGCCTCCGCCAGGTACTGTTCCGCCACCTCCGCCGGGGACTGTGACTGTAGTACCACCGCCTCCACCGGGGACTGTGGCTGTAGTACCACCACCTCCGCCAGGCACTGTACCACCACCTCCTCCAGGCACTGTTCCGCCACCTCCGCCGGGGACTGTGACTGTAGTACCACCGCCTCCACCAGGCACTGTTTCACCACCTCCTCCTCCCGGCGTGGTCTGGGGCTTCGGGCCATGTGTCGAAGCTAACTCCTCGGTCAAGACAGAAAGCAGCGAGCTCTGAAGTTCAGGGTGGTTGTGTCGTTCCTGTAAGCCAAAGTCCCGCTCTTCTCGACGACGACCCTCAACACTGGGCTGCTCTAGCGCCTCATCCGGGACAGCCAGAACACTCTGCAGGAGAGTCCAGGAGCAGGCCAACAGAATCAATCTTTTGGGAAACATGATTCGGACCACGGCAAGTATGTGCAGAGCAATTGAACAAATGTGGCCGATTTAGGGAGCGCGAAGGCCAATGCAAGTTCGCCGATGGTTCCGGGGTTTTCGGATTGATGGAGGAGCTGATATAGAAGACAATTCTAGATTCAGGACTCCGTAGATAGCAAGTTTAGCAAAGCAGCAAAGCAAAGCAAATGCCCGACAAACGAGTTCGAGACGAGAGCAAGGAAAGCAATGTCCCGGGAGAAAAGGACGTTAGAGAGGGATGCGAGCATTGCGCCGTATATGTAGTCAATGGTGATGGATAGATGAACACTCGATGTCATCACAGCTAGAGGATTGGCCAGGCCTGTTGTCTCTGTTTATTTTTTGGTTAAGCTTTCAATGTCTTCGTGGTTTCCATGGTGAGAGCTTAAGTTGCTCCTATTGGAAATCATTCCCAGAGGTGAAATCCATGGCTGGATAAGGGACAAAGACATCATTGTGACTAGATGTTTACATAGATCCGGTGCCTGTCGGATATCTCATGCGGCGTGTTCTGCTTTGTTCAGCCCTGCAGACCCTGGAGGAACCTGAACCTGAGTTACCAACATTTATATCGCCTCAATGGCGGCAAATTATTTTATTTCTAACTGCCAGCTCAACTGCCAAATCCAATTGTACGGCTGAAGGGCCGAACCGACAATGTTGGAGACGTTATCCGATTTATGGAGCTAAAGGCTCAACTATAGAATTGCAATCACAAATTGATAAATATAGACATTAAGTAGCAGCAATGTAAAAATCACTCGGACATGAACGCTGAACAAAAAGATGCAAGCTGAGGGGCAAAAACTTTTCTATCTAAGCTAATCTTTTGAAATCGTGAAGTCGTGTCAAGATTACCAGATCAACTAGCGTCGGAGTCAAGGATACCAAATCTAGCAGTTTAGTATACCGCGAGAGGGTGACGCCAGCCAACTTGGATGACCTTTACGGCGGTACAGCATGCAAGACCAGCCGCATAGCAGCAAAGAGTAAAGGTGATAAGGCCCCAGTAGGATCCATTGCAGCGTGCCAGAATCTCACCTGCAATAGGGATTCCGGTGAGAGTGCTAGTGGCAAATTGTGTCAGTAATGGATACGTCGGTGACATCACAAGGGGGATAAAACACTCACCCGAAGCTCACTATGGTATAGGCAGTTGCGTAATACCGGCCGTAGTTCTCTGTTTTGCAGAGTTGACCGACACAGACTGGCGTCAGACTGATATTGCTGCCGCTTGAGAATCCAAAAAGAACAGCGTAAATGACCAGCAGAGGCATACTATCTCCAGCAGGAAGCCACAGGCAGGCGTTACAGAGCAAGCAAAGCGCTACCGTCGCGATCAACGTGTTGAAGCGACCAAGGAAATCGGCAAAGAAACCAGGCAACCATCGCCCAAAGAAGGAGCCGGCATTCAAGATGGCAATGATCTGGTACGAGAACTTGGTAGGGAACCCATGGTCGAGGGCGTAGGATGAGATGTAGCTAATTGGCACGAAAAGACCCCACTCGATGAAGAAGATGCTAGCGGTGGTGAGAACGAATCGCGGGTCTCGGAAGATCCGGAAGTCAGGAAGCACATTCTCCTTGGAGAATGGCTTCTGCGGGAGTCGGGACCTAATCAAGAGATTTGCAATTGATAGCGTAATTAGGCAGATCAGCGCGACAACCCGAGTGGCCCAGGCCCAGCCGATCTTGGGGAAGAGGGCTTCTAGAACAAGAGGGAAAACAATGCCTCCGGCAGAGCCACCAGTGGCAGCAATGCCAGTTGCGAGTCCACGTTTCTCATAGAAGTAGTGACCGATCGCCGAGATCGCCGGTGTGAAGATGAGGGAAGCTCCCACTCCACCCAGTACACCGATGACAAGCATAAAGTGCCAGTATTGGGTGCAGAAACCGATGAGGATTATCATGGCCATTTCAAGTACGGATCCTGCAAAGACAAGAAGGCGCGGCCCTCGAGCATCGAAGATAGGACCGATTTGCACTCCACAGAAGAAAGTGAGAAAGGCATACATTCCAAAGATCCAACCATTGGTTCCCGAGCTGTATTCCTTCAGTTGGTGGGTTTGGATATATGCTTGGAACGTTCCAATGGTGTTGACCAGGCCCAGCGCTCCAAATAGACCCAGGAAGCTGCCCAGCACTACCAGCCAAGCTTCGAGACCCCCCTCCGGGTAGGTGTTTCCTTCGGCATCTGTAGTCACTCGACTAACAGGGTCTCTTCTGGCTGATCTTTGGGACGGTGCCACAGTAGACGCTGTCCGGTGTGCATCCTCTAGGTCGGGTTGCTCTGGCGCAGCCTCATATTTCTCATTGTCCATGTGAACAGTCTTCTCGTCAATGGGTGCTGTGCTTTGGGCTGTGGTCTGGGTGTTTATGTCAAAAGCATTGGTCTTGGCAGACCCAACATTGGTAGACATTCTATGTGGAAAGAGCTATTATATTCTCCACTTGGAGGAATTCTTTTCTGAATATCTAGGTGAGATGGGAGAAGGAGGGGAGATAGATATTAGCAATCAAAACTTCTAGAGCAGTCATATTGGTCATATTAGCCCTGAAAATTTTCGGGATTATTCTCATTGGTGTTTCAATGGCGATGTAATAGCCAAATTAGGTGAAAATTTCACGACTCGTGATCCATTGGACAGGGAAGTGGATCTGTCCAGACCCAAACCCCGACACTTTGATATTCTTTCTGTACACAACATCGTATCCTATATTATATGGGTGGTTCTAGACCTATGGTTCTTTAAGGTTATTCAGTTCTCTTTTCTAAGCAGTCATATAGAATGACAATTTGCAGTTGCCCTACTCATCTAGATTTATCCCGAGGTAGTAGTTCAGCAAGGTGACCAAAATCCGAACTTCCGAACTTCCGACTTCTGGACAATTTGACTACCCGAAGGCATGCCCGAGCGCAAATACTACCTACATCGAGGCATGGCATTAACCTTTTATCGTGTAAACTAACCTACAACATATATTCGAGTATAAATGACTACATCTCCTGTGAATGGGGAATGTTGAACTGATGATCGGGCAATATCAAAAACATCGTACAAAATAAGATGATGCGAGTAGATATATATATAACTGAGAGTATGTTTTGCTTTTTTGAATAAATGTCACCGGCCACCAAATTTACGTAAACCTCAGATATAACCTTTAGACTTTCAAGATTGGAACTCGGAAACATAAAATGTCTAAGATCTTAAGAATATCACATTAGAAGCCCTATTGTAGGATCTTACATGTCAAATTGTGAAGAACATTTGTTTTGGTTCATATAACACTAAATGGAAACCTCTTTCATCAAATTGGGCTTGTGGTTTAGTGGTATAATACTCCCTTAGCATGGGAGTGGTCCAGGGTTCGATTCCCTGCAAGTCCATTTTTTTTGTATCCCAAATTTGTTTACATTATCTACTACGTCAAATATTAATCAGAAGGCTTTCTTTCCCCTAATCAACGGCAAGATAAACATTGAGTACATCAATCATATCGGCTCATGTTCCTCGGCGAAAAGGGGGCCGCTAGAGAAAGCAAATCCTGACAAGCTAAATATTTTCATCGCGAAGCAACATGGAAAGCTTGGTATGCTTAGGATCTCCCCTAGAGCCGCGGGAGCCGAAGCTCATGTACTCCGTACTCCGTACAATGATCTATTGCCTTTATGCTATTGTGATCATTTCGAGGACATTATTATCCTGCATGCTGATCTAGCTATGGAAGGAGATATTCAGGGGCGTGTTCGCACGTGAAGTTTTGAGCAAGGCCTGAGAAGCAGGGATTCTAATATATGAGTTATTTAGAGATTACTCGCCTATCAGACCATCACAACGGGCGCAGGCCGGTTATCTCATCTTACCATCAACCAAGCGGGCCCGCACAGTACTGTGGAGGCGATGATGCTTAACCGGGATAAGAGGGCATGCCAGACCAATTGCGAGCTGTACCCACTTCTCATACACGGAACTTATTACCAGAAGGTGAGAGATGGCTGTCGATCTCACCGGAATCCGTCGCGCGCCCGGTCTACTGATAGCTGCGTACAGAGGGGGGGATTCATGCAAATATTTATGACATTATTCTATTGTCCTATAACTCCCCAACACCGCGGATTAAACCCTCGACACACACAGAGTAGTTCATGGACAAAAAGAAGGTAGTAATATTTAAGCCCTGGAGGCGAGATTTCCTCTCTGGGGTTAACCCCGCCTGGGATGGCTGAAGCCGATATCAGTGGACACTTGCCATCGAAAAAGGGGTTGTAGTGTAGAAGAAGCACAGTCCAACATGACGCTAAGTGTTTCTTCCAATTATCCACTCGGAATCACACAATCTGGCAAGTTGAGTTTTGTTAATTTAAATGGACCTCCGGAGTACCGATCACAGAGCTATTGACCGGCCTCCCCGGGGGTATTATATAGCTGCGTCCCTTCCCCGGGGATAATAATGTTATCTCACATCCCTTCTGGCACATTAATACCGTCCCAGGATGTTACTCAAATCAGTCCTAACATCTGCTCTCCTGGCCCTTTCGCTGGGGTCGGATCTTGTGACTGCGTCTAAACATGGACGCTTTGCAGAGAAAGCTCGTGCATCACAGGATAGGGCTAAACGGGTAGTTGAGGCTCGCAATAGCCACCAGCATGTGAAACCGCACAAGAACTACCGCTTTTTGAGCAAGGAGACCAAACGTAAGTATCAAGTTATATGATCATTGGTGGAGCAAAAACCCTAATACACCCATAGATTACCTGGTGGACTCCCTGCCGGATGTTCCATTTGACGTCGGCGAGATGTATTCTGGTCTGGTGCCAATAGATATGGACAATAGCTCCAGAGCGCTCTTCTTCATCTTCCAGCCCACTATCAACGAGCCCGTAGACGAAGTAACCATCTGGCTCAACGGAGGCCCTGGATGCAGTTCGATGGAGAGTTTCTTGCAAGAGACTGGTCAATTCATATGGCAACCTGGCACTTTTGCCCCGGTGGAGAACCCTTATGCCTGGGTCAACTTAACCAATGTTCTGTGGTGAGTAGTTATTATGCATATGAACCTCAAAAGCTGTTAACATCCTGCAGGGTCGATCAGCCCGTCGGAACAGGCTATTCTACCGGCACACCAACTGCTATTTCGCAAGAGGAGATAGCACAAGACTTTGTCAAGTTCTTCAAGAACTTCCAGAAGATTTTTGGAATCAAGAACTTCAAGATCTATGTCACTGGCGAGAGTTATGCTGGACGATATGTGCCCTATATCTCAGCTGCGATGCTCGACGAAAAAGACAAGGAATATTTCGATCTAGACGGTGAGTTATCACGAATTTTAGAAAGACTGGGATGTAAACTCTGACTATTTACTAAGGTGCGCTGGCATACGACCCATGCATTGGGCAGTTCGACTATGTACAGCAAGAAATTCCCGTTGTACCCCTTGTCCAGCAAAATGCAAACCTGTTCAACTTCAACCAGTCATTCATGGCTGAGCTTGACAAGAAACACAAGTCCTGCGGATACGAGGAGTTCATTGACAAGTACCTCACTTTCCCGCCACCTGAAGTCCAACCATCCATGTTCAACCACACCTCAGACCCCGAATGTGCTCTATTCGATTTAGTTTACAACGAAGTATTCCACATCAACCCATGCTTCGACCTCTACGAGATCAACCTGATGTGCCCGCTCCTATGGGACGTTCTCGCCTTCCCCACCTCACTCGACTACCAACCAGCCGGAGCAACCGTCTACTTCGATCGCCCAGATGTCAAGCGAGCACTGCACGCACCCAAGACAGCCTGGAGCGGATGCTCCCCAGATCCCGTGTTCGTGGGTGGCAACTCCGGCCCAGAGCAAGAAGGTGACATTTCGGCGAACCCAATCGAGCACGTCCTGCCGCAGGTGATTGAAGCTACCAACCGCGTTCTCATCTCAAACGGTGACTTTGATATGGTTGTTATCACAAACGGTACACTCCTGGCCATCCAGAATATGACCTGGAACGGCCAACTCGGTTTCCAGGAGAAGCCAAGCACCCCCATCGATATCAAAATGCCGGATCTCCTGTATGCCGGTGTCTTTGCGGAGAATGGTGCCTCTGAGCTCGATGGCCCTCAGGGTGTTATGGGTGTTCAGCACTATGAGCGTGGCCTGATGTGGGCTGAGAGTTATCAGGCGGGTCATATGCAGCCGCAGTATCAGCCTCGCGTGGCTTATCGTCACCTTGAATGGCTGCTTAGACGCACTGAGGAGCTCTAGATTCTTATTTGCGGAGGAATCCTACATAATATGTAGAATTTATAGCTGGACAATATGTATAGAAAATATAACTGATACGTTTGTGTATTTATTGAGACAAATCGCCCGTGCATTCCCCCGGAGTGGAATCGTGTATGTGTCTCCATGAATTTGAGTTCTTGTGGGGTATAGTATAGGCCCTTTGAAATCACATTGAAGAAGTTCCATCTACCAGCAATTGGCTGCCGCTTTGATTATACATATGTCTATTTGATGATGGTTTCCCGGATGAGCGGCTGAATCTTGTACACGGCAGATTGATGTATGTCTTGCCGAGTGAAATGGTCATTGTTCAAAGTGTAAGGTTGACTGTCATGAGCATCTAATAGCTCGCTCGATTAGGTGTTTATTATATGTGGAACAAAGTATTGGCGGGCCTAGGATCTGCTTATATGGTATACTTGCACACGATATAATGCAATTAATGAACTGGCTATTTTCATCACGCCTAAGCTTGTAATTTCTTGCAGCGCCCTACGCGGATAAATTGCGCAACCCTAGCTAGTGCATACATCGTAAGCCGCTAACGTAGTGTGCTCCAGCAGTGTGGAGCTCAACATTTGTTCAGAGTTTCAGTCAAGTGTAATTACGCTGCCTGCCATAGCTCGCAAATTAAAAGGGACAAACAATGATCTTAACCCCGTTCCCTCATGAGTACCTTGCTTCAATAAATGCATCTTCGGCGGAGGCAACAATTGCTACCACATACGGTGTGGCAAGATAATATATCGAGAGCTCTGATACCGAAGCGGCTAGTTCAATATAAATAATCAAAAAGGAATACCGCCTCAGTGGAGCTTATCGGAATAGTCTTCCAAGTTTCCGGATTGATATTGACTTTCAAACGAAATAAAAGAAACCGAATGAGGATATTCCACACAGGTAGCCGAGACAAGGGAAACACGAGAAGTTGCCGACAAAGTGGGCTTTCTAGAAATGGCAAGTGGCCGTAATTTAACCGAGAATCGCAATAATACAGCATTGAAGGGCTCTGATTGGTCAAAAATGTCGATTTAATATCTGAATGTGGCATTGATACGCCTCCGCCAAGATGCCTTGTTGAGTTCATGCATTTTTTATTTTCCTCTATGGTGTTGTTGTACGGAGTATATTGTACGATGTTGTAGCTAGCTTGACGTTGGCAAGGATCCGGAATTGACGTTATATTATAGGAGTAAAGGAGCCCCTCTTGAATAACTCGGGAACCATCTCGGGAAAGAAGCGAGAAGAGCAAAGTAAAGTGACGTTCAAGCACGAAACATACGATTTCTTGATCTCAGTATTTTGCCCCAAACAAGAGTAGTGAGAGGGTATGGTCTTGCAAAAAATTTTCCTGGTGGATCGTGGAGGCCAATGAGGTCTCAGCTCAAGTCTGGAGTCAAATTTGTTTCATTATTTTTGACACTTCCCGAAGTATATTTTTCTATGTACGGAGTAGCCCGTATAAATGTTGCATATGGTATGTTGACAGTTATAACCGTCAGAGAGGTATAAAGATAGACTACGGGAAGACCCTTGAGGCTGAAGCATGTCGGATTTGCCTTGGTGGCGCTCAACAACCCTTGAAGGTTCGACCAGTTTAGGGATCTTTAGGGATTCCTTTTAAGCTATTATTCCGGTGAATAATTTATATTACAATTTTATTTAATTTAATACCCGTGGACCCCTGTACAGGTGGGACTGATATTTCCGCATACCGCCATTGGATTCTGCCGGTACTGCCGGTTGTAAAAGACTACTAACTAATTGAAATGTGATTTAGGTATAAATTTTTAACTATAGTGATAGATGCCCCGAATTTCGGTAAAAAGAACAAGGGGACATTGGTATCATATGTCAAGCATTCATGTTGAAAAGGTCCTAAAACATATATGGTAGGCGGTAGGGCGTAGGCGGTGTCTAAACCCGAAGACATCAATATCAGCTTCTCCCTAATGAACGAACATTCTGATATTGTATGTTGTACTCAGAAGGAATATGTTCAGACGGAGTACGGAGTACTCCGTAAAAAACACTACCCCAGTTCCGGAGCCGAACCAGTCCTTTTTCTATGTATTCGAATTACAGATGGTAGGACATCATCTCATCTTTTTCTCAGGCCCGCTTCTCGCTCTTGGCCAATTATGGCATCTCGTACTAGAGAACCCTTGGTAAAAAAAAAGAAAGAAAAAAAAACCCAGTAATCATATTGCCTATCCTTCGGATGCTCCCAATAGTATATAGCAACTCTAGAATCCCGATTTACTTCCTTTTTTCTCTTCTTTCCTCTTCTGTCAATTCCCAAACTTCCCTTCCCTCCCAACCTCGAGGTTTAGCTACAAGCTTGCCTAACTCATATCTTGCTAGGGCTTCGTCTCTTAGCTTTTTTTTTATCTTATCCTGCCAGAACTTCTCTTGGATCATTTCTATTATTCATCACCACCTTGTGAAAGAAAAGAAAACTATTTCAGAGGCCAAGCACTGCGATACTTCAGATCAGCTCTTCAGTAGCAACCTTGCAGCGCCCTGACAGCAACGATCTCGACAGCGATTGCGACAACTCCGGCATCCACAGCGACAAGCCCATCTGAATACCTCGACAGCAGTATATATCGACCATTGTCCTTGCGCTACTTTCGGCCCACAGCGAATTGCCCCCGGATCCACGATATATGACCCCATTGCAGCTTCTCCCCACATCTGTAGATCCACCCTCAACTTCTCACGGAATTCCCAGCGATATTTGAACGGAATAGAACGTGCGAAAAGCGACATACTCGACAGACAGCAAATCCCAGGCAGTTGAAAGAAAATTCCAAAGCGACATATAAACCGCCATTATGGGCCTCCAAAAATTTAACCCTTTCAAACACGACAATCAAACGTTCCCCAGTGTTGTCATCCCACTTGCCGACGCACCTGCCCACTCCCTCTCGGAAAAGGCAGATAAGGAGTTGAACCAGAGCTCGGATGGCTCCTCTGCTTCAGAGAACGGTGCTTCTGGCTCCAATGATTCAACTAATCTGACTCTCGAAGCCCTTCGTGCAGAAGTCGAGGCTGATGTCTCCACTTCTACCCACGACTCTGCCTATGACCGTATGTTCTCCTCAGATTTTCGCATTCGCCCGCGTGTGGAAGCTCCATGGGAACTGAATTTTGATCTAACTCGACGATGCAGGCAAGGCAAAGGTGATCAACAGAGCTCTGCAGGATATCGGCATGGGCCGGTACCAATGGGAACTCTTCTTCCTTTGCGGTTTTGGCTGGACAGCAGACAACCTTTGGCTCCAGGTAGGAAATCAAAATCAAACTGATCACACAGACCCAATCTAACCATGCGTAGGGAGTTGCCCTGACCCTAACCCCTATAGCCTACGAATTTGGACTCTCCGACACGGAGGTGCGTTTCACCACTTGTGCTCTATTCTTGGGTCTCTGTATTGGTGCCTCGTTCTGGGGTGTTGCCTCTGATATTGTTGGTCGTCGTCTTGCTTTCAACGCCACTCTGTTCCTGGCCGGTACCTTTGGTCTAGCTGCCGGTGGTGGCCCCAATTGGATTGGGTGAGTCCCTAACAAAACAACGCATTTTTTATCTTTGCTAATCAAAAATGCAGAACATGTGCTCTTTTCGCTTGCTTGGGCCTTGGTGTGGGTGGTAACCTGCCTGTCGATGGTGCCCTTTTCCTGGAGTTCCTCCCATTTGTCTCGGGCAACTTGTTGACCATGTTGAGTGTTTGGTGGCCTGTTGGCCAGCTAATCGGCAGTCTGATTGCGTGGGCTTTCATCCCCAACTTCAGTTGTGCTAGCCGTGAAGGCTGCACCCGGGAGAACAACATGGGCTGGCGCTACCTGGTCCTCACTCTGGGCGCCATCACTTTTGTCATGTTTGTCTTGCGTTTCTTCTTCTTCCACTTGTACGAGTCGCCCAAGTACCTGCTCTCTCGTGGCCGCCAGGAAGAAGCCGTCGCCTCTATTCATGGAATTGCCCACAAGAACGGCAGCAAGACCTGGTTGACCAACGAGATTCTCAATGAAATTGGTGGTCATGCCGAGACGCACGAAAAGCAGACAGGACTCACTTACTCTCAAATCGTGGGCCGCTTCTTCTCCAAATTCTCAATGGAGCGCATTGCGCCTCTCTTCGCCAACAAGCGCATGGGCTTCAATACCGCTCTGCTCTGGTTCTGCTGGGCCACCATCGGCATGGGCTATCCTCTTTTCAACGCTTTCTTGCCGCAGTACCTTTCCCAATCTGGCGGCGAGACAAACTCGAACTACATCACCTACCGCAACTACGCCATTACCTCTATCGTTGGTCTCCCTGGCTCTTTCCTGGCTTGCTGGACAGTCGAGATCAAGTACATTGGCCGCAAGGGCACAATGGCTGTCTCCACTCTGATCACTGGCGTGTTGCTGTTCTGCTTCACCGAATCCACGAACTCCGACATCCAGCTCCTGTGCAGTTGTCTTGAGGCCTTCTTCCAGAACATCATGTACGGTGTCCTCTTCGCCTATACCCCGGAGACCTTCCCCGCCCCGAACCGTGGTACTGGCACTGGTATCTCCAGCTGCTTGAACCGTATCACTGGTCTCTGTGCTCCCCTTGTCGCTATTTATGCCGGTACTGCGGACCCCAACGCACCCATCTATGCGTCTGGCGCATTGATCTTGGCTTCCTTTGTTGCCATGTGCCTCCTACCCATCGAGACTCGGGGCAAGCAGACTCTTTAAGAAGCAACGGGTTAAACCTTTGTTTCGGTGTGTCGAAATAGTCTTGCATACAGTCGATTTCCACACAGCCTTCTGCTGTGTTGGAAGTGCGAGATGAGAACACGACTAAAAAAGGACAGCACATCCATATATCATGGATCAATCCCCTTGCCGTTGCGATGTGAATGATTCGACCAATGGGTTGACACAAGCTCAAAACACAGGGGACTCCGAGTATATGGACCGGATAGAGTGTTGTCTATATATCATAATAATCCAGTGATCACTGCCAGGTGACATTGAAACTTGAACATGAAGATACCAATCAAGATACCAAATTTTCTTTTTTCTTTTCTTAATTCCGAGTCATGTTTCGATGTTGTATACTCTGAGGCAAGTTTTTATACTATAACCTGTGCAATTTGCTAGACATATATCATGAATAGTGTTAGGTGCTTGGGCGATATAGAAAGATACTACCAGTCTATTCTATGTCTTTGAGTCTAATTTAAAGGGTGTTCTCATTGCGCGAATGTGGCCGTTCATGTCGAAACCGATCGGGTATCTTCTGCCACGCTCGTTTGCCGGTAGGAACTTTGTCGCCAAGTACACTCCCTCGTTGCTCAGCTTTACGCCGTTCGGTGGTTGTATCCAATTCCCTTCTGGGTCAAATAGGATCTCCGTGGCGAGTGGTGCGATGGATGCTAATTTCGCGTCGAGGAATAGCAATGGCACGGGGCTGTCTGGATCCTTGTCCCATATCGGGCGTCCCGTTTTCACACCTTTCAATTCAAAAGACCGATTATACACTTCCATTTAAGCGACCGAGTTCCGGGCTAGGAACATGAGGGTTCAGCCGAAGCTGCTATCACTTAGATAGAACCAGCAGAAAGGACCATGCGTCCAACGACCCATTGTCTTAGCCAAAGCAGACACAGCCGAGGATTGCCACCTCCATGTTGTCAATGACGACGAGAAAGGGCATCACTAGAGGAATTTGAAGAGGAGGGCGACAAGTATGGCCAGAAGTATGACGAGCAAGGCGACAAGCCAAGGGAAGGGCTTCACTTGCGTAGTAAGAAAAGGCGTAGCCAGTGGCGAGAAGTGTAACAAGTATGGCGATGAGCCCAAGAGAACGCCTCCGCCGGCTGCTTGAGAACGGACTTACGTGACGAGCCCAGACGTAACTTCCAGGTCTTTTCCGCCAAGATAGTGAGATCCGCCTCAGTTAGCTGCACGTCTCTTTCGCGGGGCCATGTCCAACGATTCGGCTGTCGCATAAACAAATGGTAGAAAGGAATAATGAAAGGAGCATTCGAAACGACAGGGACTCCTGAGCGTGGATTTTCAGTTTTCACCGTAATCTCAACTTCCTGTTTGATAACAAGTGACCCATTCTCAATAGTCGATCTCTGAAGTGTCATCGTGCGATTGTGCTTCTCGATGTGAATTGTGATCACGGATAGAACCTGGGTTTGACATTCGAATAGCCACTTTTCTGCGTCTCTTTGGAGCTGTGCTCCCGTTTCGGTCCTAGCAACTTCCAAGACGATTGATGGATATCTTCGGGATGGTAGCCGTGCTGGGTATATCTGATTATCAGGTTGCTTCACGCACGATCGGAGGGTTTGATATTTCGATCTATCGAACCGGATGTCATCTGCTAGGCCCTGTCTTTGAGCAGCGATGGCGATGAGCACTTGTATCGACTCCTTTGCCCGTTCGTGGGGTCCTGAACGAATTTTTATGAGTAATATATTTAAATGAGAAAAATATTCTTTCTAGGAACGTGAAAAAAGGGTATCGTTGGAGTAACGGAAGTCGCGTTCGAAGGTTTTCTTGTTGACGTTCGTGATCAGAAAGGTTCCATGCTTTGAATAGGGAAGGGACCTTTCGTAATCCAAAATAGCTAGAAAGTCGTCCCTTCCCTGATATGGAAACCGATGGATATTTGGAGGGAATCCCTCAAGTTCAACATCCTCCATGCTAACAGAAATGTATAGAATGAAGATGGGAATTTGGATTTGGTGTACAAGTTGAAAATCATACTATGTAGTTCTTTTTATGCCTACAGCGAATAGCGTCATGGTGATCGGGCAAGAAAATAGCAGTCTATATATATAGCTGTAGGTATTATGTGAAGATTAGCCAAGTGATAATGAAATAGAGGGGTCTACATGAGTTCGCTACAATACTAAAAGATCAATTGAACACTGTCAGAATAGATATTTGAAACCTGCCAAGGTTTCAACCTTGGAATATTGAAAGATGTGCTGCTTATTGAACCCTTAACAAATATGAAGATGTCCCTATCACACAAAAAAAGAAACAGAAAAGACCAGGGAGAACTCCATTCCAGTCCAGGCAAGCTCCCCGATAACTCAAGAGAAAGCGAAAAAGAAAACCGACTTCACCCATTTTCCAATCGTGACTATGTAGCTTGCAGGTCCCTCACCGGGACAAATCCGATAACGCGTGAAGAGCTTGAGAAGCGACAAAAAAAGAAAACGAAAATGGTGAAAGAAAACCGCAGAGACAAAAAAAAAATATCCGTGAAATTATCGCTCATCAGCAAAGTGCAAAGAAGTTATGAAGACATCACATCATGACCCTGATGGAAATACATCCTGTCTATGCCACTGGTTGATTACGACGGCCACGCTTCTCAAGCAATGTAGAGCCGTTCAGAGTAAGTTCAAACGGCTGCTGATGCTTACGAATAGAAGTCTTTGCGGCATTAGCAACATTGGCGTCATGCATCCCATAGCCCTGTTTGGGCTTTGTCTGGTTAGGTGGTTGTCGTGCCTGTGCGGCGCTACTTTGGGCACCGAGGTTTGTAGATCGGAGCTTGGCTTCCATTCCGGCCATGTCCCCTTGACTCTTGGCCACCTTGGCTGGTGGTTGGCCTCCAAGACGGTGGCTGTATTCGGGCTCATCGTCATAATCTTCGTTGAGTGCACCGAGTGCCGACTGGAATCCTGCTGTGCCACCGCGGTTGGTTTGGCGCGCGTTCGCGCGACGTTTTCCTTCTTCTTCCTGTCTGTGCACTGCGTAGCCGACATCAAAGACTTCGCGGAGGTTGAAAGCGCCTGGAGATCGGAAGTCCATGCGGCGCTCTGCTGTGAGGGATGGTTGATCGAGCAAGCGGGCACTGGCAGGCTGGAAGGGCCCGTGTTCGGCGTTGAAGGAGTCGAGTGGTTGCTGGCCTTTCTCGGTGGTTTGGTAGGGTGTTGCTAGAGGGGGTGCATCTGCGGCGGCGGTAGTCTCCTCATCGGTACCCTGTATCCAGGGGTGCGCGAGGAACTCCTTAATGGTGAACCGCTTTTCAGGATCCACGGTGAGGAGATGAGAAATCAGATCCTGGGCCGACTTGGAAATATCATCCCACCAGGGAGACAAAAAGGTGTATTGGCCGCGCGCCACTTTCTCGGTAAGAACTTGAATGCTCTCATCATAGAACGGAGGGAAACCACAGAGAAGTGTGTAAAGCACACAACCCATAGCCCACATGTCCACACTTTTGGAGTAACGCTCATCCTTGACGATCTCTGGGGCTGTATATCCGACGGTACCGCAAGGGGTCATCGTCTGGCTATCCCAAATCACCTTGGACAGACCGAAGTCTGCAAGCTTGATCTTGCCAATACCACCCGCACCAACTCCAGGGATGAATTCTCCCTCATCTTCTTTGTCTTCGTCTCCTGGCTGTCGAGGTTTGGGGTTCTTGCTGGGAACGTAAGGAGTTGGATAGAACAGGAGATTTTCCGGTTTAATGTCACTTTCATAAAAATGTTAGGCTGCACAAGACCGAGTTTCCACTGACGGGATGACAAACCGATGAACGACACCTGATGTCTCGTGTAGATATTCAATTGCTTCCGCAACCTGGCGAATGACGTGGCGGCTAAGATTCTCGCTGAAATAGGTCAACCGGACAATCTGGTGGAATAATTCACCTCCGGGGCAGAGTTCGAGGACGATGTAGTAATATTGACGTGACTCGGAGAAGTCGATCAATTTGACGATGTTAGGGTGGTCAAGGTTGCGCATAATCTGAACTTCTTTGAGGATATTGGCCCGCTGTTGAGAAGACTAAAGTTAGCAATGGCGAAACAAGATGCGCAGCCACGCATACAGGTAGTAGCATGGGGGAATATGTCTTTTCGCTGGAAGACGCAAGTCACCATTGCGAGGAAGCAGGTGGACCGTCAGGAAAGAATTGTTTGCGCACCTCCAATGCCTTGGGGACTTTTTTGACGGTTGGATAATGAGGATCGTTCTACAGAACGTATTGGCCATGTTTATGGAAAGCAAAGAATGTGGCCGCGACGAGACGAGAACCCCCAAAAAACAAAAGGAAAAGAAAAAGAAAGGGACATTGCGGTAGAACCTACCTGATTGCTATTCATTTCAAATTTGCGGACGACCTTGATGGCCACCTCGCCATACTCCGTTGTCGAATCCTTGGCACGATAGACATTGCTGAATGCGCCATCGCCCATCTTCTCTACCAAGATCCAGCGCTCTAGGCCGGGGTATTTAGGCATCTTCGATCGGTTCATGTTCTCCTCTGCCACTAGACGTTCGATTTCAACGGAGCGATCCTGCCGGACCTGAGAGTCAGGTTTATGGATGGCATTGGCTCGACCTTCAGGGCCAAAAGCCTCGAGAGCAGGTGAATATTGGCCTATCGGTTGACGTTGTGGCTCTGCGTGGATGGCGGAAACGTCGGTCGTGGGCTCAGAATGAGGGGTGACAAGGCGGGCCTGCTTTCCATGCCGAATGAAGTTCTTGATATTTTGTATCGTACTCATGATGTCGAAGAAGTATCGTGATTCATAAACAGAGGGATTCGGATAATGGGGGAAAAAAAACAGAAAAGGTTGCCTGAAGGGATTTTCAAGGGAAGGGTTTCAGACAAGTTGAATGGATTTACCCCACCAAAGGACGTTGTAAATCACAAAATAGTAGAAATTGAAAGGAAAAGGAAACCCACAGTTACAAAAGAAAAATAGGGGAGAAAGGAGATGATGGCGGGGGAGAAGCTATGACGAAATGAGAGATCTTTCCCTGCGATGTCATCTGCCAAGACCAATCTCTCTGGTTCGACCTCTCGGGACGTCATGGTACGCCACTGATCCACTGTGGTAATGAAGTTCAATCTATGTTATTCCCTTCATCTTAGATGTTTCCTTTTTGATTCAGGCTAACCATTTACCCCATTACCACAGAGAAACTAGAGAATCGGAGACACATGAGAACAGGAGACAGAATGACCAGACGCGAGGCACCAGACCAGACACCAGACACCAGACACCAGATATCCTTAACTTGCGCCATTCTCCATTCCCTGAGAAACATGACAATATCACCTTATCAATGTAATCTCTCACATAGAATGCTGGTTTGACCTGATTCCAAATGTCTTCAAACCCTGGCTTGTGTGGGGGTTGATATCGTCATCACCCGTTGCCACATGCTTGAAATCTACTGGAAATTCCGGATTTCCCGATTTACGCATTCGCTTGCTTTTTATCCTATGATGCCCATGTTACAATTCCAAGAATATCCGCGAAGGTTTGAGTCTCCTATTCGCACGGAGAGCCCTGACATGAAGGTGTAGATCTCAACCCTTCTCCGGAATGCTGAACCTACAACGGCAAACATATCAAGTCAAACGCGCATGAGTATGAGATGGAGCCATTTAATGTACATGGAAGTATCAGAAACATCTGGATAGATTATATCTGGACTCCACATGGCTCGGTAGATCAAGTCCTATGCGGAGTAAGTGAAACATCTAAATGAGTCCAACAGGTAAATTCAACGTAGCTCTGGATGTGCCCCCCCCCCCGGCCCCGGCGGCGTGGGAGGCTCAACACTATACTAAGTAACAGTTACGTACGGATATAGGTAGCATCACAAGATTGAACTTTCTCTCTTGCGAACATCAGTCCCACTCATAGAGTCTATCCTTATACTTAATATGAACATGACTATATGATATCGTCAGCTTATCGCTCAATGTATCTTCTCCACTACTTAATAGTGGAAATACATCGGATCTTACATGGAAAACCACGAGTTCTTGGCTGACGGCTCGCAGGCTCTACATATAATAGATCTTCTCTTTTACAGACTCAACCCCCCCGTTACGAAGATAAAATTTCCGATGTATATTGGCTATGTAGACTTAATAGCATGCATGGATGTCGAATATCAAGAATCCTTACATAGTATGTAAAAACCGAAATCCCAATCAAGTTTTCGAACGTAAACTGGATTCTCATCCATGATGTATTCCTAGTACAGTATCAGCTGGTGCGCATTTTCAAATCTAAACCATCTTCCGAAAATAAGTAACACAGAACAAACGGATACAAGACTTCAAATGTCACCCAAATATTGTGGAAGTTGGAATAGGAGCCAGAAATATGTTGCATACAAAGTCATGCTACGAAGCATTATTTTATTACTATCCATGCTGTGGTATCATTATACACTGTGTATGCTGCAATTTTTGAAATCCATCGTTCTTCATTCAGGAGAGCCCCGAAATAAGGATGTGCATCATAAGGAATGTATATATGTATGTTTAAGACCTGCATCAAGGGCTAAACATGTCAAGTAAGGGTTGTGATAGCCATGAGATCTCAAACCAATCTGCGGAGTATGTTGTATGCATACTTCCGAGGGATATTTTGACTATTTAGTTTCGAGTCTCGTCCCGATTTGTAGGTGAGGTTAAGTGTATACATCGTACATTGTAGGATGTAGTAACCAACCACGAACTAGTTCACACCTGATGAATCTGTACCACCCGTGGGCTGAATATAGTATTAATAAGGGACCAATTCCAATCAGTTCCAACTAATTCTAAGCCATGGTAGGATCGGAATTTGAGAGCGCCCTCATACCTAGAAGAGGGTGTGATGGATCTGCAGTGTGATGAAGTCTTAATTATATGAGGCTGCAAGGCATCAATATTACCTGAATAGGGAACAGGCGCTAATCAGCGGGAAATCGGGGCGCGAAAACAACCCGTTCGTCATATTTAACCATGCGAACATTTTCTTCGAACACTGTATATTCCTTTTTATTTCTTTGTCATATGTTATTTGAATGATACTTTATTGCCCCATACTTCGCTGAAACACGGGGGATAAGAGGGCTTGAGACTGGACTCCCCAGCCACTCGCCAATATTGTCCATCCCCACTCTTACAACTCAGATTAGACAGAGAGACAGGCCGAGCCAGAGTCTTCATCTGTGAAAGCATATGCTCCATACGGAGCACTCCATATTGAACGGTTGTTTGTCCTTCGTGGCGGACTCGAAATATACCACGGGCGATCGGTTCCCCCCTGCATCATAAAGAGACAAAGCAAAGCCCTCGGGTGTTAGGGCCTGTTGATTTCGACCGTTTGTCGCCTCTTGGTCGCGAAGTGCTCGCGCGCGATGCGACCCTTGCGACACCCTGAACGAGACACCCTACCCAGTACTATAACCAACGATATCTAAACGCCAGTCGAATTCACAAAAGCGACCGTGGATGCTCTAGGTCTCCCTGAGTGTGCTGTTTCCGAGATGCCGGGCGTGGAAGTGATGGGGTCGTCGGAGGATTTGCAAGCATTCAAAAGGCCACTCCTAAGGTCTCACAAGACGCTCCCTCGGCGGGGTGTAATTGTTCCTAGCATCGAAGTCATCCAACCGGTCTCCCCGGATCAGGATGGGAAACATAGAGCGACACCGTCGCTTCCCTTGACACCGCCGGGTGCAGGCCACGAAGAACTCGTGGTTGACGAACGAACACCCCAGAGAATGAATTCTTCTCTGTCAGATATGCCGGTTTCTGGGATGTTAACCCCTCGCCGTTCCTCTAAGCCTCCGACCCCAGATGTGACGCCTCCTCGAACAAGCTCGGACAAGCGACCTACCTTGAACCAGTTTGGTTATTTCTCCTCGTCATCTCGCGCCGATTCATTCCAAACGGCTTTGGAGAGTATCTCACCGGGAGAAGATATGACCACCCCGGTCCACATGTCTCAGACTGCGACCCCCACTGCGAAACAAAGGAGGCAGCCCTCAAAACCACCCGCCTCAATTGGACATATTTCACACTTGACAGATATAAAAAGATCACCGCCATCTACTTTTCAACAGTATAGCGAAACTGAATGCGATACTAGATTCGAGTCTTTCGATGGGCATTGGGCCGCAAACCTGATCGATGGGTCGCCAACACCGTTAGTCGGAAAGCGAAAGTCTGCACAGAATCACACTCAGCCAGTCAATGACTCAATCTCTGCGAGAGATGCGCTGGATGTAAATCACCTTGATGTGTCTTTGATGAGAGAGAAAAGCCGACGGGACCGCGTTAATGGTGTGCAAGAAGCCCAAGCAAGTCCTTCAATGGAGCTGTTCCGTGAGAATATTGGGTCATCATCATCGGAGGGTTTGGCAAAATCCAGTAGATCGGACGCCCGTCCTTTGTCGGTCATCTCCTCGACGTCCACCGTTGAGGCTATGATAATCGACTCCCCAAAACGAGCCCAGCGAATGCTCCGGCATACCGAAAAGAAAAGCTCTCTGCGGTCTGCCAGCTCTCCCATCCCAAAATCTGAGCGTACATCTTATGGCTCCATCCCTGAATCCCAGCACCGCCTGGTTCACAAGGCTGCTCGCATTTCTGATCAGGATTTTCGAAGCAGCACACCGGAGACTTCTTTCTCCGCCAAGACCAGGAACAGTGTAATACAGCCCAATGTCGAAACTATCAACGTCGTGGTCATACCGGAGAGAAGGTCTTCTCTAAATTCCCGTCCTAACAGCCATGCTTCTTCCAAACTTGGTTCTCAGCGATCAAGCCGTCGTCCTCCGACAGCATCAACTGGCCACACAGATATCCCGGTGCAAAAGAGACGCACTGTGTCTGATTCAGTGTCGGCCCGATCTCGATCTCGCGAGGCCGATCCGAGGGGTTGCTCCATGGAGAGGCCTGTCATCCCAGCCCGGTCCTCATCGCTTTCTGCGCCGACCAGTCGGAACAATTCTCGCACAGCTTCTCTCACCTCTAACAGCCTGCGAAGTCGTACCACGGAGCGTCCCGTCATACCGCCCCGAAGCTCGTCGCTTTCTGCGCCAACGAGCCGGAACAATTCTCGTGCGACTTCCCTTACTTCAGACAGTCTACGAAGCCATAACTTAGCCATGGAGTCCGAGATACGGAAGAGTCGTGAGCATCAGCCGGTGTCCCCGCCTCGCCACAACGTTTTGGCTTCGCCTGATCGCCGTAGCCTACTCGAGGCTCCCAATATGCGCAACCTCTTTGTTAGCTCCGATGATATGGCAACCCTGCGTCCTCCCTCTTTGCCTTTTACCCAGGGCTCGGTTCCATCGTCTTCACCGGGTCCCATCGAAATCCAAGAGGCTACAGCCGTCAGTCTGTTCGCGCACAACAACCGATCGCTGCTGCTTGTTGATCCTCGGGTACAAGCCTCCTCGAGGGGCCCGTTCCAAGCGCTTGGGATTTCTTATGATTTTCCCCAGCCCCCTCGCACACCCGACAATCCACCACAGATGGCAATGTTTAATGCAGACTCACCTTTGACAAACCCACGCCCTCCCCCCAAGCCCCCATCCGCCGCACCTCTCCCCCCGCTTCTATCACATGAAGCTCAGGATGAGAACAAAGGCCTTGGTCGACGATGGAGTTCCGTCCGTCGTACCTGGAGCGCACGCCCTAGGTCGGATTCCTTCAGCAATATGGCGCGGTCATTCTCAATGAAATCGGCCAAGAACCGAACCGCAGGAATGGAAATGGATAGTCGTCAGCATCCGTTTTGGCGACCCCGTGGCTTCTGGGAAGACGTGCCCAGTTCCCCAGAGAAAGAACCCTCGCCGACGCGACAACCTTTGCCGCGCACAGATGAGCCCTTGGTTGTGAACAACTCTCTAGGCCTACCCCATCGACGCATCATCTTTGACGGCCCGCCTGCTCTGGCGCGTCGCAGCCCAGAAATGAGACGCCTGTTCAATGGAATGGCTAGCAACGGTAGCTTGGTTGACCAAGGCATGTTCCGTACGGGATCCCCGTTACACTCGAGTCGCTTTCGGTCTCTCTCTCGCTGGGGACTTCGGCTCCAGTCGATGTCATGGCGTAATGTACGGACTCGCCTACGACGTGTGCGTCAGCGACGAGACGAGAGAAAACGGGCTGTCCGGAGGGAAGCCCTGAAGCAGAGTATCGGTGGCCCTGTCTATGTGGCATCTAGCACTACAGCAGAGGTGGCTATGAGATGGCCTAAATGATGCCCTTTCCCCCTTTTCGCATTTTCTTCACGTATTTATGATTGGATATGTTTCACGCATTTCAAACACTCGCCCGACGATTTCACGATGCATTTGGTTTTTTGGTTTTTGATATTCGATGCCCCGAGATGATCTTTTGATATGAGATCTATGATGATTACGAAACACGAACCCATGATGATGATTCTATTGTTTTTATTGCTTTATCTCTACTTTTGTTATCTCAGTTGTACCATTAGCTTGTTCTGTTTACTTCAAGCATACACCCGTATCGAATTTCCAACCAGTTCATCAGTCCAAGACCGAACAGGGAAAGCTGCCCCTTACCTTCACTTGTGTGACATAAGATGGCCTATAAAGCAATACTATCTTGGCTGGATGTAAGCGAGTTCATTGAGTAATGTATTAGTATCTGATTCACACGGATTTGAATGTGCTGTATGGAAGCATGTCCAATTTAGCATCAAATTATACTGCCATTCTAGGAAAGAAAAGTAGTAAGGACTAGGTGGTATAAGGCAGCCGGCCATTGAAATGGCCATATTTATTCTCTAACCAAATACGGGGTATCTAAAAATCATCCAGCTCATTCCAACCAATATCAGCGCCTACCACCCCAGTAGACATTGCCTCTCCCCTTCCCCCTCTTCCCACGTCCACGTACACTCGACCGGCCCCGAATAGCCATAGACCCATACTCCGTCTCGCGCTCCACTCGTTGTGTCATTTGCTCAGCTGATTCATATTCCCTGTCTGCCCCTGAATCCAGTTCATCATCTACTGACTGTGCTGCTAGTCTCTCGCGGCTGTGTTTCAGCATCGCTTCCCAAGTCGGTGGGTCAAGGAAGGGTTGTGGCGGCATAGAGAATGAGACTTCAAAGCGTGGGGTCTGGGCCTCGTAGTCTTCTTCATCTTTAACTGTGTTTTTATTACGCTCGCTTGAACTGGGCTTATTTCTTTCTTCGGTGGCCTCTTCGTATGATTGTTTGATGATTGTTTCTGCGGGGATGGCGCTAGGATTGAGGACTTTGGATACCTTGGAACCTGGCCTGTTGGATGGTAAAAGAGTGCGCTTATGTGGGATGAGTAGAGCCCGAGATTTCTTGGAGGAAGTCGATGCAGCCATGATTTCGAACTTCATGTAGAGACAAGGATGAAGAGATGAAGTTGAAACAGTTGGAGATAAGCGGAGTCGATGTCTTATCAGCTTATCGGGAAAGACGCCAAGACAAATTGTATACATTTTATTTGGATGTTATAAGCACTACGTTAATTGAAATGAATATGTCCCGGCTGAAACATCAGAATTCCATCTGCTTCCATTGGTGTGTTTCCATATACCCCGGTACGCCGCCTTGATATCCTTGCTAGCGTTTGCGCAAAGCAATCTTTAGCCCGAAATTGGGCACATAAAACTCCTCGAATGAAAGCGAGCCAGTGAAGGGAAGAGAAGCCGAATTAGGCAGGAGTATATCATACTGATTCAGGATATGCGCAAAGGCGAGTTTCATGAGTGCGCTAGCCATCCATCGTCCGGGGCTACAAACACGAGCAAACATCAGCCGACAGGATCCGGGCGGTTGGATTTGAAACTAGGGCATGAAAAGAAACAAGGCCAGCCAGAAATAAGACATACCAGGCATGTGCACCCATTCCGAAAACCAGATAGTCAGGACTCAGATCGACCAGCCGGGAATCCTTGGCTCCAGCTGCTGCACGCTTGACGAACCGGAAACCGTCGAATGCGTCAGGGTTTGCATAATGCTCGCTGGATCGTTGGATTATTCCACTTGGGACGGCAACGTGGGAGCCCTGCTTGAGTGTAATGCCTGTTCCGCGTACTGGGTCAGCTTGTTATCCTGCTTGCTTGGTAATATGTTTGCAAGAACAGACCGTTAGAAAGTTTGAGGTCAGTGACGCAGACCCGGTGGGCGGAGACTGATATTCCAAATCATTGCATTAGCCATGCACACGTGGGTGAGAGGTTATAGACGTACGTGCTGAAGGCGGATGCAGTCGCTGGCACTCCTTCAAGAAGCTATCCATCAAAACCATGTTATCACAGGCTGGAACGGTTGGTCCCATTTCGGAGAAAATTAGATCAATTTCCTCACGCAGGGGTGCAACATATTCGGGCCGTCGAGCTAGCTCAACCAGGGCACCGTAAAGACCCTATTGGTGGTTAAATCAGCAGATTGCAGGACTATGACATGTGTATGGAGTACTTACATAGGACGTGGTGTAGATAAAGGCGAATTGCAGAAGCAGCATCTCACCTATCACCTCTGCATATGTCCATCGCTCCCGAAGAACACTGCTCTCATACAGCCATTGGAAGATTTCAACCTATAGATTGCTCAGTCATAGTGTCATTGGAGGAAGGAGGAAGGGGAGACATCGATACCGGATCGTCCGATTCATCGATATTGGTCTCGCTAGGGCCGCTGCCATTGAATATCTCTGCGTGATATTCTGCTGCACGTGCATCGAAGTGCTTGAGCAAAATCTTACGCGAGGCGTGCATATCCCAACTAGTCCCAATAGTGGCGAGGCGGCCGATGAGCCCACCAATGTAGCTGTTTTGGTGTTAGTCCACATGAAATGAAATTAATGAAGCATCTGACTCACGGCTTTAGGTAATCTGGAACAAGAAATTGTACGCGAGTGGTCACTATCATCCCAAGTATGTGGTCCTTGACAGCTTTGAGATATTCTTCATTCTGAGAAAGCCGTGGACCGACAATAGCAAAGCTGCCGCTGCGGGCTACGATCGAGTATGCCAGGTCAAAGCAGCCAAAGTTGCATTCTAATGAAAGACGTTAGAGACCATCTCGCCTATCAAGTCGAGTAACGCTCACCTCCGTCTTTGAACTCTAGGGTCTGCAACTGTGAGATAATTGCTTGATTCATAGCGGGCATATACCGATGCAGGTGTTTATAAACTGTGGCACGAATTAGACCAGGCGTAGTTTTAGCAATTTTTGGCCATCCCATTCCCTTGGGGAAATAGCCAGGCATAACATGAGAAATTTGGAGGAGCTGTAGAAGAATATCAGTTAGCCTAAGCATGGAGAATGAAGTTGTACCTGAAAGTCTGACCTGATCAATCCATGGCTCGGGGGAGACAATAGTACTCCGTTTATTTCTTAGTTCTTCAATCAACTCTGGTTGGCATAATATGACCTGACCGAAGCGGAATGTTCGCGGGATCTCGAACAGGCCGTTTCTGAATTGTTCGTAGCCTTTCTTTATGATACCCGGCCCATTCACGACAAACTTATACTGCTGGTATAAGATCGAGAAGCAGCCTTTGCGTGTAGGGAAAGGAACGTGGCTCTGGCGGTTTATCAGCATGTGAATTTGTATTCTTGGTTATCATTAGATATATCACCAACGTTAGCCATGAGATAGGAATTAAACACCAAAGAAGCCGCAACAATAGAGCAAAAGATAAACGGGATAAGTAGACACAGCATTATAGCGGAAACTCGAGGTTCCACCTCGGTCCAATAGAGGTTATAAAGGAAAGTCATGTTGTTCTAAAGGAGCGATGGGAAAAAGATGAAATGGACAGACCGAGATTATATAGGTTTCCAGCAAAATAGGTGAGATGGGAGAAAAGCAATAACATCATTGTGTCAAGTTAAGATTACTTATACGGAGCGAATCTGTCGCAAAAATAACTCAATGTGATATAGGTACATAAATGCACCGGACTTTTATAAATGCATGAGGCTATGCAGAATTTTCTTTTGATTTTTGAGCAAATATAGCATCATATGGGAAAGGAACCGACATAGGAACCCATAAAAAATATAGACGGATATGAAAAAGAACATAAACTCACTGGAAAGTATCAGGGATGGAATGTGTGGTATAATGATACAAGACAATGCAAGCCACGCCTGCAACCTTGAGAGAAAAAAAGAAGAAAAAAGGAGCCATAACGCCAAGTGATTATTAGGCAGGCCAAGTTATACGATACTCTGGGATTCTATCCCACCCATTGTGGAGTATGAGTAAGGTAAGTCTACCAGACCATCAAGAAGCCAGTTCAATGGATCGAAGACTTCGTAATTAGGTTCAATGAAGACACTTGGAAGTCCGGTAGGTTGGGTTGTGGGTGGTTGTATCCCAAGACTAGCCTGGGATAGCAGGGGTGCTGGAGCAAGGCTTGGATCATTTCCAGAGATTCCAGGTGTTATTGTAGATGTGTGTACAGGCCCGACAGATGAAGTGCCCGAAGAGTCGGCTGCCGAGTCAGGATTTGTGGGATTTTTCAGATAGGCTAGAAAGGTTAGAGACTTGGTATTTATACCTGAGATTGTAAATGGATACTGACCTTCAATGTTTCGGCCCTTAGTCCTGGCATCCTCCCGCCAACGCCATACAGAGTCGAATAGCAGAGACATGCTCATTCGGCAACGTACTTTGAGCCGCAGGGAATCATCGACGTCGGTACTATTGTTAGACCGCTGAGTTGCCCCTCCCAATCTCCACATCTGAGCCAACACTTCAGCAAGCCGTTCGGGCAGATCATTGCTGGACGCTGACACCCCCCGAATGGCCCAGATCGTACGGTTGAATAGGTGCTTGGTGTATTCCATGTCTATGTGAGAAGCGAAAAAGCTCTTGCACAGCTTCAGAAGGGTGCAACCGGCGGCAACCATCATCTGGTAGACATAGTATGGGGTGTAAGAGAGAACTGGGCCAACATCGGTCTCGAGGTTTAGGACAACTTCGAGGAATGATGTCGTCGCGACATACAGAGATAAAAGGCGTTCGCGGTAATTCTTAGTGGTTGGCTCATCAAAGAATGCCGAAAGGTGCAAATGAAGGTTAGCAGCACGGAGGAACAAGTCAGTAATACCTGGCATTGTTAGTAATGCATCCTGTATATCCATCCCCACTTGAAGTTCGGAAGCTTACAGTCATTATGCGGTTTGAGCTGTTCTTCCAATTCGTCAAAGTCTCGTGACAGGAAGGAAATCATAGTCGAGCGTTCATGGTCACTGGTTAAGCCGACAGGATCACGTCGATTTGTGTAAAGCGCGCGGGTAACTCTATCACAAAACTTTTCGATCTCCAATCTTGGCCTTATATCTTCAGGAAGCTTGAAGTTCGGGTCATGTGAATCGTTCGAGGACAATGTCCAGTCGTAAAGAGTAGATGATGGCTGTCCATAGCCGGTGGAAACTCTGCAAAGGAAAATGTAAGACAAGGGCGAGCAGCAATTGACTAAGATTTTGTACATACCTCTGAGCAACAATATTGCAAATCGCCCACGTTCGCACCTTGTCTCTCAATTCATCCTCGATCAGCTCTACTCGGAATTTACTAAAGTCCTGAGTGTGAGAAGGTCGGTGGAGACCAAGCTGCATGGCAACCTGTACCATCATTCCACATAGCATGAAGGTTGGATCTGTTGAGGTGCTGCTTGTCGGGAACGGCCATGAGCATAGCAGAGCGAGAGCTTTGACAACATGGTAGCTTTGAGGGATATCTGCTAGAGTGCTCCAGACCAGCCGGGTGACAGGACCAGCGAGGGAATTCAACAAATTCGAATCGCCTTGATAGCGTCGCGCACCGACACTGATGATAATCCAGAAAAGCAACAAAGAGGAGCTATGATAATCCTCGGGAGAGAGGCTCCGGTCCAAAAATGGAAGGAAAGGGTGGTAGTATGTGAAGAATCTGACAGGAACAAGTTAGGATTAATCACAGAGATCTGACAGATGAGGACTCACATATTAAACAGCTCCGTTACTTTTTCTGGAACAACCATAACATCCTCAATTCGTTTGATTTGTCCGCCATTCCTCATGAAGTTGGTACCATCGAAGCCCGAACGAAGGTCCAGGAGGGAGGCGACAGCTTCTTGGGATCCCATGTACTGATCTGCAGACATGGCCGACGGGGTTTGATAGACTGCGGGACTGACTTGATTCGATTCTTGCTTGGGTGTCAATTGTCCTGCGGTCAATGCTCGTTGCTGGTTCATTGCAGGGGCAGGTTGGCCACTAGCAATTTGCTTTCTGAGCTCCATTATTTCCCTCTCCATTTCCGCATTGCGACTGCGCTTCCCCACACGCTTGAAGTTAGACTCAATTTTACAATCGAGCCTCAGTCGCCGACATCGCGAACAATCGGTCCATGGATCTTGAATCACATCGCATCGGAGCTGTGGCAACCCGAAAAAGATTAGTCAAGCTGGAAGATCGCAAGGACTTTGCGATAATATGCGAAACCTACCTTCTGCTGTCGACATTCATTGCAAGCGCGCTTCACTGGCTGACGTCTCTTCTCCTCGCGCGCATCGTTGTCATCCATATCCTCCATACTTCCGGGAGAACTGTCGATCCCCGCAATGGCCATATTGCGTTTGCGACCATGCACGCCATCGGCGGCAACTGAGACAGGTAACTGATTTGGACCCGCCATTACGGGACTGGTGCCAATAGAAGCATTATCAATACTCGCAATCGGTTCAAGAGTTTGGGCCTGGCCCTCTCCGATGCCGTTCGACCGCCCGAGAGAAGCCAGGCTGAATGACGTTTTTCCTGGTCGAGATCTCGGTTTCGAATGGCGAGAGAGCTTCGGACGGATTCAAAGACACACGAGTTAGGTCTTAGTCCGGACAGTTTTGGTTCGGTTCTTTCTTTTTCCTTCTTGTATTTCTCCAGCAAAACCGTCTCAACTTTCTTCGGTTTCTCACGCGGTGAGCGCACTTCTTCTCGGAATCACGATGACTCAGCGCAGAGGGGCATACCACGTGATATTATATGGCCCCATATTACACGTGACCTAGTTATCTATCACGTGATGGGCTGTACATTGAGAGGATTATTTCCATATTGCTTTTCATAATAATTGCACAGGTACGTGCAAGCATATGAAAAAAAAACACTAGAAAGACACTAGAAACCTTCATGTACAAACCACACCGAATCCCCACATTTGATCAGCAAAAGTAAGCCTTGGAGCGGATAAAAGCCACCGAGGCAGTATGGCAGTGCAACCGCGCCCGGCTCCGCCTTGTGTTTGTGTATCCAATCTAGTATGAGATTGAAGAAGACCTCTTCAGATTACTGGCTTGGGAGTAAATGAAACCATTCACTACTTCGTAAAAGCTTCCTTTATATTCCGAGGCTCGGGCAAATATAGTTTTTATTCAGGGCAATCGGTGGCTATCGTCATTCGTACTTCTCGTTTAACTTGTCCATCTTGGGTCATGACAGACCAGGAGCTGCATCTGAGTGTACTCAGATACGAAGCTACTTGATCATCAACTGATATAAAGGCCTACCCAACCACATCTGTCAGACTCACCAACAACTTACACTTTCTTCACAACTTACTGCGTCTATCGAACACCAACATGGGTGTGTCAACGGACAAAAAGCCCAAAGACCCACCAAATAAATCGGAAGACAACGGTGAGTCTTCCAGTGCGCGGCCACCTTCCTATTCGGCCGACCAGGTCGAGCAGCCACCACTAGAGCTGCCGAAGCTGAATCTGGGCGCCCACCTACACACATCTTCTTTAACTACTGTCACCCGTGATGAATGCGTTGCACATCTCAAGCTTCTGGCTGTGCTTGCAGACCTGCGAGATACTATCTCTAGTGATGATGGGCTCTTTGGTATCAACGATGCCGAAGCTGAAAGATTCCCAAATAATCTGAATGAAGCACGCGCTCGTATTCGCGAAAAGCGCTGGGCCGTATATACAGCACGTGCAGTCGATCGGTACACCAAATGGTGGTCTACTGGCCTTCCTCAATCAAGACAGATGGCGACTATTGAGGACTTGGAAGATATTCGCTATGAAAACATTCTTACTTGCGATACTAGAGTCGGATGGAGCATAGAAAATCTGCCCCCGTTAGGTAAGTGTATTAATCCTCAGGCAAAAAGACGATTCACTGATTACCCTATAGATATTCTAATGGTCTGGCATGCTCATTGTCTGAATCCTCGGAACTACCTTGAGGATTGCATTCGATATGGCAAGATCAGTACGTGGGCAACGGGGTTTCCATGGGAAGTGATAGATCGCTGCATCAACAACCATACAATGGAATATACGGTTGCTGAAGAAGGTCAGCAACTGTTCGAGCAGAAAATGAATCTTAAGTGGAACAATCTGCACGACCAGCCAACCAAGAAAGTCATCTGCCCGTGCTGCCAAAGGGCGACCTCTGTCCCGTGGACAGATGCTTACTTTGGGGCCAGTCTCTTCAACGCCTTCAAATATGGAAATGGCTACGCCGACCATTCATTTAAGGTGGAATGCGATGGCTGTCAACGCATAATTGACCATGAGAGGCTCAAAGTAGAAAAATTCCGAAAAGACGTTGCAGCAACCCTTTATGAAGGCCTTCCTATGCCCGGGTCATTCATCAATCTTTATGGAATTCCTACGCGCCCATCTCCAACCCTCTCCAATGGTAGGATCATTCGGTATAAGCTATTCCCAACACGGGTCGTTCTGGCCGCCGGAAAGGAGTTGATGGAATTCACTGATGCTCGAGTCGGTCGGTGTCTAAACATCACCCAGTTGAAGGATCGATTTGGGTCGTCCCACATTCTACGCGATAGAAATGTGTTGACTTTTGCCCTCGGTGACAGCGCTGGTACTATCTGGCCCACCGAGAAGGTCCACATCCGACGGATGATGTCTCGATACTGGGATAATCTCGGCCCCTTCGCGCTAGACCTTGTCGGCGCTGTTATCAGACAAGGGACCTTCGTGGATAAAATGGACCAAATCGACTGGCTCCATTCACCAACAGTCTTCAACACCATGGACCGGCTGATAAAAAAGTACGAAGTGTTCTTCAAGATCATGATGGAAAACCCAAAGAATATGGCCGTCCCCACACTGGACGTCGACCTAGCCTGGCACACACACCAACTCAACCCATCACGATACTACACATACAGCACAATTCGTCCAACAGCCGGTGGTGTCCACGTATTCATCGACCATGACGACAAAGTCGACGAAGGAAAACTCTCCGACGGCTTCGCCTGGACCAGCAAAATGTACCGCCGTGCCACCGGCGGCGGCATATACAGCGAATGCTCCTGCTGGTACTGCGAGGCGACACGAGCACCAGATCTGTATGACCGGATGATCACAGTTGGCTCAGCCTCTCGCGCCAGAACCGCTGCAGACAACTTGCACGATCGCCCGGATATCTCATCCGACCCAAACAAGAACCCACATATATCGTCGCACAATGCTGTCCGGCCAGTATACCTGTACGCGAGTGAGAGGTCCAAAGGCCTGCAACGCATACGTCTACAGACCGACTACCAAAAGGCTGCTCGGCGAGCTGAGAAGCGAGGCCGTCAACGCTCTAACTCCAAATCTGCTAACCAGAACGACGCTTATCTGTACATGCCGTATGCATATGGTTACCCCATTGTGATGCCGTACTATGCACCGTATATGATGGACCCGTCTATCAACTGCGAATCGTACGCAAGTAACCCTACCTGCATGAATATTACGCCAAACGCCGCTGGGAACTGCTGTTCCGGCACATGTGGTAAGTTGTTCCTATATCCTTCTAGAAGTATGGAGTGACACTGACTTTTCAAAAGGCGGTGGGGCAGCTGCAGGTAGCTGTGCAGGAGTTAGTAGTAAGGGAGGGTGTGGTGGTAAGTCTTTTGGACTTCGGTATACTGCAATGAATGCTAATGTGTTTCCTATACAGGCGGATCTGGTGGCGGCTGCGGAGGATCCAGCGGCGGTGGTGGAGGTAAGCCTTTCCATTGCATTTGATATGGGAGTATACACTGACTTGGTTATTTAGATGGCGGCAGCGGTGGCGGCAGCGGCGGTTGCGGAGGAGGAGGTGGTGGTGGTGGAGGAGGTGGAGGAGGCTGCGGTGGTGGAGGTGGCTGCTAATTCAAAGAACGACTGCTAATACCCTTATTTGCTTTTTTTTTTGGCTTTTGCTTATATTCTTTTATGCCCATGATGGTCAATTCCTTGGTTTTTTACTCAACTCGCTCCTCGAGTTATGCTTGTTGCTGAACAGTCTATAATATACACGATCTGCTTGATTTAGGCCTCATACCCAAAGCTCTTGCAACTGTCTCCTGATGAATTTCACTACCATATTTACTCTTAAGTATCCTATAAGAAACAATGACAACAGGAGTATCAACATATATCCAATCCATTGAACGAACATACACTATCTGGGATGTAACCTTTCTAAAGGAAGGGAGAAGATAGATCTACATATCTTGACCTGGAATTGATGCATGTCACATGGATACCCACATGGATGCACATCCCAACAACTATGTATATAAATGTCTTGAAACACAATTGAATCATTGAGGGGAAAGACGTCTCTCCAACGACTGCCTGAAAGAGGCAACGACAGCCCTCCTCGAAAAAAAGTTAACACCTATACTGATTTCTATGAGGGCCGACTTGTTACACATTCCACCCCTTGTGTTTCATCCCACGTCTTCATCTATGACGAAACATCGATTCCACAAAAAAAGATGGACCTTTACCCCGTAGTGGGTCGTTGGTTCCCCGCTTATGATATACAGGTACGAAGATAGAAATGACATAAGGATCTACATTTCAAAACAATATACGTTCATGAGATATATTCATTGTATGCCCCGTCCGAGGGTTGAGTACACGAGACCACGAGATAGAAGAGATTGGGTAAGGAGAGGGAAAAGAACGGACGAGATACACATGTGGGAAAGGCGGATCGTAGAATTTGTGGGTTTGGTATATATGTGCGAGGTGAGAGGCCAAAACAAAACAAAAGACAAACGAGAAGCATAGAAGTCATGAAGTGTCATGACCCTATGGATATAAGTATTTGATGGGGATAATAAGGATGCGCCGGCAATACAGAGCAGGCCATTTATGGGGGTTTCCAGAACAAACAAAAACACAAAGAAAAAGCACAAAGCGGGCCAAGGAGACATGATTGATACATGGGATCTCAAAGTAGTGAAAAAAAGGTCCCGAGAATGTGAAACACTCCCGTTGAGAAAAGAGCTCTGAACAAATTATAGCATGGCTCTATTCTCCACCTGGAGTGGTTGTAAACATGTAAACAAGAAGGTTCAAAAAATTCGCTCAAGCTCGTACATGAGAATCGTGAAAGGGGTCGTTTGACATTAAGTCAATTTGACCCAAGAACTGGCTCGGGGGGAGGGAGGGGGTAGGGAGAGAAAGGTGCGGAGACTACTGGAAAAGATTTACTCTTCCATGTGGCCAAAGACACCGCCATCGTCATCATCGGCCGGCGCGGAGCGGTTACCAAAGTCTACATCGGCGTTGCGAAGTTGACGGGATTTCTGAGCATCCTCACCACCAGCGCTCCGATCTTCACGCTCATCCGATACCTTATAAGACAGCGATGGGTTGAGCGACCGGGCCAAGAAGATGTTGGCCTCGGAGTCTCGGCGAGCGGCCTCTGAGGGGCCTGACAGAGGGGAGAAGAGACCCTGGCTCGGGTGGCTGCTTGAGTCCAAGTAGCGTGCCGGCAGTGGAGGCACTGGTGGCACGTCGGGGGTCATGGAAACAGGTCCCGTACGAGGAGTCCCGAAATTGCACAGGCCGATGGCCGCAGCAAGATCCGCCTCGTCATCCTCGTGTAACCGTGTGTCCGCAGTCGAGGGACGGGTGTCGATGCTCGAGTGGCGGAAGTGGGAGAAGGTAGGCGAGTGCAGCGGAGCACTTTCGTTGTACGAGCTGGAAGGGATCGACTGGTACGAGCGAGAGTAACCGGAGGCGTTGCTGACGCTGGGGCGTTTGGCCCACTGCGCCGGCATACCCGACATCTCGAAGTCGTCGTCTTCCTCCGAGTCCATTGGGGGAGGCGTGGTCTCAGTGGAACTGATGCCATCTCGCATCTCTGACAGGGCGTCTGGCGATCCAGACGACAATTCCGACTCCAACTCAGCGGACTCATCGGGTGGATCATCGTGGTTCATGGTGACCAAAACGGAGGCGGCCTCCAGCAGCTGAACCTGCTGATGCTTGGAGATGAGAAGTTTCGAAGTAACGGACCATGCTGGGTCGTGTTCCCACCTAAGATCCACGGAAAAAGAAGACGTCAATCAAATGAGCTGAAAAGGAAAGAAAGGGGGGCAGTGATGAAGGGGGAGTTGAAGAACCACGAGGGCGACCTGCACAGAGCCGACGTGGTGCATATTCCCGATCGAGCTAGAAGAAGACGGCCGAGCGGTAGGGGGGATACACACATATGCTTAGACAAGCAGCTGCCATGCTTATACCCTTTCCCGCAGCGATCGCAACGTATGGCCGTCGAGGCACGCTTCCCTTCGGTCTTGAGTTGAGCCCCCTCGCTGGCTCGGCGGTTTCGGTTCTTGGGCTTGCCATCTGAGTTGTCCGATCCCGGAGAACCTTTGCGGGCGACCGGTGATTCTTGACTGGGGCTGTTGATGCTGCGGGAGAGGTAGGAGCTGAATCCAGATACATTTCCGACGGAGCCAGACTCCTGTCCCTTGCGGCCTGCGAGGCTGCGCCGGTGCGCACCCATGGGGAGCGAGGTAGCCTCCCCCTCCATGGAGGCAGCCACTGCGGCGGCAGCATTGGCAGCGGCGGTAGTGACACTCTTTCGACGAGTTACCCGGTGATTTGGATTGAGGGCACCTAGCGAGATCGAATGCGCGTGCTGATGCCGCTGGCTAGTGTTGGGGAGAGGACGCGACATGGATAATTCCTGTGAATGGCCAAAAAGGCCGATACATTAGTATGGTCCAAAAAAAAAAAAAAAAAAAGACGTCGGGCGGAAATGCAATGCTGGACACGTACCTTGAATGAGGCCATGGTAAAAAAATTAAAGAGGAAGCTTCCAATGGAATTGACGATCCTCTATGACAAATGTTGCCCTCAATTCAGGGAAGATGAATAAGGTGAAGTTCCGGGAGGGAGATGTATAGATATAGAAGAGCAATGAATGCGAGAAGATGAAATGTAGAGAGAATGAATAGAAAAAAAGGGAATCCAAAAAAGAAAGGTGGAAGGGGAAAAAAAAGAGGAGAAAGAAGGAGAGAAAGAGTCAGGGCCGGTATGAGCCAAAATCGCTCAGGTTTGCGGGGGCCTTTCCCTTTGAGCATGCGGGGGGGAAGAAAAGGCGATCACCGGTCACACATACGGCTTTGGTATTTTATTGCTAATATATTTGAAGATTATATATGGCCGATATATGATACTTTAATACTTTAAATTGATATATGTGTTTCCCTTTCCTATAATTGTGTATGTTATATGTGTGTGTGTGCGTGTCGCAATGACTCTGATGAGATATCAGAGTGGATCCACTTTGAATAAAGACATATATAAAAAGCCCTTTGCCCTTTAAATTCTAGCGAATTCCTATGGCAAATGTTGGGCATAATTCCAAGGTTCTTTTTTTTTTTGTCTTAATACCTGGCGCTCGGATGGCGTTCCGCACAGGGGAAGGGTAGTGCCATGGATCCAGGGCTTAGACTAATTATTATAATTCAATTCCCACTAAACCATGGGATATTCTCAGGTTATTATATAACTATATAACAAAATAATATTGAGAAGTGAACAACTTTTTTTTTTTTTTATAAAAATAAAAATAAAGACTACAGTTGCCTGACGATCAACTAGGGTCACAAGATAGAACAGTTGGACACTGGGTCCAAGTACCAATCAAGTTACTTAATTCCTACCCGGGTGATGACGACGGTGTATTGATAGGAGATGGCCGCAAAGAATCTGAACTAGTGTGACTTGGAAAGTACCAGTTTCCCATGTATCGACCAGATCACCTGCATAGCATCGACCGGTCTAGTGCTTAGAAGGCAGTGGATGAGGTGGATCCAATGATGTCATTAGGCTTAGTCAAGATAATCACCTGATAAATCTTCCCTAATAGAATTTATATAATTTGAACTTCCCTGACTTCGGAAAGATGTACGAAGTACTACTGTACGAAGTACGTACATAACATTATTGTTGTGGCAAAGAGGGACTGTGGCTTATCATTCTAACCCAAGGCAGCCGCCCAAAGGCAACATTCTTCCATTCCTGGATACCCGTGGCTAGCTGTCAGTTAGGTAATCGCTCGCCATATTCCCCGGCTATGATCAGGTCGCGCCATCCCTCACGCTAACGCCTGCAAGAGAGGATCATTACTCCGAGCGTCACACTACCCTGTTGCGCACGAGCATTTGCGCGGAATTATTTTTGGCGCCCTTTCAGGGCAATATAGGAGGGCCATTGACCCCCTGATCTTTCTTTTTCTGGCACATTCCCAAGGTTCCTGGCCCGCCATTCTTGACCTGCGGCTGAGACACTCGGGACATTATTTCGTCAGTATTATTGGGTTAAAAATGTTGGATTGTCGATCCTGTTATTAGACCTCCCGAGAGCTACCGTAGCTGTTGAAATTATTTATTTCTCAATGCTTTTATACGAAGTCCCAACCATCCCAATGCATGTGAATCCCATATACTTTTATTATTATTCTCCAGTTTTGCGTTCGCATGACGTGGTCGGACCTCCAGGGCTGAAAGGTAGCCCTCCAGGAGGGACATTGGGAATATTACCTAATCCAATTGCCAAACAATGCAAACTAACCTTCCAAGGTGGGAAAATCTTGAAGATTGGAGATAAGAGATTAAGATCAGATCCCGGTCGCAAAGGCCTCACACAATAGATCAATTGACTCTTCAATACAAATTTTACCTGTATACCTAACAGAGTATCCAATCCTACCATAGACAATCCCCAAATCCCCCGGAGCCACAACAATGCTTAATTCACGTCTACGGCCCCTCCCGCGCCACTACAATCCCACCAACACGCCTAGTGCCCCAGCACCAGAATTCCAAAATCAAGACACCACCAGCGAACCCGATGAGGAACCTGAAGATATCTTCGGTGCATTCCTCCCGCACATCTTCCCAGACGACACACCTCCCTTCCACGGCGACCCAGGCCAACACCTCCTCTACAGCTCCCCCCGCTATGGCGACCTCAACATCATGGTCCCCAGCTACCCAAGCTCAAGCCAGAACCGCTCCGAGGAGATCGCCGCAGGCCAAGCCAAGCCAGACGGCACCGTGAACAAAGTCAACGAGCAACGACAGCTCTTTGCCCATTTCCTCTGGAGCGCAGCAATGGTCGTTGCAGAGGGTGTCGAGGAAGCAGACACGCCAGCAGGCGAAACCGAGACAGAAGCCCAGAAAGCAAACCGGGACTTGTGGAGTGTCAAGGGCGAGAGTGTACTCGAGTTAGGAGCTGGTAAGTGGGAGTTTGGTTATGACATCCCAATTTATATACCCTAGCCCAAACTAATGCATTTATATAGGCGCTGGTCTCCCCTCTATAGTCTGCGCCCTGGCTGATGCCTCGGTGGTTGCGACAACCGATCACCCTTCCTCGCCGGCGCTCCAGGGTGCAATCACTTTCAATATAGAGCACAACCTGGCCAAGCGCACGCCTGGGGTTGCGGGGAAAGTGTCGATGCACCCGCACGAATGGGGTGTGTTGGATGATTCGTTCTCGGTGGCGAATAAGGGTGCTTTCACGCGGATTGTCGCGGCGGATTGTTACTGGATGCGCGGGCAGCATGAGAATCTTGCGCGCACGATGCAGTGGTTCCTTGCGCCGGGTGGGAAGGTGTGGGTTGTTGCTGGGTTCCATACGGGGCGAGCGATTGTTGCTGGGTTCTTTGAGACGGTTCTTGAGCATGGGTTTGTGATTGAGAAGATTTACGAGAGGGATTTGGTTGCGAAGTCGGATGATGGGAGTGAAATTCGTAGGGAATGGGCTCCGGTTAGGGAAGGGGAGGGTGTGGAGAATCAGAAGAGGTGGTGTGTTATTGCTGTTTTGAAGAGGCAGGGAGAGTAAGTCGTACATAGGTTGTGGTTCTGATGATGGTATGGGGTGCATTTTTGAGCGATATACCATTTCACTTGCATGATGAGATTATGAGTATAGAATAGATGAGCATAAAATAGAGTCTGACTTGGAATAATTGAAATGTATTCACCATATTCAGCGTATATCTATACTGGCTATCTGGACTCCATCTCTTATTTGCTTGGGGGTATAGTTCGCATGGTATTCCGCAGGTCTATTCAAGCATCCCCAAGCCTCTGGAAACACACTGTACAAACTCCCTGTCCCTCATGTCCTCCAAAACGGAACCGAGGATACTCAACACGACCCCAAACCGCCAATCGATCCCCACTCGTCCGATCCGCAGTGAACCAATGCACCAACTCTTCCTCAGTCCAATTGCAGGTAGTAACAACCAGGAAGCCCCCACGCCGCACTAAACGCCGCGCAATATCAGGGTACCTCTCGCAGACACGGGTTGTCTTCGCATCATCAGCTAGCGAGACAGCATCGAACGTCCCCTTATCGAGCACGATGTCGAACCCACCCTCTTGGTAAGGGAACCAGGGGAGAGTTTCCTCCTCTGAAGGAGAAACCTCGAGACCAGTCTCAGAAAGAAGAGCCTTAGAGCCGAGGATATCCCACTCCTCGAACTGGATGGATGTTTCTTGTTCCGGTACATAAGCCTCAGTCTCAGCCTCAGCCTCGGCCTCTTCCTCATCAGATTCATCCTCATCCTCCGAGTCACTCCGATAAGCGGAATGTCCTCTCACACGCTGCAACTCCCTCGCAAGCTCAACACTCTGACGCGAGTAATCTACGCCAACAAGACGTCCCGCATACCCGCCCCTCTTCTTAAGCAGCGCAAGCATACTCCCATTCCCAGTTCCGAGATCTAGAACACTTGGCTGGCGGGAGCCTTTCTTGTGGGTATTGCGCGGCGACAAAGGGAAGGACTTGCGTGTGAGGAAATGAAGGACTTTTTGCGGGGCGTTGTGTTCGGAGAACCAGGATGTGCCAGGGTCATCTTCGTCATTTAGGTCGGAAGTTGATGCGGCATCGTCATCGTTTTGGTTTTTGCCATTGGCGTTGGGATCTTTGCTGGTTTCGTGCGAGATGTGGGCTAGCGTGCGGGCGTAGTAAGATTCCCAGCTAGATTGGGATTGTTAGTTTGCGTTTGAAAATTGAGTTGGATATCGAGGCAGTCTTATAAATCAATTAGGCTACCAATTGATCTATTGCTGCATTCACTATGGCAAATTCACTGTATACAACACTCATGGAGGGGTAGAGCGGGGTTCATTCCTCGTTGCGTCCAGCAAGTGAAGAGGGTGTGGCTGATAAGGACACATACTAGTCTTTTGTACCCAGCTCGCTGGGCGAGAGGTATGCAGGATGAGATTCTTCAGCCATTGTCGCGAGTGTGGAGATGTTGGTCAAGGAAAAATTTAGGTTGGAGGTGTTCTTGGGGCTTATCGCTATCTCCGTTCTAATCAACAAACAGCCCGACCTCGGGAAGTCACAATTTGATCTTCTACAACTAGATTTGAGGCGTTTACAGAGTTATGAGAAGTAACTGGACTTTAATTCATTGTGAGTCTGCGCAGAAGGGGTATTCATCATGTAATCTTTCACCCATAAAGCATACCAGGTCCACGAAGGGCCAAGCACCACCCGAATGCTAAACACAGAAAGACACAGAAACAAAGGCCTTGTCTGAGCAGCAAGATGGAAAGATATGAGAGTAACATGAGACAACCAAGCGAGTGAGACGAGAGCCAAAGCACAAGGAATCAAAAGATAGGACCTCCGATAATATTACAGGTACCAGGTGGAAAGGAAGCAGACAGGTCTGTTTCGATCCTTCAGACCCTGGCCTTGGTATCAAAATTTGTCCGTTTTGGGACACCCGAGACGCCAATGGTTTAGAAAAAAAGAAGAGAAAAAAAGTTCAAGCGATAGTGGCCAGTAATGGCGTTGGTAAGACCCGTGGGTTCAAATGACAAAAAGAAATATGCAGTAAGTATGCAAGTTGGAGAAAAAAATGCGATGAGCGACAGCAAAGCCTGCTTTGGTCATGAATATCATCAAGCCAGTTATCTGATTGAGATAAGTGGAAGAAATTAATAGGTGAGATAGAAGGGTTGCGTTGACTCCCCGGGCACGAGTCCCGGGATGTCTCGTGCCCCGGGTTGTGGCCGAGATGGTCTTCAAATCAGGAAAGAGACATGGGAAAATATGTCAGGTCATGGAATCGTTTCAAGCCTGGTCTTAAAGGACACAAGGCGAAGAGATCACAAGAATTCATCAATGGATCTCATGATCAGAGGCTCGCTGCCGGATGGAGGCGAGCGGGGGTCTGCCGGTTCGGCGGCAGGTCGCATGGCGCGGGGGATAGGAGGTGGGGAGAGGGTTGCGGAGCGATCAATCCGGTGGAATGATGACGGTGCTAAAGTCGGGGAGAAGAATTCGTTCGTCCTTGGTGAAAACAAACTGCCAGAGTCTGGCGCATCACGTACAAACACATGGGTCTGAACGAGCGGGTCACAGCTGCTGACGCTGCGCGGCAACCCTCGTGGCCGACCTGAGGCAGGTTCCACGGACTGAAACTTCTGTCGGAACGGGAGGGGTCGGGGGGACAGACTCCGCTTGGGGGAGTAGGATTTGTATTTTTTGTAGCTACTGCTGTCGCTCGTAGTGGGACGCATCGAGGTCGTCTCTGGGATGGAGAGGCAGCTAACTGAAGGTGCCTGCGACAGTCCGCGGAAGGCTGGTCGGCTTGGTTCGTTGGGTGCTGGGCGCTCAGCTCGTGCAACCTGGGGCTCTGAGCTTCGTCGACCGGTTTGAACAAACCACTCCTGTGGTGGAGGCTTAGACGTAGATCCCCGCATCAATTTAGAGCGGAAGTCCGTGAGCTGGTAGATGAGACTCATGTTCGGGCCAACCCACTGGCTTCGTCCCTTGACTGCTTCGTACATCGAGTTGAAATCCAGGTGTCGGTTTTTGTACAATCCGTAAGCAATTACTAGCGATGCCGACCGGCTGGCGCCCAGCTGGCAATGGACGAGAAGTTTCTTTCCTTCAGCGATCCGGTCATCAATCAATTCGCAAAGCGGGAGGAGGTCTTCAAGGATCTCGGAGTTGTGGTCCCAACCGACATGGAGGTACTCCGGTTCTTGGGTAGGACTTGCGACGGTAGGAGTTGGCGACTCGGAATCCGAGGGTTGGAATTCCCAAGCAGACTTAAATGACATCTCCGAAATCGCTGTCTGGGGTTCCCCGCGGGAGAAGCGTTTCGAGGCCATGGAAGCGTTCCGCCATGTGCTCATCACAGTATCATTCCGCTCCTCCTTGCTAGTATTAAACGGGTTCACCACTTCTTTGGCGACGTTGATCACCACATCGAATTTGGACGCTTCTTCGGCTGTTGGCTCTAGATACAAGTAGACACCAGAGTCGTGGATCCGGATAGGCCCATCCGGGTAGCCACGATCCTTCTTGCGGGTCGATTCACGCGAGTCGGGGTGGTCATCCTCTTCTTCTAGACCATCAAGGACACGGCGAGAAAATCCAGATCCATCAACTGGTTTTAAAGTGACAGGGGACGTAGTATCCTCAGACGCGCTAGACGAACGGCGAATACCAGGATGTGACATTAGCCGGGGAAGCTGCATACCTCCCCGTGGGGCGAACGAGGGTGATGTAATCGATAGAAGCGAAGGTGAGGATTCTGCGTGACGCAGGGATGGAGTTGGAGGAACATCATCAGTGATACTAGATAACGGTTTATTGAATGTGGGGGTTTGGATGGTGAGATTGGCGCGTCGCTTTGTAGACTTAGGATGGATCGGGATGGGAGCTTGTGGGGCATCAAAGTGGTGTGACGTCTCCACCATCGATGCAGTAACGATAGGTGGGCGTGACTGAGATGGGGGCGGCATTCGCAATGACAAGTTCTTGAGATTACGCGCCCGCCGATTCGGGGAGTCTGGGCGCGTATTATGAGGGGTCGGCTGCAACAGGCGCGTTTCACCGACCGGCGCGAGGCGCGGAGGAAGCTCCATGGGCCGTGTGGAAGGCATGAACTTCGGGTATGAGACAGACATAGCAGAGGGAGATTCCGGGGAAGAGCTCGGAGAGATGTCACCCCCGCCAGGCGAATCAAAGGGCGAGATGGTTGTGGTTGGGGAGGACTCGGTCGATGCCGAGGTCATAGATGAAACACTCTCGCGGTGGGGGGAAGGAAGTAGACGTGTATTGACAGGGACATGGGTTGGGTATTGAAGATGATGGATGGTGTTTGCTTCTTCTTTGTATCCTGGAAGGGGACCACCAAACACCGACATGAAAGACGGAAATGAGTCCGGAAAGGACGGTTGACTAGTTTGCACTGGCATTGTCTGAGAAATTGACAACGATGAAAGGAAGTTCCTTTCCGGCTCTCAAGAGAGGCTAGAATGGCATTCGAGATTGAAGATACACCTGCTACCTGCGCAAATGGGGGGGTCTGGGGAAGAGTGTTAGATTTGAATCTAGGGCAAATAAAATGCAAGGGTTTGAAACTAATGATCCGACAAGGGGATGTATAAAGAACATACCAAGTATAATATGTATAGAGAGATGAAGTATAGCTGTTCCTCCAGGGAACTGGAAGGAGAGAATAGATTGTAGAAAGGGAAAGGGAAAGAAAAAAAAAAAGAGAGAGAGAGAATAGGTTTTTGGAGTGTTTTTTTTAAAGATCACCTTGAAGGGTAACATACAATACAAAGGAAAGAGGGGACCGATCCAGAGGGAGAGGGGGGGAAAGATAACACCAATCAATGGCCTTTGCTCTAATTTTAGCCGCCCTGGAATGTTTAGTCGGCGTCAAATGAACGCAAATGAGAGGTTCGAGAGTGTGCTTCTTCCTACCTTAGCGTATAATTTATATTACATATGTATTTCATTTATACCTTTATGAATATAATGTCTTACGTTCTACTCCATAAAAGATGTCAAAATGTTACACATACAAACGGCTTACAAGGGGGAGAATTGAGACGGGATCCTGTGGAGATGTGTCGTGTGTCGTAACCCGAAAGGGAGAAGAATAATGTTCAATTCCAAATGTTCCCGTCTGGAATCCACAGTGTTTTTTTTTCAAAAGGTCAAGGCAACTTCCAAGGTTGAAAATCACCGAAATACGAACGGCACGGGTGAACGGTGGGCTGGCTGATCGGACATGATACCATTGGATCATTCAACATTTTTAGGGGCAATCCCCGAGTTGGAACATAAACATATCTGATTGGATGATATTAAGAGGAGAGGGCTTATCCTGAAACTTCATGGATCTTGGTTTTTGGGTATGAAACACACCAAATTAGTACTAGTGAAAAATTAGTGGCTCTTGGCAGTTTAGGTCCTGTTGTGTTTACGGGGTACAATATAAACATGTTTTAATTCAATTTCAATCTAGAACATTCAGAAGTATGTAAATTACTAGAAATATGGATATTTAATAGATATTTAATGGATATTACCGTACACTTTGAAGGCTTAGACTGAAGTTTGAGGCCCACTACTCCGTATTTTCAAAAAAATACCCAGAAGGATCGGCCTTTTCCCACGTGGAAACAAATCCTGAAACTGGATTTTCAGTTTGCCAAATGCCAATTCTGGAGAGGATATTCAAGATATTCACATGGGGTTTTTATAAGCCAAAATCTTATGCACCAGATAGATGAGCCCCTTTCCCTGGGTAAATCAGGTAAAGATGTTTCACCATCAGCTTCTAAAAATAACCCGGAATTGTGATGGCAGCTTACGCCTGGTATTCTTCCGTTTCAGACTTAAAGGACGCTTTCCATTGGCTTGTTGCATACCAGGACAGCTCAATTAAACTACTCCATACGGGTCAACTCCTGGTATCGTCTTTTTTATTAATGCAGATTATTTAGATTGAAAATGGTATCATTCACCGGCATCCGTAATATATACTATAGAGCTGAGAGCTCTTCAGACTATCCCACAAATAGATTTTTACTGCTTCATATTAAAATCCAAAGTACCAAATTGGTACTCTGTACCAGTGGACTAATTGTACGCTTAGGTAGCAGATTGCAATTTGCACACATTGGAATTTGTCCCCGCTGGCGAGGCAGTGCCCAGGTTGAAGGATTTTAGTTACAAAGTCTGTCATTATACATCCAAGGACTAGACAAGGCGATATACATAGCCCAAGGGACCTAGACAAGGCTTTCTGTGTTAGTTTACGTGATTGTGGCGAAACAAGATATACTGCCTACACTAAGGCATAGATCACTGAGCCCCTTTATTGACACCTTGCTTATCTCTAAGTATAGCCTATATATGGATGTTCTACTCTATACAACATAACGATTGATAAAAAAATAGTCGAGTTCCAATGGAAGGTTAAGGCAGTGCCGTTTGCACTTGACCTTTGGGGCTGATTAACAGTAACATAGTACTTTCCCAAGTTGCCTTCACAAGCCAATATATGAGATAGAGTACAATCCCTAATCCAACACTCTGTTTCTTATATCTAGGTAGGTACATAGTAGTTATATGTATACATAGTCAGCTGTCAGTTTTGAAAATGTCAAATTTGATTGTTTCAAAGTAACCATGGTCTCCGCTGAGGCTGAACCATGGTTCATCGCTTTATTTGTTGTTTTTTTTCTTCTTTTTCTTCTTTTCCCTTTCCTTGCCCTTCGTTTTCCTTCTTTTTTTCCTCTCTTTACTCTCTTATGTCTTGAGTTCTACTGAGATTTATATGTAGAATAGTCCTGGAGACCAAAGTATCATCTAGCCTATTGGACCTACAAAGTCCTTGTACTCCGTACCAATATTATAATCAAAATAGAAAATAAAGGACTATTGAAATTTCCCATGCTTAAATATTCTGACAGGTCAAGTCCACAAAGTCCTTACTGGCATCCTGCAACTATCAGTTGTGCATATTTGCAGTCCGTCGGAACTATACAATAATTAGCTTTCCCCAGAATCAATGCTTTAAAAGACAAGAGTACAAGAATACATTCACGTAGTCCTTTACGCGCCAGACAAAGTACAGAATGGCTGCAGGCTCCCGTGACCATTTACAGCCCAACCAGTTCAATCACTTCCAACATTTCCAGTTCCAACTTTTTCCTCACTCTTTGTTGCACACTCGCTTCGACGGCCCCACCGATGAAACATCCAATCTAACCACCAAACGCTCCTTATTGCACCGCGCCCGGCGATCCGTCCTAAGCTTCAGTTCACCCAGCCCCCAAGCTTCTAAATCTCTCTATGCCTCAAAGAGGCCCAGGCAGGAAGAATTATACCAAGATCGCCCTGATGTGAAAAGAACAATGCCATCAAGTCTAGCTTATTCTGGAGCAACCAGAACCATAAATGAAACTCGTTCTCTCGGTTTAAATGGTACTCGGGTCGAGTCGTCGATGGACGAGGGCCGTCCAAAGAATGAGGATGTGTTCCTAAATATTGCGAGAGCTGATTCTGGTCGTCGCGATTCGATAGGTCGCTCGGATTTTAGACGGGTAAGTGAGAATAACATAGGTCTTGGGCCGATCGCATTCCTGATTGCTCCATCGATGACATCCCGCTTAACCCCTTCTCGCGACTTCCCAATTGCTAACGAGAATATCTACACTAGTCACGGCTTGGTTATTCTAGTCAGAGTCTACGGTCGCCAACAACAGAACAGACCCCCTCACCCGATCAGCGATACAGCAATATCGACAACCCCTTGCATTTCCAGAATGATTCCCCCACTGCCCCCTACAGCTCCGTCCACACTCCAGCGTCATCGGCCCATCCTCTGGACGACTCGGGTCGCTTCCGCTACAGTAGCCTTGGATCCAGTGCGCGATCCGCTGTCGGTGTTCCGCGAAGCCGATTTAGCCGTACGAGCCCAGAAACCTCACCGCGCACACCTTCTGCGGCCGAGGAGAAAGAGCGTCGATCCTCTCTAAATAATGACCCGCGCATCAATCGCCATTCGGGACTCTCTACAATCCGAAGTAGTCGGCAACCTTCTGCCTCTGAAGTGACCGGGCGACCGCGAGCCGATACGGAACGATCGCGCGCTGATGGAACTGAGTCGACGTTGTCTACCACAGCCCCCTCGACTGTTTGGGACGAACTGGATGATCTCAAAGATCGCATCAAGAAGTTGGAACTGACAGGGAAGCTACCTCCATCATCTTCGGCGGCGATGTACACCCCTACCAATGAGAGACCGCGGACTGCAAACACTGCCGTTACCACCTTATCCTACTCACCGAAGCAACGCCGCAAAGCCAGCGCCTCACCTGCAGATACCGAACGTAGCCCGGTGCACCCAATTCTGCAATCTGCATTGGCCAAGGCAAAAGCTGTCCTGAGCGGTGACGTGTACACCTCCCTCGAAGCGACAATAACCGATGCTTTGAACCTTTCCACTGCGTTGGGCGTCAATACCGCTCCATCGGGCACCGTCTCTGTTGTGAATGGAGGATACACCTCACCTGAACGACATGCTCGTCGTAAAGCGGACAGTGTGTGCCGTAGTCTGACTGAACTTTGCCTAGCCTTGACAGATGAGCAGCTAAAGAACGCCCGACCGTCCTCAAGCCGTGAGACAGGCGTGCAGCCTCAATTTCTGAATGGCACGGGGGTGGATGCTCGTATGTCCATACCAACGTATCAACGAAATGGGAATCAGGAGCCCGAGGCCATTGAGCGACGCCATAGCACGACTCGCATCTCCAGTCGCCTTGACGCACGTCGAGCATCCCTGGCCAATGCCAGTCCTGGAAACACAACGGATATGAAGCAGAGCCCAACCCAATCTCCCGGCATGCCTAACCCAACCAGTCGTCTCAACCGCATGTCAATTTCCCTCCGCAATCGCAGACAGACCATTGGCGAGGAGGGTGGAGAGACAGAAAGTCAACATAGTCGTTCAGTCTCCAGGGCCAATACAGAAATTGGCGCACCGCCTGTGCAAGCCATACCCCCTCCTCGGCAACGATTATCCCAAGGTCAATCTTTGTCCCGCTCCATTTCCGGTATACAGCAGGACCAGGGCAGTCTCGGATACTCCCCCCGCTCCCCGCAATACCAACAATCGCAAATCCATCAGTCGCAGGCACAGCCATCCGAGCCTCGGACACCGACTCTCTCGTCGAATCTCTCGTTCCGTAGAAGCTACATGAGCCCTGCTACGTACACTCCCGCGACATCCCGCTCCAACATCCAGGCTGGGTCTCGCCGTTACGGCCTAACGCCTAGTTTCTCCTCCAATAACATACAAGCATCTCCTGTCGAAGAAAGTCTGCGATTGCCCCATCAAATGGAACCCTCCCAGACCAGAATTTCGACTCCATCGAGCAAAGTAGCAACCAGCTAC